TTTAAAACATTACCCAGTCCCCTTACAGGCGGCTGGAAATGTCTATACAGCAGCCAATGTGCCAGCCACACAGCTCGCCCACCTGCAAACAAACGCCGTTTTTACGGCGACACACAGAAACTTACATAAAGAGCCATTTTCTGCCTGTGTCATTAAAGGGTCACGTGTCCACACCAAAGTGCGCATTCCCACATATCAAAAATGTCAACGCGGTGCCAAATGTTTTCCCAGCTCAAGCTGGACGCCCCATAAATGTAGATTGTGTGCCAACTGTCACGTATGCACCACTACACATAAGCACTGTTCCCACAGTTATAAACACTTCCCCAGTAAAAGCGGGAAGTTTTATAAGAGTAGCGCGTGTGCCCGCTGTTATGCACGCACCCCAACTCACAAACACTGTTTATATGACCAAAAACCTCCCGCCACGAGCGGGAAGTTTTATGAAAGTGGCGCGCGTGCCTACCACAGTCTATGCACCCCCACCCATAAGCACTGCCCATACAGTGTTAAACATTTCCCCATCTCACTCTGTGAGTATTACGGCGAGCGTGCCTGTAATCTCACACGCACCCCTGCACTCGGCATTCAACAAAGCTGCTCAGCGCGCGCGCGCCGCTGAGAGCTGTAAGCTCGGTATTAGCACAGGGCGATTCGCTGGCGGGAGCCATACGTCACTGCGACACGCCCCCAGCCAGCATTCAGCCCATATCTGTGCGAGCGAAAGCTTGGGAAAATATCCCTGACATGCCGAAATGGGTTTTGAACATAATAAAACACGGTTACTCGCTTCAATTCGCTCGCAGACCGCCCCGCTTCACAGCAGTGGTCGAGACGAAAGTGAGAAAAGATGTTTCACATGTTCTACGCACCGAGATGCTCAAACTGATAGAGAAAGGCGCTATAGAGACAGTCCCTCCCTCTATGAGCGAGGCAGGTTTTTACAGCCGCTATTTTCTCGTCCCGAAAAAGGATGGCGGTCTCCGCCCCATTCTAGATCTCAGACATCTGAACAAAGCTTTAATGATTCGCTCGTTCAGAGCAATTGTTCGTATGCTTTGGCGGACGCACCAAAGGTCTCGCTTTTTCAAAGCAAAGAATATCGCGCTGGATAGTTGATGCTATAGCGCTGGCTTATGAAGCCAAGGGCCTTCAGTGCCCCTTGGGCATCAGAGCTCACTCTACGAGAGGCATGGTCTCCTTGTGGGCGTGGTCGAGTGGGATACCCATTCAAGATATTTGTGCGGCAGCAGGCTGGGCCTCACCGTCAACATTTATCAGGTTTTATAACCTACAGGTCCCCTCATTGCACTCTAACATACTGTCGGTCTAACTATGCATAGGCTGGGGTGTGTACATGCTGAGCATTGTCTCCTCCCTCATAGAATCCGTCTCTGACTGATGTAGAGGATTTTTCATGCATGACAGTACATAAAAATGTGCTTGTGTGTTTCTCTGGACGCCGATTGGGCCGTTCCACGTTGTCCTTTATAAAGCCCGCCTTCGGCTGGCTCGTTGGATAATTACTTTGCTTAAAGGCTCAGGCATCTGCCTACGGCTTAATAGAGCGAAGTCAGCACGCACGGCGTTTTACATGGCGTTCCCATAGCGTAAGCTACTTACGCAATAGGAGGAACCTCTCGAAAGGGAACGACTCGGTTACTAACGTAACCTCGGTTCCCTGAGAGGAGGGAACGAGTATTGCGTAAGCTGCCGTGCTTGTGCTTGGTCAGTTTGCTTTAGTCGATTGAACCTAAAGAACTCAGACGACGGGGCGCCCAATATATAGCCCTTGGCCACGCCCATCTTGGCGGGCTCTGACGCGCGTGGGCGCCAAGCACGCTCATTGGAAGCGGGTTCAGAGTCGCCCCGTCATAGGTTCGTGCAGTTGCCGCAGCACAGCCAATGACCGAGCTGCCTCGCTCATTGCTGTATGCTGTGCAGCTGCAATGCGTTTTACATAAAGACTTCAATATTTCTCGAGAAAAGGAGTTTTCCCATAGCGTAAGCTACTTACGCAATACTCGTTCCCTCCTCTCAGGGAACCGATGTTACGTTAGTAACCGAGTCGTTTTCACACTGCATGACTATCTGGGGTAACATTCAGTTGCTGCTGTGTTCACACTGCACGATGGATCGGCGACAGGAGGTTTCACACTGCAAGACTTTACAAAAGAAAGAATCGCCGACAACTTCTGCCTGGTCCGCAAACTACGTTTCACAACCAAACAAACGCGAGAAGTGATAGGAAATAACGGAAGATCACGCGTGCGTGAGACCGGAGTTCTCGCGCGACACTGAATTTGTTATTAAAAATTATAGCCTACAAATTGTCTGTGCACTGATTTGTAGCGAAAAAAAAAAAAAAAAAAAAAAAGTTTATGCAGGAAATGGTTGGGAATACGAGGGGAGCAAGGACTGTGTTTTGCAAAGAGAGTTGGGGGTAAATAAATAATTTTGCAAATGTCCTGCTGTTGCTGCTGGTCATGCAAATGTTTGTGCTTTGTTTCTGTTTGATATAATTGTAAATATAGGCCTATCTATTAAAATACTGATATTCTGGTCTATAACTCCTCCTCCTCCTCCTCCTCCCTGTATCTTGCTCTCTCATTGGCTGTCGGTCATCACCGATGTAGTTTTCAGTCAGAACACATTCACACAGCAGGATTGTGAATCGCCGACAGGTCCAGATATTTAGCATGCCAAATATCTCACGGGCGTCGGCGACTCGTCGGCGATTCTCTCAGATCGCGTCTTTGCTCATTCACACTGCGTGATTGTCACTCGCGTGAACGAGCACCGATTTGCCTGTGATTTCGGGCATTTGTCGGCGATTTCTCAAAACCTGTCGGCGAGCCAAAATCGGGGCTAAAATCGTGCAGTCTGAACTCGGCATTACACACTATTAGCCGATTAGCCTGCTATCTTAGCATGCTTGCTATGTTAACATACTAGGTGCGCCCCAACGTACTTATGCACTGTGCCATTTTGTATAGTGCGAGTAGTGTGTTCACAGTGAAAATTCACAAACATGGATGTTAATTAACCAAAAAGACGAAGTGGGGAATGTTGGACACTTCATGTGAATTTATGGTCGCAGCTTTAATTTCGTTTCGGTTAGGCTTTGAGATGCTGGATGACATCCGGATAACCTTAGAAACTTCACACACTAGATGGTAGAGCACATATTGTGTAGATTAAGTGCATAGTGTATCGTATGTCATTTGAAACACAACTGCTTATCAGTTAACCTGCCTGTTAGCTACAACTGAAAGTCTTTTTTTTTATCATCTACATGATATAAAAACCTGAGAACTGTTACTATTACTTTTACTAATAGCTACACACCTATTTTTTGGATAAAAGTATTTTGTTACTGGACAAATACTTTGAAAACGGCTGTACTTGATAAAAATGCAGCTAAATTAGAATAATAGGGCACTGATTTGATCAATATTAGAAACTGATCAAATGTCATGATTATGGCTAACACTCACTAACACACTTGCATTAGATTGAGAAGTTCTGCATCGGTGTGACAGCTTTGGTCTTTGCTAGTAGCAAACAAAGTCATCTACAGTCTTTTCCAATAAGGAAATTTGCCACACAGAGGCTGTTTTTGTGCAGTGCACTGATAAATTGTGCAGCCTTCAGAGAAGCCAGATGTTTTCTTATTCTTTTTTTTGTTTGTCTATTCTGTACTTCACCCTACAAAAATATCTGCCTTTCTTGTTTGTTTGCCTTGTGATGCACTAAAAATGCTGAGCTGCTATTTAGAGTCAGGCATCTGACATTCTTTCAAGAAAGAAAACCCGAGGAGGGGGAGACGAAACTCTGCTCACTCTCGGGTTATACAAACATCACCGAAGACTCATTCTTGCAGATACACACACATACGCAGAGCACCTTGTTCCACATGTAGCCACATGCGAGCAGCAGGCATCCAATTCAGATCGCACAGATCATTAATAAATCTTTGGTTTCTGTTCATGCACACACACACACACAAAAAGAAACTGAACAATAGGCCTTCATTTTTGTCAGTTGCAACTTGCAAGACATACATTAATTATTTCCATTGGCTTAGCAGAATCAGCAAATGTCAGCATATGCAGATCACACCCATGCTTTTCACTATTTGCCTCACTATATTTTTCAAAAGCCACTGTGAACGCCCTGAAAGGTGGCAGTGTCTATATTATGCTAAAGCTTGTGAATCTGCATACAATCTCACATTTAGCATACAAAGCAGTAGACACTTCATTAATAGGAGAAAAAAACATTTACATAAGGCTCTTATTGAAGTGCTTAAGTCATATCAAGAGTGAGTGGGTCACTGTCAGTTGAGAGATGAAAACAATGAGAATTTAACCAACGTGGACCTAAATTTCTTGTCTAGAAATCAGTAAACTGAGGCAAAGGGCATTTTCACAGATCATTTGCATGTTTCCACTTTCGGTTTGTTTGATTGGTTATAGATTTAACCCCTCTTATTCACCACAACCTCTGCGCATTGAAAATGGCTTGACTCGTTTTTTAAACAAATCTGCATCTGCACAACATTTCTTAAGTCTGGTCTAGGCTGCAAGTGTTCACGACGTGTATGATTTGTTTTACACAGACAAGAATTAAGTGTTCAATTTAAGTGTTACCATAGTGATGTTTGCAGTATGGTCTATTTAAATGCTACATGAAGAACTAACACCCGGTTTCACAGACAAGGTTTAAGATTAGTCTCAGACTAAAATGCATGTTTGAGCTGTTTTAACTGAAAGCAACTTGCACTGACAAATCATAAAATATGTCAGTGCCACTGTTTTGTCTCAAGATGCACACCAGTAATGTTCTTTTCTAAGGTACGTTTATAAAAGCTTCTTAAATGTCCTTATTGAACCTAAGGCCTAATCCTGGCTTAATCTATGACCTGCCTGTGAAACCAGCCCTTAAGGTTGAGATTTTTATGATACAGCCTAAATAAAAGACACAACAGAAAGAAGGACTTCTTAAACTTGAAATTAGCATTTATTTGAACAAGGTTCTTTCCAAATTACAAGTCTGTCTTTTTCATTTCACAAAATATTTACAACAGAAAATCCCTCCATTTTATCCCAAGTATTCAGTTAGTTTCATAACGTTCATTGGTCAATGTTTCTTTTACTTAAGTAGTTCTAAAAAAGAAAAGAAAAGTCAAATAAAATAATAATAAAACAAACCAAAAACTTAATTCCCTGTTTCAAAAGTCATTTTTTAACTGCTAGAAGTTTTATTATTTTTCTACGAGTGCTCATAAACTCTTTTCCACATGCACTCAGTAACAAACAGGAAGCCAGAGGCTCCGTTGCTTGGAGCCGGAAATGGCATGAAACACAAGGAAGAACAATTACAGCATGACAGTAAATGCAGAGGCATCAAGTGCACCATGACCCTCTGAACACAGGCCATTTAGTCGCTGACACTTTGCGCTGAAGCCACCGTTGAGTCAGATATAATGAGAGGCCACGGGTAAACACGAAAGAATGTGAAACCAATGCACCCTGCGTTTAACATACAGGATGTAAAGGGTGCGTTTCTGTGGCTTTGAAGGGCGTGAGAGAGAGAAAGACAGCGCCGTCTGGATGGGGACCAGACTGAAGGTTGTGGGTGGAGGCACATTCTCGGTTAGCCTAAGGAGAGGACTGCGAACCAAGGTGAAGGACATTTCCATTAAAAGCTGCATTCAGTAGGGAAGGTCAAGCCAAATGAACAATGGCGGCGATGACAATGCTGTGCTGTTCCAGTTTCCGGGTCTGTTAAAAACTGAGCTAACATGTGCTTGTGCTATTTGTGATGAATAATAAGACCACAGACTCCAATTTAAACTAAATGAACGCTTAAATATGGAAGGCTGGGCAAACTATACAGAGTTTTTGCACATGGGTGTTCTAACAAACAACAACCATGTGAAGTTAATAAAACTTTGTGGGCTACAATTCTCTCAATAGTAATTCGCCGTAAGTTTCATTAACAGCTGACTTAATGGTTTTACTGCTGACTTCCATCGTTTCGCCCGATGAGTCAACGGTAATTGCGAAAATTTAGATCTTACAAAGAAAGTGCAACATTATTGATGATTCAACAAATGACAGCGTCCTCCGTTATTTCTGCGTCTCTTGAAAAAGAGTGAGTGTTATTTTTAGAAGAGCAACTTGCGTTCATGGTACATAATCACAACACCATTAGTGCCTAAATAATGTGCAAAGCTATGCTTGACTGTGATATTAATTTTTTTTTCCTCACTGCTCTCGGACATCAGCAGTTCATTCTAAATGATTGATAAGATCTGCATACAAAAATGCCCCACATGCATCTCTTTAAGACATCTCTCAGTGGAAAAAGACGCCCCAACTGGTGACTGGCAGCAGTCACTGGAGCAAAGGTTAACTGGTGACGTAATGCTTGGTGGAAGACTGGCCGTAGAGGCTGTAGAAGTCAGTGTGCCTGTGCGACTGAGAGGCGTCGATCCAGTCGCGCATGGACAGGCTCTGGAGAGACTGGGACATTGCCGGGGCCGAGGGCAGAGGGGCGTGCGAGTACTCCTGCGAGCTCACCGGCCAAGGGAAGGAGCTGGAGCGAGGGTAGGGTGGATGTCCACGGTGGTTGGACACGGAGGGCACCCCTGAGCAGTAACAGTTATCGACCGTGCACATCAGGATCTTTCGCGCACCATACTGGGGCAGCTGGGAGGCGCTGGCGTTTGGATAATGGGAGTGCGGGAATACCGAGGCTGAGTGCGGTAGGGGTTGAGAGCCGGAAGCTGAGCTGCTGCTTCCTACATGCTGGGTGGAGCCACACGGCCCTAGAGCTTGCTGGGAGGACTGACCTTCGCCTGGGGCAGAGCCCTGAGTGAGACTCAGGCATGGCTGCTTGGCAGCACCAGGACCTGATGAGGTGGAAGAGTCCATGAAGCTAGCACCCGCTCGGCTGCTCCCGCTACCTTCGGGGAATGCCACAGAGTGCCTGCGCTTCTCGCACAGATACGCCGGAATACTCTGGAAAAAGTTTGCGGGAGCACTGAACGGAGCTGAAAATCCAAGAATTAAAAAAATGATTATGGAAATGGTCAATTATTAAAGAAAAGAGCATACAACATCAGATTTTATAGAATTAACACTTGAATATGTGCAATTTTTCATACATACCTTCCAGCATCTTGCAGAGGTTTTTCTCTCTTTTCGAGATTTCAGACAGAAAGAGTTTGGAGTTGAGGCTGCCCACTTTGTACGGTGACAATGTGATGCCCACATACGACTGAGACCTAGAGTCCAAAACCAAGTTAATGTTTACACTTAACACAATAGCAGGACAGGAATGATGACTTATGAAGCTTATGATAATTATTCATGTATGAAAACAGTGACTCACCTGTCCATTAGTATTTTCACAGATTTTGTGTTCTAAACAGAAAAAAAGAAATTGCATATCAGTATATAAAATTGTATATCAGTATAAATAAATAAATGGTAGGGGGGATAAAAAACAGTAAGTAACTATGTAAATGTCAGAGAACAAGCCTGGAATGTAGTTTTGCATTGTTTCCATTCTCATTGTTCTAATTCTATTGATAAAAAATAAAAAATATATAAAAAGCCATTATAAAAGTAAAAGTTACAAGTCAAGATGCAAATATAAATCTATGGAAATGGAAGTTTGTGAATCAGCTTTATAGTGGCATATAAAAATATTGATAAATAAAAGATGCAGACAGCAAGCTGGCCCAACCCACCAGTGTTGTGTGAGGGTTTTTGCACAAAGTTGTTGTGTGGGTTTTGGCACTCAAAATAAAGCCAAAAAAATCCCATAACAGATTTTTTGCCAGTCAACTGAATGTAAGAAGCTAAAATAAGACTGCAGTGAATACAAGTGATTCAAGGACAAGATGAATTTGATGTTAAAAATGTCACTTTATATTTCCTGGATTCCAGATAGGTGACCTGTGTATCTAGCACATGAAAAATGGATGCCTATTCGGCATGGGGCTAAAAATAATAAATTCCTGGCATCTTTGTATACTATTGCACTGTTATAGTTAGCTATAAATCGAGTTCACCAATAGCAGCCTGGCAAAAAAGAAGAAAAGAAAAAAGAAACTCTTCATCATCCTCATCATAATAAAAGGCAAAGGCACTTTAAAACACTGCTAAATGTCACCATTTATAACAAACACAGGCCATGTAATATTGACAATGGCAATAAAAGTCAGGTCACCTTCATAAAACCGATTTCCTCTGCCTTATCGAAAACCATCTGAATGGAGCTGAGCAGTTTCTTTGCCTCTTGCTGTTTCTGGTGAAGCTGCAGGGCCTGTGCCGAGTTCTCCTGGCAGAACTTGGAATGGGCCTTATCCAGAACCTCCAGGGTCTTCCCCAGATCTTCCTCCAGGAGCTGCTGCATTTTCTGATACTGCAGCTGCACCTCCTCCTTCAGGTGCTGCACTTTGTCCTGAGGTTCCACAGAGAAACACAAAACCATAAATTATTATGCAAGTCCTGCGGTGTCTTAACAATGGGGGTTATGCAGAGACTGCATCTGATGTGGATGATTAGGAAGAGCCACTGAGGAACAGGATTTGTTATGGTACAAGAACCAGGCATAACCTTTATCACAAACCTGTATGAATGTACTAATGTGGTCATTAATCACAGTAACAGGAAGAGTTTCCTGTATTAAAAAGCAAAGTGTTTAGTTCCAAAGCAAAGGATGCATTTGTTCTGCTAATAATAATACTAATAAAGTGATTTAGCTCATCAATTTTTTGAACATATCACACTTACTTCCATGAGACATTTGTCAGATTCTAATTTGTAGAGTTGATCTTCTATGTCCTGAACACGGTCCTCGATCCGATCCTGCTGTTTAATCAGCATTTGCTGCAATACAAAAAGAACTGATTAGGTCAATACTGTTTTTTTATTCTAAGATATGTTTGGCTAAATTTGACTAAATCAGAATATCTGGCAATGTTGAGATAACCGTACTGTAATTCATTTTAAATATATTAATTACATTAAAAAAAAGTGAAATAATCAAACCATTTTTTACCACAACCAACCAAATTTGCTCCTAGTTTTCAAAGAATATTGTCAGTTAAGACCATACTTGAGATGAAATAAGGTTTAAAAAAAAAAAAAAAAAAAAAACATCACTTGTGAGCAGAATATGTACTGCATCTGCAAAGTAATTTGTATACAATTATGCAAAAATTATGCAAAATCTATAAACATTATTTGTATATTAATGACATAATGCGAGCTAAGAAATGACCCAAGCCAATTTTATTCCTCGCTTTAAAAATGTCATTTTTTCCACCACCGTCCTTTGTTATGAAAAACACGACCTGAGGTGGAGTGGAAATGACACTTTGATGAAAATGTTCATGGCATTCAGAACTAAAAAAAAATTATTCTCCTGTGTGCATGATGTGTTGGACTTTGTTAATGAAGCAAGGAAGAATCGCAAAGCTACTGTAATGACATGTTTTTAAGGAAACTTAAAATGTGCATTTAATACATCCTAATATTAACAATGTTGCTGAATTATACATGAGCAATAGAATTCATGAATATTCAATATGTATCTCAGTCCAAAGATCACACATAAATGACAATGAGTAGAATGCAAGCTATATGCTATAAATAAAAGACGACAGGATCCTTGTTCTACATTAGTAATGTTGGAATCTATAACCTAAGAATTCTTCATAGTATAAAATCATTTTCAGTCTTGTTTTATTTCTAGACAATGATATAATCTAGTATTTATATTATTAACTAGCATATTCTTTCTAAAATAGTTCTTTTCAAAACTACATAAAGAATATGAGAATGTGGCACTGAGACAAAAAGATTGGTTCTGTTGTGATGGGACAAATGTAACTTTGCTAACTTCCTGTTTCTTTCTTTTCAATGAATGCAATGTCAAGGCCCCGCAGAGAAGGACTGGTGGCTGAAGAGGAATTTCAATTATTTTCCTTTCATATTCAAATGGCAAACAAAGGGAAAAAACACAAACAACTTGCGATGCCTGACAGAAGTTCAGTGGTACCTAAGGAACAAACCAAATTAGTTTTAATTAAACAAACGCCGCGTGCGAGAGGCAGTCACCAAAAAGAAGGTGGGGGTGCTGTCATGGCAACAAAGCTCTTTTTTTCATATCTGTATATTCAGAGGGGAATATGAGGGAGGAAAAGGGAGGAGGAGAAGGAAAGACAGCATAGAGGAGAGCAAAGAGAAAGAACGAAGGCTCATTTCACACTGTCTTTCCCCATTTTGTCTTTGTCTGCGTCCAAGGCAGAGACAAATCGTGTTGACCCTGTGAGTGTGTATTTTGGAGCAAAGCTCCGTAATGAATGCAGGCTAGCTCACAGATAAAACTGCTTCCTGTAGAAAGAGGACAAACCTCAACCACATCAAGCCACTTATGCTCAAAAGCTTACAGGCGAAAAACAGGGCTTGCGCTGCCAAAGTTGACTGAGGGCATGTCTAATTCAGTAGCGTGACGTCAAATTTTAATAACCTCACATGCGGGGATGAAAGCTTAAACAAAACAGGTATTCTTCATAGAAGCAAAGAAGTCAATTTTGGTATTTTTCTTCATACTTGACAGTAATACACTTATATAATTCTGATTCATCTCAGCAACAAAGAGTAAAAAACAAAGGGAATCAATGTCAGTCTTCAGAATGCAGCAGTACAGGACAAACGCAAGACCCAGAGAGGGATGCGCTGCAAACTAATGATCTTCAATCACACCGTCTGACAGACGCTTATAACAGCTGACTGTACCCTCTGTGCCAAATGAACTACATCAATCACTGCCGATGATGCGCGCAACCAAACCTTTTCCTTTCAACAGATTTTGTTTGCTGAGCGCATGACAAATTGGATCCACAATCACATGGTACTGGGTAAACGGACTTATTTTTGCGCATCTCGCTTGTCCATCAACTTGATTTTCTTTCAATTTAAGATTTGGATCCAAGGAATTGGGCTGTGAATCAGACTCATACAGACTACACTAACCTCTCTACATTACCAAATACACCATATATTTATAGCAGGATATGCAATATTCATTGCAGTCCGACGGGAGATCTACCTCATATTAAGTTTTACAGGGACGATACTTTATTAAAAGCCATATGGAGCCGTTTTCAACCTATACAGCTGCTTAATACAGTAATTTAAATGGATAGTTCACCAAAATGAAAAATGTGGTCATCATATTTACTTGCCTTCGTCTCCTGCATGAAAACCTGTATGACTGACTTTCTTTTGTGGAACAAAAGAAGTTATTTAAAATAATATATATTTTTGTCATTTTTGTCCATGCAATGAAAGTCAATGGGGTCCAGTTTTGTTTTGGACTCCATTGACTTTCATTGTAGAGACAAAAATGTTCTTCTAAATATCTTCTTTTTGTTCTGCAGAAGAAAGAAATGACAGGAGGGTGAATAATTTTCAACAATTTAAATTTTTGGATGAACTACCCTTTGAAATGCTGTGAATTTGGCGAGTGGCGACGCGCGTCAAAATGGCTAACAATACACGATTGGTTTCTGAAAACACAAGTTCGCCATCTTCTCCTTTACAGATTGAATTGGTGTTTATATATTCTACATCGACAATCAGGACCAGAAGAAAGGTCAAGAAGCAGAAAACCGCATGGAGACAGAGAATGTCTTTGAAGCTCTAGGATCTAAGACCATGGCCTAATTGTAGTGACTGATGAGCTCGGGCTGCCGGCAGAAGCCTGGAGGGTGGAACCTAATACCTCATGGCAGCGGTGCTGGCTTGCCATCCAGGACGGACCTCTCTCAAGGGGGAATGGGGGTAGGGTGCTCAAAATCACTGTCATTTCAAACCAGCGTCTCCTCCGCCAAGGTCAGAGTGAACGAGGCAATAGCAACCTTGCCCTGAGCTACAGCCCCAGACAGAGCCATTTTGCCTTGTAGCAGATGAATGTGGAAAGACAAACGGTGTCCATCAAAGGCAGTAAACATAAGATTCACAAACACGTGCTACCTGCAAAAATGAAAACTCTGGAAATCCCAAAACATCCCAAACAGGCATGGTTTCAGTTTCAAATAGCTTGGGCTACACGACAACAAGAGTTCATTTTGTAGATTGATTGGTCATTGCCAGCATGTCCTGTCACAGAAATGCCTGAGATAACTGATGGCATTTGATTTATATAATCAACATAAATGGAAATTATGCTGACAGCAAGCACATGAGTCAAATTAGAGGCAAGCGAGGACTGCTTGACTTTTAATAAACATAAAGCTACTGTAAAGTAAAAAAAAGCATAATATGTATTAACTCTCAGCCACATCCAGTATTAACTAAAGATGTATGTTTGAAACATTAAGAGCAAATATAATATTGAAGCGGTTTAAAAACCCCACTCTGGCTGTGACACGGAGATTTATTTGGTTTTGGGTTCATGAATTGCCTATAAAAGAATAAAAAAAAAACGTCTTCTATAGCATTGTGCATTGCTGATAATTTAAAACAAGAAAATCCAGGTTGTTTTGTTGCAGAGTGCCTTGAAAATGCAAGGGGTTGTTAAGGGTAAATTAAATCCAAATCTGGCCTTTTCCCTCATCTGTGCCACAGAAAATAAGACTCATCATTAAATTCTCCAGTCGCAGTCCTCCCCCTCCCCAAAACGCCACGCAAGGATGCACCTGTGCTGGGAAGATAAGCCCAGAGGAGAGCTTCGGCATTGTTTGCAGCTCTACCCAATTGTTTATCATTCAAATGGAAAAAAAAGGGGGGGAAGGGGACTGAATAGTTAGCAACTACATCGATAAACCTCACCGTCTCATCCACCAAATCCAGAAGTGAACCACAACCTTGAACCTGGAAGTAAAAGACATAGCATGTGAAGAAGTAGTGGCCACTTACTCTGATATCGTTTCGTCTGACTTCTATATCGCACACCGCATGGCCGTGGTTGGTAGCACATCTGGAGAAGCAGCAGTACTGGCAGACGGCCACATGCTCGGTCTCACAATGATACAGTCTGTACTCGTCATGCTGTGGACAGCTCCAGGCCCGCACGTCCTCGGCATCCACCAGTAAGTGTCCAGCGTTGGAAGAGGGCTGTTGGAGATGGGTCTGTACGTGGGAATGGCAGCAGGGAGCATTGCACCTGAGGCAAACCTTCTGGGCTTGAAGCGGAGGACCACGCCGGCAGAGAATGCAGTGCAAGACTGCTGGCGTCTTCTCAACGTTTAACGCGTTGAACTTCTCCACAATGTTGGACAGCTTGTGGTTCTTCTCCAGAGCTGGTTTTTGGCTGTAGGCATGGTTGCATTCGGGACAGCGGACCATTCCTGCATCTTTAGACCAGGCCTCATTGATACACATGCGACAGAAGTTGTGTTTACAAGGGAGCTGAACTGGCTCCGAGAACACATTCAAACAAATCGGGCATATGAGCTCTTCTTCGAGACAGTTCTTCCAGTTCTCAGCCATCTTTAATGCTCACAAGTCAAGGTAAAAACTGCATAAAATAGGCCTTCCTCTGGCGATACCTGAAATGGGTGGAGTGGGAACCACAGGGACCTTGTTTTAGCCCACAAACCTCAACTTTGTGCCAATGAGAGTATGAATACTCCAGCTGAGAATACTTTCAGCTCAAGGCAACATCATTACACCACCCACTTCTTCATTCGTTTGTGTCAACTGTAGGCGTCTCGAGAATTTGGTGTTGCCACAGCACTAAAGTGGACTTTTCTGTCTTGTGACTTTAAATGCCAACACACTTGTTCATAACCTACATGTGTGGCTGATTCGCCCACTAGTTATCTATTACGACTATGAATAATCCAGTCTGCTGACGACCAGCTTGACAGCTTCTCGTTTACAAGGTAAAGACACGTTGATAGGCCGTTTTTCGAGAACAGCCTCGAGCGAGAGACTAATAAAAGCTTTTGAAAAGTAAATTATAATTCTCACGACAAGGCTTTTGTTTAGTTTTTTTACCGCTGCTATTTTGACATAGCATTACACTGACATGGATTTTATCCCCAAAGAGGATTATAATGGTTCTCCATACAGACGTGCATTACACTTTACAGTAAAATATTCATATCCACGTAGCGTGTTTTATAGTTGAATTTCATAGAAAATAACGATCTTAACCAGACCAATCGGTTAATTCTTACACATATGTGTAGACTACGCGCATACTAGACTTCCCCCTCATTATAACAAAGGAACATAGAGAGAACATACACTGGTATGTAACCAAGTCAAGAGAAAACTGGACTGCCAAGTGCCTTCACTTTGATCTCTTCAGGCGAGAAATAAATTAGGTCTTATTCCGATACACCTCCAAAAATAAACAGACAGCGAAACGGAGTGGTTCTTGCTACTGGAGTCTGTCATCTGCCATCTTGCGTCCCTCTTTAAAAATGAAAAAGAAAACGTCTCTGTTTGGCCCCCATCAAGCGTCTCTCGCTTTAGTGCTTAAAAGAAATTAAAAGTGGATTACAGGCGTGCGTTTCTTCGCTGGTTCCGAATCCTATCGTGGCTGATTCCTGAGAACGTGCATCCATGGGTCGATCCTCAAAACGAGCCGATCTCACCATGGTATTATTTATGGTTTTTCCTCTTCTGTCGTCCAGGCTTTGATGAGGGTTGGAATGCAAGGACAGAAAAGAGAGTTTCAATACACACAGAGCTTCACACTCGCTCCTCCTCTCCCAACGACCACTCCGCCAATCACGTGACTCATCACTGCTTTGACATGCAAAAAAGGAGGTGCTTCGAGCCACTAGGCGGGGCTTTGTTTAAAAGGGCAACTACGTCGCTGAGATAGGTGAATATTGATTCAGCCCAGTGATTCAAATCTTTTGAACAAATTCGCTAAAAAGAATCATCCACTTTCAGTAAATCAGTGTTTTTATGCAAGTTTTACCAGAAGTCGGCGACCAGCTGCGAGTGTCTTTTTGTGTATTCTGATTTATGAAGCAAATTGTTCACAAGTCTTGTCATAAGGGAGACTTCAAGGAAGAGAAAATTTGAGCCAGTGCTTGGAAATTGAATGAGAACGAATCATTCAAAAGATTCGATTCAAAAACAATGATTTCACGAACAAAAAACATCCCTGGCTAACTCTGTTCTGCGTGTGATGTGAAAATAGTTTTATGTACACATGTATGAACCCACCCTCATTAATTAGCCTCCCAGCTAACATATGGCGGACTGACAGGTCATTGTTACCTGGGTTTATTTATCAGAAAACATGTTTGCCTGTCAATAATTTTGCGCATTTGAGTTTGCTGATATCAGGACGGATTATTTTATTCTTGAGAGACCTTAATTATCACAGAAAAGATCGATATTTTCAACCCATACCCAGCTTTACATTTCCATTACATTGATTGAATAGCTTTCATTGACTGGCCCTTTTAAGAAGAGCTACGTCATAACCAAAAACATGATCAGTTCAGGGAATTATGTGAAAGGGGGGGATAACGGGGATTTCTTACTCGAGCTGTAATGACATGAAGTTGTTAAATACGCTGACATAATCCAGTCCTTCCCACATAGGAAACTACTCAAACATCCGACTGGTGACGTACACAGTACAGGAAAAAAAGAGTCACATTCAGAATCTCTGAGTCTTTTTGTTTTTGAGGGGAGGACGACGAGCACTTGCTCTACTACTGTACATGTGATCAACATAATCACAATTTGCAATTAACTATGCTATATCTCACAGTCTTCTAGGCAAAGGGACAGAAAGCTGAAATCTCTAGAGGCTTAATTCTTTTCTGTATGTGTCCTCATGGGAACCAATTATTATACTAAAGTAATTTGAAACCTGCACTTACCTAGTCATGTAGTGCCTCATTTTGGTGGATCGTTCAGACATTTAGTATACACCAGGTGTATATGCACATTGGTTTTGCTATTATAATTTATAATGCATGTAAAATGTGTTAAATGGCTAAATCAGGGTAACAATGTATGAACTGAATCTTTTAAAAGGTTTGGTTGTAGGCCTGTACAAATTATTATATTTTAGAGTTTAAATTGGTCAATGCTGAATCAGTAACTACTTAAAGACAAGAACATCACATAAAGACATTAATGTTATAAAACATTTATTTGCAAGCAAAATGATTTGAACAGTGGGCAAAAGCACTAAAACTCTTATATCCTAATAACTCAAATGTTTCCTAAAATAAATAACCATAAAATACGACACAAATATCAGATGTGCCCGCTGTGCACCAACCAGTAGTTGATAAACAGAAAATGTAACCATCTAAGGACTAAAATAGTAAGCCGCGTCTTCTTGTTTAATTTTTTTTGTTTTGCAAAAATCATACAGTTGAAATAATGAAATTTCACACAAAAATGTATCTTTACTAAAAGTTAAGAATATAAATTTGTCAATAAAAATTTTAATTTGGAAAACCCTTATACAAAACTATTTCGGTAACTTTAAAATTTTAACGTCAAATTGGCCAAGGAATTAATTTCTTCTCATCAGTCAAATTGACAACTCTGCTTGTAAAACACAAAAATAAAGTGAATTTGGACATTTGGTACAAAAATAAGTTAGTTATACATGCTAGTACAACACATTTACGTTCATGTGAATTATAATATACATACTTTTTCAGTAATGATAATTATCGATAGCAATGAGTAACTCAATGAATTTCAAAAAGTCATATAAAACAGATGTTACTAGCCACAAAACAACTTTTAACAGCTGGCCGAATTATAAAGACAATGTATAAGTCCTGAAAGTATTAAAAACACCATAGATATCCATGCAATTCCATATTATGTATCCCTGGAATGCCGCTGAACACTTAGTGTAAACATGCCCTTTCTCAGAACACAGTGTGTTTTTTTTCTTTACATATAGTTAAAACATACAGTCAAGGGAGATGTGATTAGATTTGGCTTGATTATCAACCCATAGAACTATTCACTGAAACTTCAGAACAGTTGGTTTGGGTGGCAGTACTGTTCAATATGGTCCCAAACCACTAGATTGTTCGAACTGTCCTTTCATATTTGGTCACATACTCAATATAAATACCCAATCGTTAGCAAACATAGCAAATTAAGGCAAGTTTCAATGAGATGGGACCTACGTTCTCTCTCAAGTGTCTTTTGCAGTATTTGGCGTCACCATTATCCATTCGGGGCCTGTTGGCAGAATGCCTGGACTTGGGGAATGTCCACGACTCTTCCCCTCCCTATTGGAGTATTAGATAGCCTTGACATCAATGAGGTGGCTGTGTTGGGCACCTTGCCTCAGGGACTTGATGTTTTGTAGCCTTCGCCCATGCAGAGTGAAGCGAGACCACGCCAGCAGCTGCAGAAGGGCACAGGAAATGGGCACAAACACCAGTAGGTAAAAGCAACCCTGACGCAGTGGCACAGGGAAAGAAGGAGCTGCGATCGGTGCTTCTGCCACTGACTTCCTCTCGAAGATGTCATATCCTGGAAAAAGATAGGGGAAATGATGAGACTTGACGATACATTTACATTAAAAGTTTGAGTATTTTAATCTTAGAAATGTATTTTATTCAGGATGAAAATTAAAGGAGAACTCCGGTCAATTTTACTAATTCAAATTTTACTAATTTTAATTTTACCGGTCGATTGTCGAGTTCGCGCGCGCGATCATTAGTTATATTAGTTACCAATGATCGCGCGCGCGAACTCGACAATCGACTACTGTGGACTTCGAACGAAAACAGGAAGTGAATACAGGTATGTGAGCTGGCTGAATTAACATCATTTTTATTAATATCTTTCACATCTACTGCAGTCAGATTGACCGTGGTCACTCTTAAAAAAACAACGCACATGGCTGTGCACTTGTAATGACAAATCAAGGATGTTAAGAGGCTAAAAGCAGGTTTAGAACTTGCCCCGTTGAAGTCAACAGGGTGCGAATTTTAAAAAGAGGATAACATGGTGTAGGCAACACCGATTTTTGTTGTTTTTGTCTGTACTGACAGCACTCCAAATGTACAAAAAAATTAGCTCAACGTTAAAATTGACCGGAGTTCTCCTTTAAATTGATCAAAAGATCAAATCAGTAAAGACATTTAACAATGTTACAAAAGATTTCAAAGAAATTCTGTTCTTACAAATTTTTTATTCATGAAAAATTATTATCATGGTTTCCACAAAAATATTAAGCAGCACAACAACTGATTTCAACATTGATAATAATAAGAAATGATATTAGAATGATTTCTAAAGGATCACTAACACTGAAGACTGGAGTAATGATGCTGAAAATTCAGCTTTATCATCACAGGAATAAATTACATTATAAAATATATTCAAAAATAAGTTATTTTGAATCGCAATAATGTTACTGTTTTTTTGATCAAGTAAATGCAGCCTGGGTGAGCCACTTGGTTTAATATTTTGCCATCTAATTTAAAATGTACTGGGTCAAACAAGTACAATGCATGAGAGAGATTCTTTGTTGTTGGCTCCAGTATGAAGAATGTGCTTTTCCCTAATTTGTAATTCCCTTCAGAAAAAAGCATCAGCTAAACAATTAAATGTGAATTTTTAAATGTGATTGTTGCTTGCAATGCAGGTTTATTCACAGCACACACACCTGTGTAGAGACACAGCAGCCAGGTACCAATGAGAGGGGCAAAGGTCTGACCAGGCTTGGTTACCAAGGCAACCATACCAAAGAGCAGGGCAGAAGCTGCTTGTTGCCGGTGGTTCAACACAAAGTCCTCATCCACTAGGTCTGTGATCACCAGGTTCAGAAGTTTACAAGTTCCCTCTGTGAAGACGCGATTACTACGGAGAGATTCAAACAACACAATAAAATAGTAAAAATAGATAACACAATGCTGATGAAAGATTATTTGAATCTGTTCTCAGAGGCTAATGTGCATCTTTTTTATTAATTAATCGGTGTTAATCTTGTCAACTTAATAAATGGAGAAAATGTTTTTTTTTTTTGTCAAAGATAAAGAATAGCAAAAAAGAAAGAAAGCGAAATGCACATCATCACAATTAACAGATTTTAATTAAATACTCTAAATAGCTAATACTTAATTCGTAATCTACCAAGTGTTCCCTAAAAAGAAGACCAAACTTAAGTCTGTGCTCCAAAGTATTTAATATAAAGAATGTCTTTCCTATCATTAAGAACTAAGTATTTTTGAAAAAATGAAAATACATTTTTTAGTACTTCAGATAAACATTCAATTAATCAAATTAATAATACAATATTACATGACTCTTTATCTATTGCTCAAGAATTTAATCAGCATTTTTCATCTGTCTTTTCTACCTTAGTATCTGACTCTTATTTGAATACTGGCACTATATCTGATAGTAGTTCCTTTTTGATTTAAGAAGATCTTACCGAATGAAGTTCAAAATGGTGGTGTTGGACTAGATGGTATTGAAAATAGGTTTCTTGAATTATCTTCTTATATTCTTATGTATCCATTTGCTGATTTATTTAACTTGTCTTTATCTACATGCGAGTTGCCAGTTATCTGGAAATGTGCACGTATTACTCCACTTCACAAGGGAGGTGATGTACTTGTTCATTATCATGTTCTATATCTAAAGTTTTGGGGGGAAAAAATCTATAAACAACTTTCAAATTATTTATGCATTAATAATATTTTATCACCATTTCAATCTGGTTTCAGGACCAATCATTCTACCACTACTGCTTTACTTAAGTTTACTAATGCTGTGTTCTCAATTGCACATGATGGTAAACTCAGGTGCAAATTTTCTTGATTTATCTAAAGCTTTTGATTTAGTTGATCGATATTTACTTTTAGACAAACTCCATGTTTTTGGTCTTTCTGAAAATTCAGTTATGTGGTTTAATTCATACCTGCATAATAGAAAACAATGTGTAGTATTAAATGGGAATAAATATGATTTTCTGGTTCAACCAAGAGGTGTAACCCTAGGCTCAATATTTGGACCACTTCTTTTTCCATTTATGCCAATAATTTTCCTTTAATTAAAAAAAAAGTAATGTTCCAACCAGAGGTGGGTAGTAACGAAGTACATTTACTTCGTTACATTTACTTGAGTAGTTTTTTGGAATTTTTTTACTTTTAAGAGTAGATTTAATTGTGGGTACTTTTACTTTAACTCGAGTACATTTCTAATGAAAAAAACTCTACTTTTACTTCGTTACGTTGGGGCGACGTTCCTCTCGTTACTTTATTTTAATGCAATATGTTGTTAAAAGCGTAGTTTATTCTAAGCGCGCGCTCTCTCTTTTTTCTGGGCATGAGCGATGCTCAATTCACAAATGAATCACTCTTTTGAGTCGATTCTGTTCAAAGACTTCATCAAACAAGTTGGGCAGATCTGTCTAAATCGGTTCGCGAATCAGTTTGAATGATCTGTTCAGTTTCCTGCACGCACTGAATCGTTTTGGAGTCGTAACAGGAGGGTTTAAGAACATCAAAAGCGTTGTATGAAGTGGCGGTCCACAGTCTACAGTAGGCTACAGTCTAGAAAGTAAATCTGCAAATGCATCATATTTTTTGCCAGCCATGAAGATCTTTATTAGTTGAACATCTTCGTATGCTACTTCGTAAGCTGTCTGTGAATGAATTATTCCACACGACGATACATTCGATTTCATTTCATTCAGGTAATACATTTTACAACCAAACAGATTATTACGCCATATAGCACTACTACAAAGTATGGCATTACCCTTTTTTTGGACATATACATTACTTTATACATTAAATAAGCTATCATCGTTCAGTTTATGAATGTGTGTATACACACACACAATGTGTGTGTATTGCGCAGTGGCGTGCGAACTCGACTTGAAAACGAATGCCTTTGCCTGCCTTATTACTTATTAGACTCAGTTAACCAGTTTAAAGATGCTTTCATAAATATAGCCTTCATTTAAATACATTTTGGAGAACAGACAGAAGAAGATCCGTGTATTTGATCGTTGTTTGTGTTGGGCATGACATGACTGCGAGCACATGTGAAGAGTTTTAACTCTTTCTAATCTGTGTCAATGGTTCCCACCCCTTTATGAATGCAAAACTCCATAGAGTCACTTTATTCCGACATTGTCTAATAATCCAAATGTAGTTGTATAAGTTACTATACTATTATACAAACCAAAGGACAGGCAATGGTTTTCGGGCTATAATATACATATATACAGAAATAATGTTTGTCTCTTCTGTTTTTGTTGCAAAGATAGCTTATCTAATTATGATGATAATAGTCATTTAAATGAAAAAATATAATATCATGATATATAGGCTATATTATATATATATATATATATGCCTATGTGATCCAAAGTAACTAGTAACTAACTACTTGAGTAGTTTTTTAATTGGATACTTTTTTATTCTTACTCAAGTAACTTTTGAGATTATTACTTTTACTTTTACTTTGAGTAAATATTTCTATAAGTACTTGTACTTTTACTTGAGTACAGTTTTTGGATACTCTACCCACCTCTGGTTCCAACTTTATGCTGATGACACCGTTATAGATGTATGTAATACTATAGACTTCACAGATTTGTTTTGGGATTATCTTTTTTTGCTCATCGTTGTACAATGTATGATGCACTTCAGTGGCCATCTCTGCATTTAAGACAACATATTCATTGGAATTTATATTCAAATATCTTGTACCTTACTCTTTTAATTATCAAGTTAGCAGTGGTGGAATGTAACGAAGTACAAATACTTCGTTACTTTACTTAAGTAAATTTATCACGTATCTATACTTTACTTAAGTAGAATCAATAGTGCATACTTTTTACTTTTACTTCGTTACATTTTGAAGCAATTATTATACTTTCTACTCCACTACATTTCTACAACGTTCTGTTACATTTTCGTTACATTTTCTGATCAGTTTTCCCCATAGACAGTAAAAGAAATGGACAGAGCGATCTCATTGGAACTCAGTTGAGACAGTTGAAGCCCACTTTTAGCGATTTTTGAGAACTTCCGTTCCTGACGCGCAGACTCAAACCGACTCAAACTAAGCTTGATGACGTGAGCAACCTGTCTGACAGACGTTAATCTTCTAGTAGCTGTGCGTGAAAACTGCCAATGTTAATCTTGCAGAGACGGGGAACTTGAGCAAAGAGTTATTTGGCGTGAGTGAGCAGGAGTAAGTATTCCGTTGCTTTTATGGATTGCCTGCGAGCTTCTCCTCCTGTCTGTACGGTAATTTCTGTACAGCGCGACAGAGAGTCGAGTGGTTATGACGCAATCGTTAGCCTATTTTTACTAAATCTGTTTCTACGGGGCCATAATGTAACATAGAAGGTAATGGAGCCCTTTATACATTGTCGTGTTTCTTTAGAAATAAATAATGGACAAATGGAGTCTTTAAACGCCTCAGATGTAAAGTTATTCGCTGTCAAAGTGACGCCAAAATGACTGGGAGTCAATGGAAATGCTAACGCAAGTGAAGTTCTGCTACAACATGGCGGCACCCGGCCGGCTTCAACTTCCGGTCGATGGATTACCCCCTTGGGTTTTCCCCTGCCAAAACGTCATCCTGACCGTCCGTTCATCGCACGTTTGTCTCACCAGTAGTGATGGCCAAATGAAGCTTTTGTGAAGCACTGAACCACTTGAGCCAATTGGTTCGAAAATGGGTTCATTACTCGAAGCTTCAGTTGCAGCGACCTCTCCTGGCGAAAAGCAAGGCTGCAGTCAAATTAATCAGTGAGCAGTATTGGAGAAACTACTTTAGTTCTGAAGCATCTTTGCTAAGATCATTTTAACTTTTAAATTTTTAACTATATTTCCTTTGAAAACTCTTTGATGCACATGCTAATGCTGAGCATAATGTTCTATTTACAAATAAAAATTGATAAATGTATGTTTTGTGTTATTTAGGAGAGAGTGCTTGGAAAATATGGCATAGGTTGGGTGTGCTTGTGTAACTATGGCAGGGGGTGATTTTTGGGATGGGGAACACTCAAAGATTTTTATTGAGGTACATTATTTTTTCAACAGTTTTTGGACTGAGTCGGTTTCTTTTTTTGCTCACAACCTCTCCAGACTTGGAAAACACTCGCTCACAAGGAACAGATGATGCTGGCGAACATAAATTTTTTTTTTGCAAGATTAAACAGATGAGGGTACACATTTTGATGGTTTCGCCAGTACGCCAGTGGGTCTTCAGATCTTGCTACTGGTGGATCAGTCACCATCAGACTCAGAATCGAGACGCGCCGTTCCAGTGAATCACCTGATTGGACCGCAAACCAGTCAGATGATTCATTCAGGCAATGAAGCACTTGCTGCTTCGGACGTCATATGTCACATGATTTTTTTCGCACCAAAGCAAGCTTTGAAGCAGTGGTTCTCTAGGTTTGTAGTTCAGGGTTTCGAAGCACGTATCGAAGCTTCAGCGTCACACTGCCATCACTACTCACCAGTGAAGTTTGGTTGCCATAGATATATCAACCCGGTCACACTAAATGCGTCTCTATAGCACGCAGTGTGTTTATCGTGCAATTTATACGCGAAAATTAGTTTTTACATGCATAGGAAACGCATTGGTAGGTTTAGTAGTGATGTGGGGTGCGTGTGTATTATACGTTTGGTTAGGATTAGTATGGCAAGCCAAGAGGTTCAGAATTACGCCAAATGAATCGCGTTTACAGCCAAACGCCGTCACATACGACGTTTTAACATAATATATGTGTTATATATATATATATATATATATATATATATAGCAAGGGCGTAGATTTGGTTTGAACATTGGGGGGGTTGTAATGTTTAATATAGTTTAAAAAAATTGTTCTGCATATTTTTCATGTGATCATGGTATAAATATTTGGGGGGGGGGGGGGGGGGGGTTATCTCCCCCCCAACCCCCCCATAAAATACGCCCCTGATATATACCGTATATAGTAAGTTTGATGTGTATATTGCCTAATTGCAAGCTTGTTCAGAAATGGTGACAAAAACTTAAAATATAACTGCTTTTCCATCACATTGAACGTCATTATATGAGTATTAGGATGAGTATTAAGAGTTAGAATTAACTGTTTTATTAATCATTAGAATATAGACATTAAGAGAATAAATTGTTATGCAAGTACTTTTACTTTTAATACTTAAAGTACATTTAAAATCAGGTACTTTTTACTTAAGTAGGGTTGTCATTGTGGTACTTCTACTTTTACTAAAGTAAATATGTCTCTGGTTATTTGTACTTTTACTTAAGTACTGAGATTCAGTACTTCCTCCACCACTGCAAGTTAGACACACTGTCCACTGGGTTTTTTTTTTTTTGTTCCTTGGGTTAAAAATGTTTTTTCTGTAAAACAGCTTTTATGTTTAAAGCCCCAATAGACTGGAATAATTTACCTGCGGATATTTGATCTATTACATAATTTAGGATGTTTAAACAAACTTGGTTTTCTCACACATTTAGAACCTGTTGAACTTCTGAAAATGGAAGGGCTTGTGGGAAGCTCATTTCTCACCTAGCAATAAAGATGCAGAGCAGGTACACCTGGTCCGCCCCTGCTAGAAGCATGGCTATGCTGAGGCCCAGCTTTAAGAGGAAGAGCCAGCGGACAACCTGGTAGACACCCAGTCTTTGGCACAGCGTCAAGAAGTAGAGATTGTTTAGATGAGGTGCAATGTAAGAAAAGCCTGTGTCACAGGAAAATAGAGAATAAGTCAAATACAAATTTTACTACACACACACGTTTATCCTCATATATGTATATCATAACGGAAATCATTACGGAAATCATAACCTCACAATAGGTTCTCACAAGCAGGTCTACATAGCCAGCATTGTTATTGTGCTGTGGCCATGTGAATGATTTCTTTTCTCTTACCTAGCAGGAAGGAACCAGTAGAGGCAGAGATACGGTCTGACAGGAGGTGCTCCAAAAACAGAGGAAAGAAATTGTTGTTGAAATGGCAGTGGAATACCTGCGGATGGTAGAGGAATATATATATATATATATATAAATCGGTTCTCTAATTGGATGATTTTAGAAAATACCTCTTTAACTTTTACGTTTTACATTTACCTGTACAAGGTTCATAGAGACAAACCACATAAAGTTCTTGTGACATGACAGCTGCTTTAGATATTCTCCAAGAGTGACTGGCTTCCCAGGTGAGGTAAAAGGAGCTTGACCGACACTCAGTCTATAAGAAAGTCAAGGAGGATGGGACATCCAACGGGAGGAAAATAAGAAAAGAAAAAAAAGTTAAAGAGAAATTCATACAATAAAAAAATACATATAATAAAAAGATGTCAAATTCTGATTGGATGAGCAATGAGCATCTATGTTAAATTTGCAGTAAGCGATTTTTGAAAAACGCTGTTGAAATGTGGATCGGACCGAGCACCAAAACACACGTGTAGCCAATCAGCAGTAAGGGGCGTATACACTCATGATGGGGGAGGAGAGAGCTCAGTGCACACGACAGACCGACTATAGAAGGAGAGAGATGGCAGAGAAAATACAAAAGGCCAGAGGAATGTAACTTTAAAAAGAAGGGTTACAATCAGGCAAGACCCACATTTAATATCGGAGAAGCTTTCCAGCGCTGAAGAGAACTAAGTGGGAAAACCTGAAAACGGACGCCGAGGTTGCTTTATTGCTTCTTGATACATGAGTAACGTTGGTTTTGCTGTGTTTCACAGAACTAAGATATGGGGTCTTTTGCTTGAATATACTCGCATGTCATCTTCACTTGTTTGTTCATTTGCATTATTAATAAGCATGGAACGTTTAAACCACCTCCACCGCCCATTTTAAGCATCGGCTCCCAAAGTGTGTCTGAAAAGTGAGATAGTATAAAAGTTTTTTCTTTTGGTTCCCCTTTTAGTGATCGCTATAACCCCTTAATTTTGTCACATTTGTAATTTATTAGTTACCTGGACTATCGTTTTATGTAGGAAGCTGTTCATCATGAAAACAGTGTTTGTTTTTTGGGGTGGAAGGGATGACTTTGCCATCAAAGAGGAGCTAAATAACAATTAGACATTCTACCTTAATAATCATAGCAACACAAATTGCTTTCATGACATACCCTCAGGCAGCAGGCACATCGGCAGATTCCGCCATAGTCATTGCCTGTGTGTGTTGCATGCATAGCGTGTTCATGAACGATGCATCAAAATACGGGTGCGATCCTTTTGGGTTGGGGCATGTTTGTTTTATGGACTGCATTTATATAGCGCTTTCACAGACCCAATGGCCACCAAAGCGCTTTACATATTGCCACCCATTCACTCACTCATTCATACACCGCCAGCTAGGGTTTCCAACTGTCCGGAACATCCCGATTTTTGGGCCTACTTTATTTGTCCCGATCGGGACCTCTCTTGTCCCGATTATTGAGTGCTACGCTGATCTGGACTGATACAACAGCAACACGACCCGTAAATTAGTTTAAATCTCCTAGAATCTAGAGCTGCGCATGCGAGACAGAACATAGCTGTATGTGTGTCAGCGCCAAACCGTGTAGCGCGGAGAGAGAGAGGTAATAATGTTATAACCCCCCCCCCCCCACATAATATGTCCCACATTTCTCTTTTCGGAGGTTGGCAACCCTACCGCCAGCGGTGGTTTTAGTGATATATACTAATTCTATTATTCAAATTATTCAAATACCAGAAATCACTTACTGCACCTTTAATAAAACTCTCTACCCGCAACCATAAATAGCCTACAGCTAAGCTAATTGTCTATCTATAAACTTTGTTACAATGTTAGCATTTCAGAGGGCTGAGATTTGTAGTCCAGCAACTCTAAGTTTTGATATTCTGTAAAATAACTCCTTTTATGTTTCATCAACGAAAATAATATTGGTTGAAAAAATGTGTGGTTGAGTAAATGACGCCAAAAATAATCATTTTAAAGAGTCAAATATTCCTTGAATAAAGCTGGTGACAAATACTGTATGTTCATATCATTCGCTATCAACATCCCTTACTTGAGCGAGGCAGTTAACCCCAGGACAGGTTGCTCCACGGGGACCGGCTCTGCAATTAGTGTGGTGTAAATTGCCTCAGATGAAAAGTAACTGCTAAACGACAAGTAATATTTAGCACTGAAAAACAATAACTCTTACTCAGCAAGTGCTTGGCTCTCGTTCTTGCGTAGAAGGACTTCATTCTGAAACCGGTGCCGCAGGAGACGTGAAACAATGTAAAAGCCTAGCATTGAGAGAGCGGCTAGAGTCACACAGAAGAGCCTGAAGTAGTAAAAGTCTTCCTTGTTCCAGAAGGAGTAAGAGAGGAAAACGGACAGTGAGCCCATCGCACTGAACAAGGAACTGTGGAAGTTGAGGCGCGTGCGGTCATGTGCAGACACGGCCAGATCAGCCAGGAGGGCGTTGTGGTTGAGGTCGACCACCGTGAGGAAGCCATCGTAAAGGCACAGGCATATGAGGAACTGCAGTCCAGGCCAGGTCCAGGACACCCAGAAGGCCAGGAACGAGAGGGCAAAGAGAGGCCCGCTACGAGAGAGTGCTTGCAGACGCTTCAAAACCACCTCAGGGGATGTGATCTGGGACCCAGACCTGAGCAATCAAACACAGAGAGAGAGATTCATTAGATATGTACTCGTCCTATCGAACTGTGGATTTCCAGTTCCAGTGAATAATCTTACTGTGGAGAACTCAGGAATGAGCGGTCACTCAGCCAGCCAAAGAGAGGGTCGTTTAGGCTATTCCATATCAGAAACACAGTCTATGGAAAAAGAAACAACAAAATGAACAAAACAAAAACATAACTAGTCTCATATTCAGTTTACAAATAAAGATTATATAAAGTATAAGTAACATATATAATATGTCAAAGGCTTCCAACAAATTCATTATTTAATGCTTTTTAGACAAACAATTCAAAAGTAATTCAAATAATTAGATCAAATACAGTAAAAACAGTAATATTTTGAAATATTATTAATTTTAAATAACGGTTTTCTATTTTAATACACTTTAAAATGTAATTTATTTCTGTGATGGGAAAGCTGCATTTTCAGCATTAATACTCCAGTCTTCAGTGTCACATGATCCATCAGAAATCGTTATAATATGCTGATTTGATACCAAAAAAACGTTTCTTAGAATTATCATCAAGGTTGAAAATAGTTGTGCTGCTTAATATTTTTGTGTAAAACATGATACATTATCTTCAGGATTTTTTATGAATAGAAAGTATTTATGTAAGGGATAAGCCATGGCTACATTGGCTAGCTGTGCATTAAACGATTTTAATGCATGACGTGGAGACAAAGAAGCACCCGATGTGAAGTGGAGTGCATTCAAATCGTTTAATGCACAGCTAGTCATGGATTATCCCGCTTATACCATGGTCATTTGCCAGCACTGACAAGTTAAAGCTGTCATGTTTGCAGAGCAATATTTGACCGGAAGGATAAAAATGGATGGTTATTCTCATTAATTATGGCTTGTTAGATCTAGCATTCTGCCCACTTTAAATCATACAGAGATATAGTAGGGCAATAAGATTACATTTATTTGAATGAATGAATTATAGCATTTATTTGAATTTTCAATGCATGTGTGAATTACCTGCGTCTGTGCATCATCTCTCTCTACTAACAATGAAGCTGTGAGTTTAATTCCTTCAAAAACATCAATGCTACCCCCTAGTTGCTGAGAAATATAATGTAGGGATTCAGTAGCAAAGCTATTTTATTAAAGGAGTCATAACCTAGTATTACCTTGGATACCCACGCTCTATTATAGTCTTTCAGGCCCTTCTAAAAAAGAAAAGTGGAAAAAAAAATAAACACAGAGCTCCCCTGACCCTTATTTCTGAATGCATTATTGTCTCGCGAGATCTGATGCGATATTTTGGCTGTCGTGGACGGTCATTTTAATAATGCAAATGAGGGGCGCGTTGATTGGTGGCAGGAAGGAGGGGGCTTGACACCGCAGGTAACTTCAGCATATCATTCCAAAATGACATCATGGCGCAAATTGTGAATGAACCTTTACAGTCTATGGAATGAACCCGACCTGGCCGCGACCTACGGAATTCAACCATATATGTTTGAGCCAGACTCTGAACCAGAGCTGGAAACGGAAGATATAGAGTCAATGGAAGGACGTCTACATCAACATGTCTCTGAATGGTAAAGACAATCATTTTGACTGAGACATACATTAACATCAATAACGAGCTAAAACGTTTGTTGCTATTTTCTCCCACATAAGTTTACCTTTTATTTAATGTAGATTACATTAACGGAGATGTAGTCTACTTTTATTATCAGCTTACAGTGGTTATAGAGATCAACGTTTGCTATCATGTGTTGTTTTTGCCTTGTTTCACGTTGTGGTTTTTTAGACATTCAATATTTTTCATCTACAGACATGTAACGTGATGTTTTTCTTTATGTTTATTATTACTTGACTGTTTTATTTATCTATCCTTATCTATTATATAAAAAAATCAATACAATGATATATTGTCATTGTTATATAATATACAATTATATGAAATAATAGCTGTATCATTTTCTTGTCTGTTTATCACTGAGGGTGTGTAAAATGTTTAGCGCAGACACCTAACGTTGAGCCAGTTGATAGGGTTGTAGGAACAGCGTCATTAAAAATGAATTTCATCCACTGGTCCCTGGTAGTTTGGTCCGTTTTTGGTAGAGAAAACACATTTGAATGTTGATTCTGGCAGTCAACCACAGAGCAACTCACGTGTGCACTACATTTCTGCATCTTTCTTGACTGAATATGAGGGGGATAGGGGCAGGGCGGGCTTCCTGCAGCATATGTCTGCGGTGTCCATATATGGTATATCCTGCCCCGTCTTGACGTCAAGTCGGGGGAGAAATTAAAATATCGTATTTGAGTGCGCGTGCACGTGGGCTGGTTTACGAACCCTGGGGTAAACAAACGCTTCACATTTGAATATCGGCTTCCCGGCCAATGTATACTCGTTAGGCAATCATAACATACATTGATTCTCGTGGAAAAGTGAAAATTACAGGTTATGACTCCTTTAATAGCAGCATTGACAAGGGCGTATTTGTTGGGCGTATTTGAAACCAACTGTAATAGCAGCATTGACAAGAAGTTTCTGTGCTCCTGAAAGTTTCTGTGTGCACAGCGCAATCTCTGATCTCTGTGTGTTTGTAGGCTTCAGTGAAAGCAGCGTATTTTCAAAATGGACACCAGGACAGACCAGGGTACAATTGAAATAGAAAGCATTTGCAACATTATAAAAGTCTTAAAGGTAACTTTTGATCAATTTAAAGCAACCTTGCTGAATAAAATTTTTTTTTTTATTTAAAACAAAGTCTTACTGACACCAAACTTTTGAACTGTTTTATAATTATTTAGACACAACTATGTATTAATTTTTCTCAATTCAAGAATCTTAAACAATTAACAGATACTATATAAAATAAACCTACCTCTCCCACCCAAAACGATAACTTATCGATCTTGTAAACAGACACAAAGGTCTCCACGTAATACAGTAAGAAGACGTTGTGTAGAATGGAGACGAACAGAGCCAGGGAGCCATAGAGCACAGCTGTTGAGACGCCCTGGCAGAGGCCCCATACCCTCCTTCCCATCCTTTGCTACTTCCCTCCCACGCAGCACTCTACACGTCCAACAGGCCGAGCATGGGGGGGTCATCGCTCTATCCGCCCCTGCAAACAGACAGACACCAACACAAACCAACTAGTTCAAAACCATGCAGTCTATTATCCAGTAAAATATGAGGCTGGCTGGGTAATGTCTGTCGGCTGTTTTTAGTTTGGAAATTACCATTATTTGAATTAGATTCAGAGAGCGTAATTGGACAAAGGCCAAGGCAATGAGAAAACTGAGCATCTGTACTACATTATCAAGTGGCTTTGGCTTCATTTGAATGATTCAGCACTTTGGTTGATATGAATCTGGAAAAACAGGCTAACACGAAACCTTCTTCTGAGCTCAAATATTGATAATGTGGGGGAAAGCTGGGAGAAAAACAGGACCAAAGATGAATCACAGCTTTTACAAAGTTAGTCATGGAAATTGTGGTTATTTTTTTGTGTGAAATTATCATTCAATTAGTTTCAATACAAGTTAATTCTCAAATCAAAAAAGAATGGGAAAATACCACAGTGAAAATATCTCTTAAAAAAGGGCTTCCGTTATGTTTCCATGGAGAGTGTTATGGGGAATTAGCGATGAAAGCAGCCAATTTTCCATATCCATAATAACAAAATAAAACAGCCTGGACTTCTTCACAGAGTGTCGTGTGAGCAGTTCTTCAGTACTTTCCGGTCACAGGAAATATGACGATAAATCCCAGTGTGAAGTGTAATTGCACATGAACCGTAGATTTTAATGAGCTGGATGATCGCATCCCAGCTTCAAAGCTGACAATGACAAACACTGTTATTTAGTCCAGAGATTTCTCAGGGGTGAATGAGAGATGTAACCTGAGCACCATTAGTGTAGGCTGAGGCCTGTGTTTGCAATCAAATATTGAACAGTTTCCAATAGTGAGGAGGAGTCATGTGAATTTCCTTGTACACAGAGAATCCCTCATTGCTTTAATGCCAGACATCCGTGACAACCTTTTGCAAATATCACTAACCTTACTTTGGGACACATGGCATATCAAAAGGCAAATTAAATTGCTTTCTGGCTTCGTTCTGGTAGGCAGCACACCTGATGTTCACATACTGTGCAAGCTCACACAAGTCCTGGAATTCTTTGAAAGCCCCTGTTTCTTATAGTTAAAGCAACATAAAAAAATAACCTTGCCCCCCAGCTCTTTGAGAGAACAATGAATTACAGTTCTGGGCGGTTAAACTACCCTAAACATATGATTTCTAAGCAGTGAAGCAAAACGCACCTCACTGGATCGAATTGCACACAGTGATTCTCATTTCATCTCTGAAGGACAGGTGGCTGCTTCCCAGCAGATACGATTCAGCAATCTTTGATCCAACAAGAGATCAAGTGCCATGGAGCAAAACACCAACATTTTGGCAGTGCTGTGTTACAGTGACAGGTTGCCCACCTGTGTCTGTTCTCCAGAGCAACAGGATGCGTGGGAACTATTCTCATTTACAGACCCGACCGTAACAATCACAGTTCACACTCTTTTTACACAAATGCTTTGACACACATAAAACCAACAGTCAAACAGCTACTTTTCACAGAACTCTATTTCTTGTATTCAGTCAACACAAAGATGTTAATTTCCATAGCCAATTTAAAATGGCCATTAGGGTCAAATGAGACATCTTACAAAACCCCAAAAGTGATGTATATTTATTAATTCATGGGCACAATAATTAATTTAGAATGGAGGCAGAAAACATTTATTAAAGTATAGTTAGTTAGACCATTTAAAGAGGATTAAAGACAAACTTATAATAGATATTTTAAAACAAATTAAGGACACAACAATGACTATTTCCATATATTATTTAAAACATTTTTTGTTAACCTATAATTGAGTAGAATGGGGCCATCTGATTTTAGTCATTCTTGCATCCTTAATTTGTTTAAAAATATCTATTTTAAGTTTGTCTTTATTCACCTTTTAAAAAACAGTATTTTTAGTATGAGTTCCATAACCATATATGAATGCAACTGAGTCATTTCTAAACATGTACTCCATCTTCCCCTATTATGAAAATTAAAAGAGAACATGATCACAGTATCAGGTTCCTGACACCTGTAAGTAAATACTAAATAACCATAAATATATCCAATATTAGTAGTGACCAATTCAAAACACCGAAACACGGATATACGTCAAAAGGTCAAATGAAAATGAAAGGGGAACGAAAATGCTGGAATGTTATGACAATGACTGCTTTAACTCGACGACTATGCTTTGATATTACATTTAATATTTCCGAACATAATTGTTTAGAACACATTCCATAACCGAATGTTTTCGTCTTGATTGATATTCTTACATTAGGCTATCATGGGCATAATGATACAGTGTTTCACTAATAGATCTGGGCTAGCCGCTCACATTAGCGACCTCCCTCACTGTAATTCACCACGCTGAGTTGAGATTGTTTGAATTTTATGAGCTGAAGGAAAATCACACATAGCCTACCTCGTCAAACTAGGAGTTTGATCTGCGACGTCAAACTTTAAACCTAAAATAACCCTTTAAACTACTAAGCCTGTTCTGAGTTAAGGTCGCTAGCAGGCTATCTGCTTTCATATCAAGCAATGCGACGTGTATCATGTCACAGCCCTCAGACAGACACATTAACCAGTCCAGTTATATCAGAGAGAGAACACAATAATATCAGTCGATCATTTAAGATCGTTAGGCTGTTGGACACTTACCATGTGGAGTTGATGTCAAAGCTGCAGTCACCTGATGATCAAAAAAGACGCTATAAACGTTTCTAGGGTTCACAGTTGTATCGAAACATGTCATGTGTTGGACGAGGAAGCCCGTGACGTCACGACAATCCCTCCTCCTCCTCCTCCTCCTCCTCCTCCTCCTCCCCATCACTCCAGCTGCCATCTGTACACGTACACACAAACAGACAGGCACGCACTCATTTGGTAAATGTCACATTATTCTGACTAGCAGTGAAGTTTGTAACATGATTATGGAGGAAATACATGCAAAATTCCAAAAGCTCAAAAAGGCAAAAATGTTCTTCTTGTATGGACACGTGAGCAAGTGTGGCAACTAAAGCTGAGGTCTCACGGAGCGAGGTCTATTTCAAACAAACCAAATTAAATTTAGATTATAATTATATTGACGAATGACCATAACATCCATTCAAACAATAAGAATTCACGAGTCTTCAATCTGTATTGTAGAACAATGCTTAGAGCTAGGCTACATATGCTCGACTAAAAAAAGCTATTGAACATATTAACATTGTCAATTCTATTATAACACTATTTGTTTTTATGGGAACCTTCTAACAATTATTTGAAAAGAAAAATGAAGATATCATGAAAAAAGATATCTTCCACAATTTAAATAAATATTTAAAATGTATTATACCACAATATTTAAAATGCATTACATAGCAAATTTTGAACAGTTTAAACTTTAAACATTTCGGTAATGGCAATAGTGGAAATAATATTGACAAAATCATTGTTTTGGACATCAGCAATTGGAATTAATTAAGTGGATACGACTTTTTGTTTAAAAATATCAACTTTTTGTTTAAAAACGTATATTGTGTTTATTTGTTTATCTAACAGATAGACCGAGGACAAATATGATTTTGGAATTTTTATTTTGGCAGATCAGAATTCACAAAAAAAAAACTGTTCTAATTTAAGACGGGTTTGAAACCAACATTCAGAAACCACTTCTAGAGAAAAAAAAAAAAAAAAAAAAAACATTTGTGTAAATAGAATTTTGATTCGTAACCTTATAGTTGCTGAAATACAGCTTTCTCACTTTTCATGTGACAACTAGCCCCAGTGTCCCCCTACATTTTTAATACTAACCTCTAGGTGGCAACCAATACAAATTAATCGACCCTATCTGCGTCACAACGGTCGCACATTTAACCCTCCATCCCCCATAAATGCACAAATCCATTGCATTCTCAAAAAACTGGAATAAATCTAAATTGCTGTAAATCTATGCATTAGAGAAGTGACGCTGCGACACAAAGTAGAGGAGGCGTGGCCGCTCATGAATATTACCCAGAGAGGCGTGGCTTGGCTTCACCTGAGTCTGGTCTGAGGAACCGCATGTGCGTACAACGCAGTACACAGTCAGATCTCCAGAGCAGAGGCATCATTAGCGGCACAACGGGGAATCCTATGGAAACACGGGGTGACTGATGCTTACTTTTTCTGAAACAACTGAGGTAATGTAACTACAGAGTGTATGATTTTACATGTGCTTTTTATTACATTTGTGCAGTTATTGGTATGTATCTTTGCGCATAATATGTTCCCCTAATGTATGCGGAGCCTGCTGGGATCTCTACACGCAGGTGAAGGTGACTGGGAATGAGTGCCAGAAGTGTCCTTAAAAATACCGCAGTGGTGTGCAATCTGATGTAGACCACACGCCGTAACAAACTAAAACACTTTTTTTATAATGATCTTAAAAGTCGAGTATCTATCTATCTATCTATCTATCTATCTATCTATCTATCTATCTATCTATCTATCTATCTATCTATCTATCTATCTATCTATCTATCTATCTATCTATCTATCTATCTGCTATGAGACCTTAAGGCACGACGTTTCTGAGTGATTTATCATATTTATCAGAGATGTCAGTTATTTTGGTAGATCTCACTTTTATTCTGAAAATTGTATGTAAAATCAAAATTTGCTTCAATTTAGCATTTTAAGTCTATTAATAAATGTACAATTAATTAATTCTACCCTGCTCAAATAATATTAATTATTAACAAAATTTACCTACTAAATTGTTAGCATGATCTGTATTTATTTGGGCCAGAGGTTGGAGTGTTTATATCCTTCATTTTCCATGCTGGAATAAATTTAATATTTTTAATAATTTCTCTAATAATACAAGTAAAATTGCATCTCTGTGCCAGAGGAAGAAAGAGTGGAGCAGGTTACTTCTGTAACTAAAAGATTTGTTTAGAAATTTCAGACAGAAAATCAGCTTTGAATTACTAATGAAAGTGAATTCAGTGAAACCGAACAACATTCCCCATCTTGATTGTTTTGTTCTCATGGGGAATGTCCCATGTTTTTTTGCATAACTCTTATGGGCTTTCACAGACCTCCCCTCAGTTCAGTTAACGGATGTTGGCACAAAACCTTCCTAAGCTGGTGCATGACATTTCTTTGACAAGCAAGCCATGAAAACATCTTCAGAAACAGTGCCCTTGTCTTTTGATTTAATTAACCCATTAAGTAGACAGATAATGCACTCATTAATGCCATCAAAGTAACTTTGTCTCTTAATCTCGTCTAGTCTAGTGCATTCTTGAATAGTTCATTCTTTCCATTACATCAAATCAAACATGTTGTTTTACATACAGTATCTCAACCAGCATGAGAAACCTACTGCTTTTGCAGGGGGATTAGTGATCATGGAATTATGCTTAACTATTTTGACATGCATAATTATAAGTAACAATAAATTATAAATTAAAACAAATGTAAGGCATTTCGGCATGCAGTAATCAATATTTATGAGAGATTGAAATTAGACTTGAAAATACTTCAAAATCTCACGACTCTCAGTGCAGCTAAACTAGATTAAGTGCAGATGGCGAATTAGTGAGAGACACCATAAAATCCTACATTTGGGGGATTGGAGGTATTTCTTCACCATCTGTGGAAATGTCAGACTCGAAATATAGTATTTATATTGTTTGCCTGACAGATGGCTATATCAGAAATGATTCCTTATTTTATGACCTTGCTTGATGCTTCTGTACTAACAGAATAGGCCCGGTTTCACACACAGGGCTTAGATAAAGCCAGGAATCTTAAGACCTTAGTTCATCTTAGACTAGCTTAAGCCTTGTCTGTGAAACCGGGGGATAGTGTACTAGATGCAGGCAGGTAAATCAGGGTTGATTAGAAAACTGTAGCCAGTAGTAGCCACGGGTTTAAGGGTTGACTTATTGCATACATTTTATTTTACTGAAATGCTTCATTCTACCAATGATAAAACTGCTAGATATTAAGTTTTGTGAAGGAGGGCCACTGGTAGGGAGGCTTTGAGCTGTGTTTATGATCGCTACAATATAGTGCTTTTCAATTTGCATAATAGTGGCTGTAAAATATGTATTTAGGCATGTGAATGGCATATTTAGAATTTTGATATTTGGGATGTGGTCATTGGGCTATTTTTGATTGGCCATTGGGCTATTTTTGATTGGCCATTGGGCTAGTTTTGTTACGCATACATGGCAATCCTGAGGCAAATGTACTTTTCCAGCATGTAATGTGTTTAGTGATGTCTCGCTTGTCCATGCTACCCTGAGCAAGGTGCTTATTGTAACAGCAGAGGTGTTAACGCGTATGTGTTTATAGTATATGTCGGAATAGAAGGAACCGTGTGATATTAACCCAGCAGCATTCCAGCAAGGTACAAGAAATTGGAGCAAAGAAAAGCCATTAATATGCACTTCAATGTGCTCTATACTGGCTGCATACATTGTATCTACAGTATATCCTCTGCATCAATATCCATTTCACTGCCACATAATGGTGCTTCTAGACAACAAACACATTTAAGTGACTTTTTTGTGACTCGAAATGTTTTAAAACGAAGTTTACCCACTAGAAATTGAATCAAAAGCTACAAAATTTGCTTTTGAGGCAGTTCTCCAGAGCCAAAAATTGTGCATCCTCCACATCCAGAATCCATGCCAGAAAAAGATTTTTAAATTAGTGGCTGGACACAGTATGACCAAGAAATAGATTTGTATTGTTTTTATTGTAGTTCCTTCAATATTAACCATTATATTGCCATCTGATATGCATCATGTACTTGGAAAGTGAAGAAAATGGGTTTGTTGCTCTAAAATGCATCGAATGCATCAGTTGCATGATGTTCTTTCAATCCACATTTGTAAGTATGCATTTAATCAGGATGTGTGTTCCCAGAGAAACAAATCCATGGGCTTTTTCTTGCTTGCACAATGCTGTACCAGCTACAGTAACGTTCATTTTTGTTGCACATTATTATGTGATTGCCTTTTTCATATCTCTGTAGATTTGGATAAAAGCATTTGATACAGTAGACGTGCATTGCACTATGAAATGTTAAGTGGATGCATTTGTGTATGATGTGTTTACTCATCAACCCATCTGCTCTTTATATGTATAAAGTAATGTATATATGTATGAAAGGAAAAGACTTACTCATTTTTTTTCTTGCCAATGCAGCAGGAAACCTTTGACAGAGCAAGGATGAGTTAGCAGCCCATGACTGCACTGCTGGAAGCGGGAGCCTGTTCTAGTGAATCAGCATCAATTACACAACATTATCTTCAGCAGAGTTGCTGGAAGCAATCTTAGCTGCCTGGATCTTAGCAGAACCTCCTCAGTGCATCCTGTTGATCATGAAGCACACCAAACCGTCGAACTTCATGCTGGTGGTGCTCGAATGCCTAATAACTGTCATTTGGGGTTTTCCATTTGGACCTGTCCTTGAAATGGATGTCACCCCCAGGACAACTGTACATGTCAATGGTAAGGCTCTTTACATGTAATTCTGTGTTGTGCATCATTCAGATGCAATTTTAAAATGCAATTCAATTCCTGAATTTGGATTGAGATATTGCAATTCAGTAAATTCCTCTTCTTATCACTCCAAACTCCAACTCATGAATTCAAAGGGAGCCAATTTTTCAGGTCTTAATTTTGATCTGATTCAATTACCTTAATATCAGATTTCAGTGTTACACTATGCACTTGGTATGGTTTAATAGCTTATTTTCTTATAAAAATTTGTTTGAATATTACACATTATGATACTTTTGATTCCAAAGTCAATAAAGGTAGCTGGTGTGTTTTGCTTCATTCATGGGCTGTGCTGAATGTGTTTGACATTGTTTTGCGTGTAGTGCTGGTGGCAATGTCAGTTCTCTGGATATAATTAAACGGCCCTTCTCACTTGTCCTGGCCAGTTCATGAGATTCACACCGCAGATGCTGTGAGAATATAAATTGAGGTTAGGTCACACTCACTCCTGTGAGGTTAGTTATCATGTTGTGTGTGTACATACCCAAAAGTGAATGTATCTTATTTGCAGTATATACACTGGGGTCGTAAGATTTATTTCCAGCAAGGATGCATTAAATTGATCAAAAGAGAAAGACCCTTAGTGGTATAAAAAATTTACATTTTAAACGAATGCTGTTCTTTTGAACTTTCTATTTGTCACAGAATCCTGAAAAAAATGGAATTTTTTGCCAAATTATATTAGAATGATTTCTGAAGGATCATGTGACACTGAAGACTGGAGTAATGATGCTGAAAATGTCATCATAGGAATACATTGTAAATATGTTTAAATAGATAGAAGTTATTTTAAATTGTAATATGTCACAATATCACTGTTTTGATTGCAAGACTGCAAATTAATTATTTTTTTCATAAACATTACAAAATTATACCAGAACTAAACTAGAACTGTAGTGTATCCTGGAGGCATAGTGGCCATTACGTACCAAAGATGTGTGGTAGAGGTCAGTAACTAACTAAAATGGTTTGTGTGGAAGAACTAAGAGGCCTATAGACAAGTCATTGATCAGCGATTGTGAGCCAGGCACCATCAGCGAAGGGCCTCCCTGATGCTCCTAAATCCATCACAGATTGTTGTCTTTTTGCTTAATGATAAGTGTGTGTTTATCACCACAGACTCACACCACTGTTTAAGCCAATTTAGCTATTTCTGGCCAGTCGGAGTGCTTGAACAAATAGATTGATGTTTTGACAGTGCTCACAGAGCCAGTGTTCACATTTTTAGGTGGAATCAATCAGCCTAGGAATAACTTCTAGTTGTCTATCTGAATAAGAAAGCCTTTTTAATCATCTTAAAATTATGTACGTCACTTTTTTACTTCATTGCATGTAAGATAATTGATGATTGAGTATGTTATGACATCTTTCATACATCTTTACCCACTCAGCTACTTAAACTGAAGTGTTGCTAAAGATTGCTGCTTCATAATGGCTTATACAATCCATTTGTGCTGATAATTTGTGCTCAGACACTGCAGATCTTGTTCGTGTAATTTTGTCTCCATTATTGTATTTTTCTCCTTGCCCTGGTTGACTCTAGTCCTTGACCTATATTTGGGCTCTCTTGGGATAAGAAGGAGAGCTAGAGCATACAGAGAGAGAAGGGAGAGTAGACATAAATGTAGGAGCATTATTTCTCTGCTAAAAAATCAAACTTGTGTTTCACGGTATGTCTATACAGGGAGAACGTTAACATTTTTAATTAAAAAGCACATTTTGAGGTTGTAACAAAAGGTGCTATCTTGCTTTAATGGTTTGCTGGTTTTGAGTACATTGAGTGTTATCTTCAGGTCATTGGGTTCATGGTTGTCTGGTTTTTGTTGTGCTTAGCAGACCTGAAGTAATGCTGAAATGAAATATGTATACATGTGTAATTCGTCTGGGGTAGCAGGACAAGGGGAAAAGTGCATCTGGGGTCTTTAGAGACAAAGTCTATCTCTGACTTTGTGTGTCTGTCTATTGAATGTCTAAAGACCTTGAGATGTTATACAGTAATTTTGTAGAAATCATTTTAGTCATGGAAATGCTATGCGTGTGTATAAATAGATCCTTATCCAGCCATCACGAAAGACATGGAAAAAGTCATGGAAATTCGTTGGTCAAAAGGTGTGGGTAGTTTCTGCTGAACGTCTGATAAAAAGAATCACAGTATGAGAGTTATCGTGTAAGGTCAGGAAGCTTGTAGAAAAGAGCTGTATCTGTATTTACTGTTCAGCAAGCAAGGTAAGATTTCTTGAAAACACTGAAGATACACATCTAATGTTCACTTTTTTGTTTTCGACATGCTATAAGAGTAATCGCTCTCCTCTGAGACCAATAAAAAAGGTAGTCTTGATTCTTGATAATCCAAACCCACAGAATCCAGCCCTCTGATGGAGGGGGTTTTATCTGCGTGGGGGTTGCTGTTGTCTTGGTGACAGGATTTGAGCAGTGGCATCTACTTTTTTTCTTTTAGTACAGAAATAATATCAATAATAAACACAGATTTGTTTACATTGCATTATGCTACAAATTATATCTTACATTATGCAGAAATGGTTTGGTGTGTCTCAGATTTATTTTATTGTTCTAGTAGAGGATTGCTTGGGTTTGTTTTCCCCCACATATGCTTCCTCAACATTGAGGCCATTCTTAAAACCAGTTTTGATTTTCTCTCCAACCAAAAACTAAATTTCCTTGCCTAAAAACAACATTTAAAACTCATGACTCTTTTCAAATTCTTTTTGTATTTTACATTGTGTCATAAAATAACACAGCTATTTTTTTTCTTATTGTTTCTCGTTCCAATATTTTTTAGGTGAGTTCTGTTTATTTGCATGCAACACCAAATTAAACTGCCAAGTTATTTTTTAAAACTCATCTCGAGACCCCTGCATTCTGTTATTATTATCTTATTTTTTATGTCTGTTGGATCTCACTTGGTAAATGGTAAAATGGTAGCTCCGCCCACTGTGAAAGCTCATTGGTCCAGAATTCCAGATTGCCTGTGATTGACTGCATTTTCACTTTCAGTGCAGACAGTCAGATTACTAATCATTGGGAACTTGGTTCATGTTTGGTTTGGACTCTGAACTCTCAGTGGTTGCCACATGGTTGATGATCAGTTCAATGCCAAGAACTGGACCCAATCAATGACGATTATTGATTTTTGGGAAAGATGTTTATCAAAAGGTTGCTGGAGCAGAACTGAAGTTAGTTAACTTTAAATTATTTGAAGTGAAAAATATATTAAATGTCAAGTTACATTTAATCAAGTTTGTATAGTTAACCATAAACATTTTTTTTAAATATAAAACTCAAATTCGTTTTGATTAATGTCAATTTAACAGCCTGTGCAAAATGTTTGGGATCATATTACATGGTTTTGGTACATAATACAATGCAGATCTTTATCAGTGTTAGTGTGTACATTATTAAAGCAGTATTTTGTGGTACTGTGAGATGTGCTGCTAATGGGATTGAATATATTTTGTAATCCTGGCGAAGCTTGACCACGGTTGTTTAATGTTGATCACGTCTGCAGCTGACTGTTCTCACTCGGCAGTGTCAGTATTTATTTAGTCAGAGCTTGCCCCCTAGCAAACACGATTCCGATTGGACACATGACCACCACAGCTGCCCGCCCAAGTTTGTTTGGACCAGGGTTGGCGTGAGTCAACAGTCAAGTCACACACAAGAAAATGCTATGAAAATAGATTGGTTTGTAGCATGATGTGAGAGCTACAATACTTACCTCTCTTGTAGTGTGTCCTTGGGCAATTTACACAGCCACCCACACACACATATGTCATATATTCATATATATGTCATATATATTTAAGAAAGCATTCTATGCGTGTGTCATGTGTACTTAAAGGGGTAGTTCACCCAAAAATGAAATTTCTGTTATCATTTACTCACCCTCAAGTTTTTCTAAACCTGCATGAATTTCTTTCTTCTGCTAAACACAAAAGAAGATATGTGTAACCAAACAGTTGATGGGCCCCATTGACTTCCATAGTATGAAAAAAAAAAAATACTAAGGAAGTCAATGGGGTTTGGAACAGACAGGTTTGGAGCAATCTAAAGGGTGAGTAAATGATGACAGAATTTTCATTTGTGGGTGAACTATCCCTTTAAAACCTGTCAGTCAACATTAGAGCGCCACCCTCAGGCTGAATAACACAGCCTCTGCCAAAAACATGTCTGCATGTGTTAGAGATTAGAATAAAAAAAATCTAAGAAAAATAAATTCTAAGATTTAGAATAAAAAGTACAAAATGTTTATTATAAACTACTGCCCTACCTAAATTTATGGTCAGGAGCCACTACTGCTCAAATATTCTCTAATATGAGAAGATTATGCTCTTAGTGCTCTTAGTTCATACAGACACACACAGCATGTGTGCACAATTTGCATATTACAGGCTTGGCACAAAGTTTGTGTGGTTGAAACTTGGTTCCAATCCTATAGGGAACAGTAAACAAACCACACACACACACACACACACGCACTGCTAGAACACAACAGTAGGCCTTGGGCGCTGTGTTGACTCTGCTCATGGATTTGTTCCCTCAGTGATGCAGTATGTTTGACTGGTGCGGTAGGGCAGTTAGTGCACTTATCTAGCAGCCAACGGGCTATTTTTCATTAGACCCATAATTGCGATAATGTTGTTATTCCATAACATTTCCAAAAGAAAGTGTTGTGATCATTGAGTGTTACAAATAATTTGATGAAAATGTATTTAATTGACGCACATGCATGTCATGTTATTGTAATTTCTTTTGTTGAGCCTATGTATGAACCCTCTTCCTGGTCTCCTAATTTTAAACCGAAATAAATGCAAATAGCCTAAAAATAAATATCTTAAATGTATTGTTTATTGAGATTTACACTTAAAAAGAAATGTATAGTTAAAGAAATTTCTTAACACAAAATGTCATTCCAATGTTTTATTTTTAGCTTTAAACAGGTACTTTAGAACTTCTGGACATTTTTTTATTAATTATAATACATTTTATTTGTATAGCACCTTTTATACAAGAAATGCAGCTTAAAGTGCTTCACAAAAAAACCCCATTACAATAAGCACGAAAACCAGTCAAAAACCGTAATTAATGTAATATCAGCTTAAATATGAAACCCGCTATAATGATAATAAAAGAGTATAAAATTGGCATACATATGCATAACAAAAAATGGAAATGAAAACTTAAAGCTTAATGGACTAATACAGTGATATAAAAGACCAAACTGGCACCATATTGGGGATGTAGGCTGTACTATAGGCTACAGGCAAGCAGATGGACTCTGAGCGTTTCCCAGTGATATACTGGCATAAAATCAACACTTGATCAATTAATACTAACACTTTCTCTTCTCTTCTCTTCTCTTCTCTTCTCTTCTCTTCTCTTCTCTTCTCTTCTCTTCTCTTCTCTTCTCTTCTCTTCTCTTCTCTTCTCTTCTCTTCTCTTCTCTTCTCTTCTCTTCTCTTCTCTTCTCTTCTCTTCTCTTCTCTTCTCTATAAAATGAAAACCAAGTAATAATAAAAGAAAACACAAATAATGCTAAAACATTTGCTCGTTAAAATTCAAAGTAACATTTTCTTCCTTACTATCTATTGGTAATGTGCTCCATAACTTGGCCATAATTGACAAAGACAGCATCCCTCATTTTCTTTTGATTGTTAACCTTTTTTAACAGTTTTGTACTATACCAAATAATAAAATAATTACTAAGAGGCCATTTTTACTACTATTCTAACTTGCATTGATATGGAAAAAAGTCAAACGAGAGACATGAAAGTAACAGCCATGTACTGGTTTAGCAGTCATTATTATACAAAATTCTTTGACTACTAAGTGCCACGATTGACTAATTAAAATCAAATATTCAAGAGACAAACGTGTCAGATACACACATCATATGTGCTCTCTGATAATTGCCAGGCATGTACGTCTCAATGAATACTTTGTATACTTGTTGGCCTTCCCTTTTCCCGCAAATCCTGATATGTTGTTATTAAAGACTAAGTAAGGGATAATGTAGAGCGAGGCGGTTGTTATGGCGAATACAACCCCGACAGGCTGATCAGGCCCCCGACGTGAAGCGGAGGGGTCTTGAATCAGCCCGAAGGGGTTGTATTCGCCATAACAACTTCCTCGCTCTACATTATCCCGCTTATTACATGGCTACCTACCAAATAAATCAATCATTTGACACAAAATATTGATTTAAAAATGAGTTTATTGATTTAAAGGAATTTATCCTCCAGAGTGAACAGAACTGTGTCCATGGCAACACTCTGTTTTTCATGGCAACGGTGTGTTATACTTAGCAGCGGTTTGTTATCAAGAAATATAACAGACCGCATTCTACATTAGAATTCAACCAAGCCATGTAATAGAGCAATATTGGTATGGCTGCGGATGTGTGTGTATGAGTGTCTGTGTGCGTAAATGGTCCAAGGACACACAATGTGCTTTGAGCTCAAAGGCTTTTGTGTGATCTTTCAGTTTATCAGCTCGGCACTCATCACTGTGTTACAGTCACTATCTTTCTCTATCTACACAATGAGACACAAGGATTAACTACACACACAGAATGTCGTCACTTTGCCTGAGGTCTTAAATCGTGTTTACATAACTTAATATTTTCTTTCCTGTTATGAATAATATTAGCCTCTGGCCCTCCCACGCGCACAGCAACCCGTAGGTCTGTTCCGACCTTTCTTTGATTGACAGTTTAGATCCTCATGGCCTTGACTTTTAGGGTTATACTGCCAATCATCCTCACACTAGCTCAAACACTAGACCAGTATTGCTTGTTTTGATTTGTTAACAGCTAATAGTTAAGTACTACTGACACAACTCATAATGTGTATCTCTAAGCATTGTCAACAACCAGTCAGTAACTAAACTGATTTAAGTCTCAGATGTTGCTACTTGTTTGATTTTCTAAAAGAACTGGATCACAAGAGTCATTCGTTAGGAAAGCGGACCACACTTGTATGTTTTTAATGCACTAAAAATAATTGTTTCACAAGAGGCATTTGTTCTGGAATTGTATTATGCATTTGGTTCACTAAAATGAACCAGCTCACAAGAGTCACTCGTTTGGGAATTGGACTACACTGGTTGGACGGTATGCTTTTGATTCACCAAAAATAACCGACTCACAAGAGTCATTTGCTACACCGTTTGCTCTGTTTGCTTTTAGTTCTTTTAAAATAACTGCTTCATAGGAGTCATTCTCTCAGGAATTAGGATAAACTGGTTGCTTTGTATGCTTTTGATTCACCAAAAAGAACCGGCTCACAAGAGTCATTCATTCTGCAATCAGACTACACGGGTAGCACTGTATGCATTTGATTCACTAAAAAAAATCTGATCAAACGAGTCACTCGTTTGGTAATCAGACTACACTGGTTGTGCTGTTTGCTTTAAATTCACAAAAACAAACGGCTTCATAAGTCGTTTGCTCAGGAATTGGGATAAACTAAAAAAAAAAAAAAAAAAAAACGGCTCATAAGAATCATTCATTTGGGAATCGGACTACATTGGTTGCTCTGCATGCTTTTGATTCACCAAAAAGAACAGACTCAGGGTCATTTGTTCTATAACCGGAATACAGTGGTCAATCTTTCTGTTTTGTGTTGAAAATTCACTAGTGGTGTATTTTAGTCTGTGCCTCATCCGCATCAGCAAAACAATGAAGGTGTGAGAACCATAGACGGAAATAGCTCTCAGTTTCCAACATTGAGTTTGTTAAGATATTCTGAATGTTTTAGCAAATTGCTATGCATTTGGAAGTGTGTGTGATTGCTTACTGACTTGATTGGATGGACCAATTCATGATTTCTTCCACAGCTTTTAACACTTTTAAACTACAATATAATAAAAAAAAAAAAAATTTTTTACTTGTCTCAAAAATATGATGGGGCACAAATCGCTTTTAAATTCTGATTCCAAATCCTTTATATTCTTGGATACTGGATATACCGTATATTGTTGCGGATGTAGACTTTAGCACCATGTTTGGGGGGCTGGGTGTTTTGAGAGGTAGGGCATTTGAGGGGTTGATATGTGGCCTAATACTGCCAAGTCTCATCAGTATAGCCCACCCGTCTCTCAGTATGGGGCAGGAAATCTCAGCATGCAGTGTTGTAGATGGGCAAAACAAATCCTTTTCTCTTCAGAATGTGCTTGGGTTTACTTTATGCCCTTAATTTGAGGAGGCAGACCACCCAAATAAGTCAATGGTGTTTTAATATTTTAGAGGGACACTTAAATAAAAACAAAATGTGCTTAATCCACTACTCTTTTACAACACCAATTTTCTTTCTCTTTCCCTCACTCTTTTTACTGTGCCAACATTTCTTTTTTTACAGTGAAGTTAGTTAGATCTTAGATTAATGTGACAATGTGGCGGTATCAAATTTTCATGTTGCGATAATTGCTGAAGCTTTTATCATGGTATATGGTATTATATCATGATATTGAAATAAACTGCAAAAAAGTGTTGTCACACTATAACAGGTTTAAAAACTTTTTTTCTAATAATGCATAAAGTAAACAAATGTTTCAAACCGTTTAAAGCGCAAAATAATTATAGGTAACACTTTACAATAAGGTCTCATTAGTTAACGTTAGTTAATGTATTAACTAACATTAACAATGAGCAAAAGCTACATTTGTTACAGAAGTTATTATTCTTTGTTAATGTTAGTTTAATAAATACAACTTTTAGTTCATGTTAGCTCAGGTCCATTAAATAATACAGTTATAGCTTCTGATTTTAATAAGGTGTTATTAAATGTTGAAATGAACTAAAATTTAATAAATGCTTTAGAAGTATTTTTCATTGTCAGTTTATGTTAAAGGGATAGGCTAGTTCACCCAAAAATGTCTCTGTAGTAGGAAAAGAAAAATACTATGGTAGTCAATGGGGCCCGAGATCTGCTTGGTTACAAACATTCTTCCAAAAATCTTCATTTGTGTACAGAAGAACAAAGATATTTATACAGGTTTGGAACAACTTGAGGGGGGAGTAAATGATAACAGAATTTTCATTTTTGGGTGAACTATCTTTTTCAAACTTAATTAAAACTGGAACTAATGACACGTTCGAACCAGACTGGGTAGAGAGGTGCTATAAATGTAAAATATGTGTAAAATAATGTGTTTTTTGAACAATCAAGCATGAAAGCATATTCAAGTATACCCCAAAAACAAAATCAAGACTTTGTAAAAGGGCATAATAGGATCCCTTTAAATACTGTTCAGAAATAGAAAGTAGCACAGCTGCTTTGTTTAATGGGGTTTATGGGTTTATCTGCTTTATTTTCATTCATCGTCTCTTTCACTCGTTCCTCGCTTCTCATCCGTATTGAGTTTGTTTACATCAGAGTGTATACTGCGTACAGCATACTGCGGAGTTGAGCATTTTAACCAGTTGATGGGAAAAATATTCTTAAAATGCATTGAAAAATCTGAATAATTCATAATGAATAATTATTCACTGTGTTTTGAAGTGCCCACGATAACAATATCGTGCATGTTTATTATCGTGATATATCGCATTACTGTATACCGGCACATGTCAAAATTTGAAATAGTTTTGCCACATTAATGCAAATCATGCCAATTATTCTCTTGCTCCACAAATCTCACCCACAGAGATTTGTTTAATATTCTATTTTCATGGTCATTTTTTCTTTGTTGCCTTTCAGTTTATTCATAGTTTATGTTGAGAATTCAGCTCTCTATCCATTCATTTCAGTTAAAAAGTTTTCCAAAAAATGACAGAAGAGTGTATGGAGCTATGGCTGAGTCTCTATGCTGTTGACACAATTTAGTCATTTGTCCCTGTTTTTCTAACTGGGTCTCTCTGTGTTTGCAGGGCTGCTGGGTTGTAATCATTTCCATGGAGCTGCAGTCAACTACAGCTCTCTGTTACTGGAGGATGGGCCTGGCTTGCTGTATGTTGGAGCCAGAGAGGCCATTTACAAACTGGACACTGCCAACATCTCTGACACCAATATCTCTTTTTTGGTGAGTTCTGTCTCACTCACATTAAGTTTCTATATGTTTCATGCACCTGGGCTCCTAATAGTTGTTGTCCATATCTGTATAACAGCTGGAATGGGCAGCATCTGCTGAACAGAAGAGGCAGTGCCTGAGCAAAGGAAAGAACAATCAGGTATTGCCATTCTCTTGATATGTAGAATATCCTCCCCCAAATCCCATAGCTCAACTCAAGTTATGTGCTGATTCCCAGGGAACAAACACTGGTAAAATGTAATGTTTAAGTTTCTTCCAAATGTATACAGTATACAAATATATACTTTTTATACAGATATAAGCGTGTCGGAAACCACGTATCACATGTTCAAAAGTTGAGTGTCAGTTCTTGTGTGCAGACAAAACTAAACAAGATGCACATTGATTTTCATGACAAAGTCAAAATTAATGGTGGTTCTGATGTAAAGAAGCGGGTGGGCATGAGTATAATAAAAAATGCTGTTTATGAATGTAAGCTGGAATGTAAGAGTTTTGCTCACAAAAGATTTCTTTATTATAGTATTTCATTGACATTATAGTATTATTTAATTAATATTTTAAATGAGTTTTTATACGTCTGCTAATGGTACTGCATTATGTACCTGTATTTTTGGAAAATTCTAAGTGTTTTACAATAATTTCTTGCTTGTTCCGTCAAAGACTGAATGCTACAATCACGTGCGATTCCTGGACAGATACAACGACACTCACCTGTACACCTGCGGGACGCATGCCTTCAGACCACGCTGTGCTTACATAGTGAGATGTTTACTGCTCTCATTTTGTCTGTCATATTGCAAAGGAATTATTATTGTAAATGTTTTATGTTCTGCTATAAGATAGCACATGGTGCTTGAATATCTCCCTGTTTTTGTCAGGATGTGGCACGCTTCACCTTTGTGCGTTTTGAGGAGGGAAAGGAGAAATGTCCTTATGACCCTACAAAGAGCTACACTGGATTTATAATAGGTACATAATTTGGATTCATAACCTTATTTCATAACGTGCATGTTTCTTCTTCTGTTTTTTATTTCAGTTGACTATAATTTGCCTTTACAGATGGTGAGATGTACTCTGCATCTCAGTATGAGTTTCGTGACATCCCTGATATACGGCGCAACTTTCCTTTCCCAAATTTGCGGACGGACGATTCTCCAACAAGATGGCTGCTGGGTTAGTTGAATTGTTGTTGTTTTTTTTTCAAAAATAGAATGTGATGGAGTTTGCCTGTGCAATCATGTTGCTAGGGCATCCCTATTGAGTTGCTGAGGTGTTCTGAGTGGTTGCACATTGCTATTTGGTTGCTGGGGTATTCTGGTTGGTTGTTTACTGGCCTAAGTCAAATCTGTTAAAGGTGAACTAAGTAACTTTTTTACCTTAACCGAACAGCTTTGGAGTCATTGTAATGTTTATATTACTGATTTCGTGTTGAATGGTGATCGTCTCGCACCCCCCTGGTGCCTGTGAGCCGCAAAACCACCCTTGCAACTTTGGGCCGGCGTGTTAGGAAGTATCATGTGATATCAGGTCTCGCGAGGTAACAAATTGCTTTACGGCAAAAAACAGATCTGATAAAATTCTGATAAAATGAGCATCAAACAGAAATAATCCGGTGCCGTATACATGTGGTGTTGGGCGCGCGCAGCTCTTAAAGGGGCCATAAATTATTTCCACTCGTTACAGCGTCCATCCTACTGAACAGGTACCGGGTACCGGTGTACAGGGGGAGGGGATCCGGCCGTGAGTGCGAGCCATCTCTGCGTGAGTGCTATTCACGACAGTACAGGTACTCCACAGCGACTCTAGGGGTCGCTGTTTGACAAAAACGGAATTCCTACTTAGTGCTGCTTTAAAGGGAGGGTTCACCCTAAAATTAAAATTAAGTCATCATCTACCTGGTGTTGTTCTAATGACGTATGCCCTTTTTTCTTTTTCGGACCACAAAATGTGAAATGTCAAAACAAATGTCCCGCTCGCTCTCATCCACATAATGGCAGTGAATAGTGACCAGCATTAAGCTTTAAAAAAATATGCAAAAGATCACAGAATGATCCCATGCAACATATGCCATATATTCCCAGTGTTCTATTTGAATGAAATTCTTCAAGTGTTGGGCCCTGAATGGTTGGTTGTGCACTGTCCATTCCTACATCAAGAGAGTACGAAGGAAGTCTGAAACAACCTCGTCACATGAACTTTGTCTCTATGGTTGATATGTTATATGTTTGTTTTTACATGGTGATTTTCTTACCCTGTGTAATTTAGATCGGGCTATTTTGCTTAGGGTATGGACATTTAGGGTTTAGTGAGTAGGATTAGGTTTCGGGGTTGGGAAGGTGTTTCAAATTAGTTTCCAATTAGGGAGAATTATTGTATTATTTAACGAAAATCCTGACCTTTACCGCTGGTCTTCTGTTCATGGCTACGCGACTTGTGCGTTCGTGAGACTCTATTAGCACCGCAGTTTACTCCGTATCACCCAGAACAAGCACAAAAGTTATGAAAAATAAAGACTAATAGAAATGCGACATCAAATAAAGCGCCTAGAAATCCCAAAATATTATCAGTGTATTTTCTTCACCGAGTCAAATATCTCCAGACCGGAACTCCGGTTGTCAGATGACAGTCAGGATGACATTTGACAGATGTGAACGCGATAACTTCTTGTTGTGACAAATGCAATGGCTAAATTCCCCTCAGAGAAGAAAGTACATGGATTGTACTTACCCTTTAATGGAAAAATTAACTCGCTGTATCATCTGCCAGAATCAAAAAGTCTGATTGCTTAGAGAAGTAATAGCACGCCTGCCTTAGAAAGCATCACTAATAATTGAATACTTTAGGCAAACATTTTCTATTAAATAAAAAAGTAAGAAATATAATTAAAAGTAACAGTAGATCCCAAAAGATTCACTATTTTTTAATCAATAAAGAGTGTACTTTGAAACTTCTCACCGACACAATAAGATCTGTAAGGCTCATAATTGGTCCATTGTGGTGTGGGCAGCAGCTAATGCTGATGTTTTTTCTCGTAGAGTCAGATTTTGTCGGCTCAGCTTTACTCAGAGAGAGCATCAACAGCTCCATCGGGGATGATGACAAACTCTACTTCTTCTTCACGGAGAGGAACACAGAACCGACAGCTTACTCCAGCCAGACCAAAGTGGCCAGGGTGGCCCGTGTGTGTAAAGTAAGAGCTGGGTTCGGGATTTATCTTGAGTTGAGCTCAACTGTTGATCTGTATTTTTCAAATCTGGTTTTAAAACTTACATTAACAAAACATTTTCACTCCTATGTACAGACTTCTAAGTACAGTCCATGACAGCGCCAGCCTGACCTCATCTCTCCACACGTTTCTGGAGGTTCTATGGCTTTGCTACTGTTGCCGGGCAGATAAAGCCCCACTACCCAAACTAGCTCTCTCACTCGCTTTTTTTCTCCCACACATGTTCTCCCACCTGCATTATTCTCATCTCATTTCGCATCTTCATTCTGCTCGGATAAACAACCCAACAGTTTCCCCTCACCGTTATATCTTCATTTATTTCACGCCTGCATTCACTCTGCAGCTAACACTTCACAGCTCTGGGAAGCAGGTCAGGTCCCTTACTGTTTGACTTACTGAGTTAGGAGGGAAAGAAGCTCCAGTCCAAAGTAGGCCACACTACACACACACGCTCACACACACGATTAAACACATGTACTTGTACACATACATGTTTATACGCTACTGTTCAAAAGTTTGAGGTCGGAAAGATTTTTTCATATTTTTGAAAGTCTCTTATGCTCACCAAGCATTTATTTGATCACAAATACAGTAAAAAAAGAATAGTGAAAAAAAATATTGTGAAATATTACAATTTAAAATAACTGTTTTCTATTTACTAGAAATGTAGTTCTTGCTGCTCAAGAAACATTTCTTATTATTATCGATGTTGAAAACAGTTATGCTGTTTAACATTTTTGTGGAAACCGAGATACATTTTTTCAGTATTATTTGATGAATAGAAAGTTCAAAAGAACAGCATTTACTTGAAATAAAAATATTTTGTAACTTTATACATGTCTTTACTGTCACTTTTACTGTCACTGAATAAAAGTATAAAACATTTTTTAAGTCTTACTGACCCCAACTTTTTTAACGGTAACATATAAGAATATTCAAGATAACTTATTCAAAATGTTTTAGTAACTAGTTCCACAGTCTTTTAAAGTTAAGCAACTCAATAAAATTCATGTTCCTACTTTAAACTTTAAATAGATGGGTTACTTTGAATAGATGGCTTACTTAAGACTTTGAACAGATTGGGTTAAATACTCCAACCCAACCCCAATAAACAAAGTTTTGGTCTAAGTTCACCAATTTTCTAGATGTTGTTCAATATTAGTCAAATTTGTCTTCTAAGTGTAGACAACTCTTACTTATTAAACTATAAAAAAATCTTGTTGTGCTCAGTGGGTGAGAAATTATTTTAATTAAGCAGGGTCTACCAAGGGAAACACTAATCACCCTAACAGTGATTTTGCACAAAACAACAATACAAGTTCACCAAAAGCACTAATTACTACTGCTAAGTAGTGTCACCATAAGTCACCATGCTTTGAAAACAAATACAACATTAAAATGTTAATTCGCAAGGGATTATGGATGTTTCATCAGCCACAAAGTTTATAGTGAAAGTTCACAAAATTAATATTTGCAGAAGTACATGTTGTCCACAATAGCACTTATGCATAAGATACCCTATAGTAAACATTGCATTACAGTGATGGGAAAAGTTACTTTCAGTGACACAAAAATCTGATACTTGTATCATGTGACAGCATTGCTGATAACTTTTATTATGGAGAAACCGTACAAAAGTATCCATTTTCTTTTCCTCTATGCCATTTATTTGAGCCATCTCAGTTCTGGTCTTTCTTCGTCTCGAATGAATGTGAACTGACACCACAATTAGCCTGAAGATCCTCGTGTTACTACTAGAGCCTGATGCTGCCTGTTTCTGAGCAGAATGCTGTTAGCACATTTAGGACAGCTTTTTGTGCCCACAACTGTGTCATTTCAAGCTAAATGTTTAATTCAGGAGTTTAACATAGCAGATCTTGGTGCATTTGGCTGTGAACTACTCTCAAGGGTATATGTGAATAATGCAAAAGGCCATGGGCTAGGTTGGTAGAAATCTAGAAAAGATTATGAAAATATGATTTTCCCATTTCAATGTACCTCTGATTTCACATTTGCAGTGTGATGCAGAGCTACATAATCATAATTTGTCATTTAAACTCAATTGTCACATCCCATTAGATTGTAAGATGGGGTGATATTATGTTCGTTATTTGTTCATATTTTTACTGCTACTTTAGTGTGACTCATGCCCCTGAGGAAACTGTCTTCAAAGAACTACAGACTACGCATAATACATATGTATATTGTGTCATTCCTACTGCTCTGTTGAGTTAATAAAAATGAGCAATACGTTGTTGTTTTTTTCGTGTAATTTGTGATTTTCATATCAGTGTTTTTTTGTTTCTCGTTCACAGGGGGACATTGGAGGGCAGAGGACTCTTCAGAGGAAGTGGACGTCCTTTCTCAAGGCCAGGCTGGTGTGCGCCATCCCTGATTATGAGCTTCAATTCAACATCCTGCGCAGCGTTTTTGTCGTTGAGGGAAGCAACGTACACGACAGTGTCTTCTATGGCATTTTTGGACTTGAGTGGTGAGAAAATGCACTTAGACAGAATGTAAGATTTGATTGTGAACGGAATTGAGAACAGAATTCTGTTCCTAAATTTAAATTAGGGTAGCAAACAGGATGTAGAATTGTAATTTAAATTTAAACGCAAGGAAATACAATTTAAAATAAATTGAAATTCAAATGCAATTTTATCATAGATAGATAGATAGATAGATAGATAGATAGATAGATAGATAGATAGACAGACAGACAGACAGACAGATAGATAGATAGATAGATAGATAGATAGATAGATAGATAGATAGATAGATAGATAGATAGATAGATAGATAGATAGATAGATAGATAGATAGACAGACAGACAGACAGACAGACAGACAGACAGACAGACAGACAGATAGATAGATAGATAGATAGATAGATAGATAGACAGACAGACAGACAGACAGACAGACAGACAGACAGACAGACAGATAGATAGATAGATAGATAGATAGATAGATAGATAGATAGATAGATAGATAGATAGATAGATAGACAGATAGATAGACAGATAGACAGATAGATAGATAGATAGATAGATAGATAGATAGATAGATAGATAGATAGATAGATAGATAGATAGATAGATAGATAGATAGATAGATAGATAAATAGATAGATAGATAGATAGATAGATAGATAGATAGATGGGTGACAATTTCTACTCAATTGTATGCATTTCGTAGTTTCAACTTGTTTTTCTTCATTAGTAACTTTGGCACCACGTTGATTTTATATCAAATTTAAGACTGCAGCTAAACATAAGCCTTCAGTTTTAAAGGGTTGAAATGTTTTAGCCTGTGAGAGGGGTGCTGCAGTCTCATTAAATGTGATTTGAACAGAAGAAGCATTAATCTTCTAGCATGTGACCCTGTTCTCTTCATTCTCAGAGGTTTTTTGACTGAAGGGTTTTAGCATGAGAGCCCATCTCTAAATATTCCCATGTGCTTTCCTCGCTAGAGCAGGGATACTCACAATAGGACACAGGGCACTGGGCCAGTATTTGAATTGGCAGAATCGAAAGAGGGAGAGAGAGTGCATGCAGAGTCATGCTATATTAAATTGTCCTTTAAATGTCCACAGACTAGTTGGGGACCAAATTCTCCCATCAAACCCATTTCCAGGTAATAAACAGGACAGAGCACGGAGTGGCAACCCTTTATCATCCTAAAAGGATTAATAAGAATCAGTATTTCATTTTGAGGCTTTCTAGTGTTATGTCCCAGGTGGACAAAATCGCAACGGGTTTGTTTCTGAGCTTTTGTGTTTTAGAGGCTCTGCCGTCCTCCATAAAGATACAGGTTCAAGTCATGTGTAAGTTTAGACAACACTGCTAGAAAAATGACGATTTCTTCTTCATCTTTTACACACAAACAACTTAGTAAATAATTCACAAAATTTAGAAGCATTTAGAATTGGTCTTTCACCAATGTTTGCATTGATGGTGTCACACTGGTACTCAGGATAACAACCTTAGTGTTTATTTACAGTAGAATTATTAAAGAAATATCTGTGAAATGCTGATGATTTACCACAAAGAACAATTTTGACTAAAAATGTGCGTACAGTAAATGTTTGTACAATGGAAGTGAATGGGGAAAGGCATTAGACTAGAATAAACATTAAAATACACATTGATTTGAAATTCTATACACAACACTTAAACATTAAATATGTTACTAATGTGATAAAATGGTTTCCTTCTTTGTTGGCATTGTCTCTGATTACCACAAACTGTTAAATGAAACCGTTCCTTCTTACAAACATGAAGTAATACAGAAATCATTAGAAATCCTTCAAAGATTATAAATGTAGTGGGAAAATATATTTACATTAAAATTGCATGCTGTGATCAGTAAATTACTACAAAAATCTGATGTATAACATGTTAGAAAGAATTTAAAAAAATATATTTTTCTTACTATAATTTCCTTTTTCAGGGATAATATAAGCACTTTAATAAATATAAGCTTCACTCGCTTTTAACACTTCGGAATGCCAACCCCATAGACTTGCATTATAAGTGTATGACTGTAAATCTGATTTTTATAAATTGAGGCACAAATCAAAATGATTTTCTCTGGTAATTCACATTTACTTTACATTTATACATTCAGCAGATGCTTTTAGTTTTATCAAAAGTGACTTACAAATGAGGAATACAATAAGTGATTCTTAAGCAGTAAGATGAGCAGTTGACAGATTCGCATTAAACCAAAAATCCTTCAATCTTTCCCTCTTTACTCTTTCTCATTGCCAGGAGAAATGTTAAGATGTCTGCAGTGTGTCAGTATTCACTCAGAGATGTTCAGACAGCTTTTGATGGGCCTTACATGGAACTACAGGACTCCAAATGGAGCGAGTACACTGGGAAAGTTCCGGAGCCGAGGCCTGGCTCGGTGAGATGCACTACATCAAAATAGTCCCATAAACTGCCCCCTTCTAGTATAATAGTTATACTAAATCAGTAGGACAGCTCTTTGGGCATATTGGAGCGCTTGTATCACTCTTATGTGAAATGTTATATAACAGTGCCCTTTCTCTTTAGTGTATAACTGATCAGCATCGTGCCCTGCTCCTAAATTCCTCCCGGGATCTCCCTGACAACACACTGAATTTTGCTCGGAGACACCCTTTAATGTCCAAACAAATCCAGCCAGTGGGAGGACATCCTCTGTTGCTCCAGAGGAGCGCGGACTACACCAAGATCGCTGTACAACAGGTTGTGGGTTTGGATGGACTCATCTATGACATGCTCTTTATTGGAACAGGTGCCTAAGGGTTTATTTTTCTTTTTAGGTATTGTTGTGATATCAAGATTAAAAAGGTTATTTTGATTTTGATATTAAAATTATCAAAGTTTGAGGTTGGAAAGATTTTTTTATGTTTTTGAAAGGAGTCTCTTATGCTCACCAATGCTGCATTTATTTGATAAAAAATCTGTTCTATTTTAATATATTTTAAAATGTAATTCATTCCTGTTCTGCAAAGCTGAATTTTCAGGATCGTTACTCCAGTCTTCAGTGTCACATGATACTTCTGAAATCATTCTAATATGCCGATTTGCTGTTCAAGAAACATTTCTTCTTATTATCAGTGTTGAAAATATTTGTGCTGCTTGATATTTTTGTGGAAACTTTTTTTCAGTAAATCAACATTTATATGAAATTAGATTTTTTTTTTTTTTTTTTTTTTTGTCTTTGCTGTCATGCTTGCTGAATAAAAGCATTATTAATTATTTAATAAAACAAAATCTTACTAACCCCAAAACTCTGAAGGGTAGTGTATATTTGATTGAAACTTAGTTTGTGTTCTTCTCTCCAGATGAGGGCTGGTTACACAGGGCTGTAAAGATCAGAGACCGTGTGCATATCATTGAGGAGCTTCAGTTGTTCGAGGAGAAACAGCCAATCAATAACATGGTGATATCACAAAAACAGGTAGCCCGTTTTACACCTAGCAACTGTTAAAAACCAGCAACTGTTAAAAACCAGCATTAAATCCAAGCGTACAATACAAACACTTGTGTATCCCAAAAATAAATCTCAGGATGTGCACTTTTGTTCAACAGAACAGTATCTATGTGAGTGCCCCCTCTGGACTGGTGCAAGTACCCCTGTCATCCTGTGAGCGCTACACATCCTGTTATGATTGTGTGTTTGCACGAGATCCACTCTGTGGTTGGGATGGAAGAACATGTGCTGAGATAACATCTTACGCTAATAGGTAAAAGCAGACATCTTGTTTTTTCAATAACACAATGTATGTATTATATATGTTTCCCAAAAGTATATGAGTTCAAAAGTAATTTTCTTTGCTAAACCTAATGGCAGGTGATTTAAGAAACATTACTCGATATAACGGCACCTTAACAGATACCAGCCTTTTTTATATCTCCAGTATTGGATTTTTATAGGTTGATATTGTATATATAATTATATCTGCTTACAATTATAATTCAAACTGTACATTTTGCTATAGCAGATTTCAAAATGAATATTTATCTTTATTGATATTATTGGATTTTATGCTGTAAAATATTGTTATGCCTAAATTAAGTAGCTTACAAACTATTTATGTTTTTTTTACATGATTATTTTTGCATTTATTTTATTATTACCCAGTATTACCCATAATTTTGATATCAGTTGTGCATTAGTGCATTCCTAAAAATAATAATAATGAAATTAAATATTTATAATATAATAATATATCATAAATACTTCTTACCGGCCATGAAACTGTATTTTGCATTATTTTTATAAAAAAAAAAAAAAATTATGAAAGTGGATTTTTCTGTTATTGTGTTGCATATGTATGATAAACATTGCAGGTCATCCATCTCTTAATGAAAAGTTTGTTTGAGTCACATATGAGGAATATTGAGAAATAAGCAACTTTGGGTGTCTCCGATAAACCTCTGATTTTCCTCTAATGTAAAAGGTTTTAGATGACGTGCATAAGCGAGGGTCAGATTATTGTTCTTACAATGTGATTTAAACCATGTAGTGTTACAGTTCCTAATAAGTTACCAGCCAACTGGGGAGGAAAGTGTTTTCTTTTCTGGCTAAAACCAATTTTAACTCCCATTTGGCTCTTGGGGAGTGTTAATTTTTGGACCCAGTGTCCAAAACAAATTTGCAGTATGTTCTGCATGCTTCGATTAATAGCTTTAATAAGTGCAACTGTGAATATGTTTCTTGTAGGTCCAGTCTCATCCAGGACGTCCAGATGGGAAGCAGAGGCTGTACTAATATTACAAATGATGGTGAGTTTGCATGGGAATTATTTCTGAGCAGCGTAGTCAGGTGACATTTAAGAATAGAGTAATAATGCGTCTTACGTTTTGCCAGGTTTCGTCATGCACCGGACACGTGCAGTGATGGCAGGGGATGATGTGCTGTTACAGTGTGAGATTCGTTCTAACCTGGCCACCCCTTACTGGACGCTGAACGGTCAGCAGCTGCAGGGTTACGGCGTAGAATTTGGCTACCGCACGGGCAACGACGGCCTCCTCATCATCGGCGCTCAGAACCAGCAAAGTGGACACTACCGCTGTTACGCAGTGGAGAACGGCGTCTGGGTTCCCGTTCGCAGTTACGTGGTTCGAGTGCAACCCGTTCCGCCTCCTGCATCACATCTCTCAGGAAGCCCCACAGCTCTACCTGAAAGTTTCTTCACCACCAAAACTGTGCCAACTCCGAGTCCTTCCAGCGGTCCTGTTGAGCAGATCCTGTCACCCCCACCGGCCCCGTTACCTTCTGGGCCGGAGTTCCAGACCTACAGGCACATGGAGGCCATGTACATCTCTCTGGTGGCTGTACTCGGCGGGCTTTGTCTGGTACTAACGGTGGTCCTGCTGTACGTTAGCTTCTGTGCACACAACTCTCCCAATGCCAGAAAGTACTCCCAGCAAGCTCTGTCTATAACCACGGCAAGCGAAAGAAAGAGGAGCTCGCACTTTGAGCTCAAAACCATCTCCAGCCACTGCAATGGCCGAATGGAGGGGCGTAGCAGAGCAACGTCGAGAGACGGAGAGTTTCTACAGATCATTCAAACAGACATCCAAACCACGCCGAGTGAGGAGCCTCCGCCCGCGCCACCACTTCCTATGCCACCGCCCCTGCCCGCCTCGGAATACGCCAACGGACTGTCGGCCACGTTGCCCAGTGTGCTGAGAAAGATGAACGGGAACAGCTATGTGCTCTTGGGGCAGTCGGACTCCGAAATGACGTCTCCACTTTACCACTCCTTCACAGAGGAGCTCAACAGGATTCTAGAAAAGAGGAAACACACACAGTTGGACATCCAACCAGATGAGAGCTCGGTGTAGCATGATCTCACACCATTACTATAGCACCCTCTTGTGGTGTGGAGGCTTACATTTTGTATAAGACTTAAGAGAACTGTGTTGTGAAGTTCTTCATAGTATCTCCGATATACACAACTTCAACTTATTTGGCTTGGCGCCTTTGTGAATCCTTCATTTGAAAATATGTTAGTGAAAATATTTCTGAGTTTGGTCCAATTTACTTCTGGCCAATATTTACTTCTGTCAACTGTAGCTAAAGACGCCTAGACTGTGAACTTTGGAGTGTAAAAAACACAAAATGAGCTTCAATCAAGAACACGCAAGACTGAGTTTAGTTAAGTTTCGTTTTAAAGGAGAATTAAGAGACTTCAAAACACTGTCCAAAGACTTTCTCAGCAAAGCAATGCATATTTGTACATAATCAACGTGGTATTATTGCTTAAATGCAGATGTTTACAGATTTTTGTTTTGTTTTTGCCTAATTGCACCTGTAAATAATAATCATTTTAATATCTAATAGTCACAGCTTTTCAAAACTACTTGGCTCGTTCATTGAAAATTCAGAACGAGTTTGGGTTTTGAGACTATTGCCAACAATTCATGAGTGTGCGGGCACATGTTCTTGAGATTTGGACTTTTTAACAACACAATTTCACACTAGATTGCAGTCAGATTGCAGGAGCAGCGAGTGTTAGCCCATGCATCATTGACATCTGCAGATACAGAGGTGGTCATTTTCAGATCCACTCAGCTGTAGAACTCAACGCCTCTTTCAGGGATGAGTTGTGCTTTTCTTTGGCAGTGTGTCAGATGGAGTGAATGGATTTCAGAATGGAAGAATCACTCTGTCTGATACATGATTTCCCTGTCAAATGCTGTCCGGATTTGAGAGCATATGCTTTTTAACGTTAAAATGAGGCAAGAGATGCCTTCACAAGAAATGCCAGGGCCTTTGAAGTTTATTTGGAAGATAATGAGTTTGCATTCAGTTATTTTACTGCATTATTCTTGATCAAGTGTGCCTGGTTAATTCGGTGCTTTAAACTCCAGACATAAATGTATTTCTCTTTGGGCTGTCAATTCAATGTTGTAATTTAGAGCAATTCATTGAAAAAAATCTGATACATTATCATTCAAAAGTTTGATCTCAGTCATTTTTTATAGAAGTCTCTTAGGATCGATTAAAAAAATACAGTAAAAACAGAATACGATTTAAAATAACTTTTTTTTATTTAAACATATTTAAATGTATTCCTGTGATGGCAAATCAGAATTTTTATCCACATCATTCCTCCAGTCTTCACATGATCCTTCAGAAATCATTCTAATATGCTGATCTGCTGCTCAAGAAACATTTCTTATTATAAATTTTGAAAATAGTTGTGTTGCCTAATATTTTTGCGGAAACCACGTTAAAACAAAATTCAGGATTCTTTGACAAATAGAAAATTTCAAAAGAACCGCATTGATTTGAAATAGATTTTTTTTCTAACAATGTAAAAGTCTTTTGATCAATTTAATGCGTCCTTGCTGAATAAAAGTATTAATTTCTCTTATAAAAGTATAAATAACTCTTACTGACCCCAAACTTTTAAACAGTTGTTAATATTAATGAAAATTCGAACAATTAATTATGCCACCTGCCCAAACATAAAAAGAAATAATTACTTGCAAATTAAACAACATATCAACTTTTTGTGATGTCTATTTATTTATTTAATACTATAATGACTGGACTATAATGACTAAACTATGTTTATTTGGGAGCAGTTGTAAGTCATTGAGATTCATTTGATTCAGCATATCATAATTACATTTAATTACATTTAAATTGACAGGCCTAAAATCCATATAGCTGTATATTTTATTTCTGCCGTGTGTATTGTCACCCTGGTTTTGCGCTGGTTTGTAAACAGTGTTACACAGAGATGTTGAGTCAGCTCTTGTCATCTCTCCCTAGTGGCTTTCCCAGCTCGTGCTGCTCGGTTTGTCAGTGTTGCTGACAGGAACGGCACTGCTTTGCAAGGACTCCATCAAGATGCAGAGAGAGAGCAGTGGTGTCTTGTCTTAAGGCAGCAGAAAGAGGAGGAAGAGACGCATGATGTGCTTGTTTTGGTCAGAAGTCATGGTGCTAACATGAGTGCCATCACACTGTCAGTGTGCTTCAGCTCGTCTCTTGTTCACCATCTCTCACTTTCCCTTCTCATTTACATGTTATGTTGCATCCCCAAACTTCAACCACTTGTCTGATCCACGTAACATTTTTTAATCAGTCTTCGTTTAAACTAATTTCCGTTGCATGTATGAGTGTCAGTATGTTGATTTTACATCAAAAATGCATTTCGCTGATATACATTATATAAGTCAATATAAAACAGATTTTATTGGATGTCTGGTAGTGCTGTCTAATCGATTAATCGCATCTAACAAAAGTTTTTGTTTATATAATATAGGAGTGTGTATATATATATATATATATATATATATACACACTTTATATGTGTGTGGACACACATCCATATAAATATGTGTAAATGCAGCTCTGGAAATAATTAGGAGACCACTGCAAAATTATCAGTTTCTCTGGTTTTACTATTTATAGATATGTGTTTGGGTAAAATTCACATTTTTGTTTTATTCTATAAACTACTGACAACATTTCTCCCAAATTCCAAATAATTAGTCATTTAAATAGTCATTTAGAGCATTTGTTTGCAGAAAACGACAACTGGTCAAAATAACAAAAAAAGATGCAGTGTTGTCAGACCTCGAATAATGGATAGAAAATAAGTTCATATTCATTTTTTAACAACACAATACTAATGTTTTAACTTAGGAAGCGTTCAGAAATCAATATTTGGTGGAATAACCCTGATTTTCAATCACAGCTTTTATGCGTCTTGGCAATGCTCTCTACCAGTCTTTGACATTTCAAATTCAAGCAGCTCTGCTTTGTTTGATGGCTTGTGACTCTCCATCTTCCTCTTGATCACATTCCAGAGGTTTTCAATGGGGTTCAGGTCTGGAGATTGGGCTGGCCATGACAGGGTCTTGATCTGGCGGTCCTCCATCCACACCTTGATTGAGCCTCAGAGTTGGGGAACATTGTCAGAGCAGAAGGGAAGCAAGTTTTCTTCCAGGACAACCTTGTATGTGACTTGATTCATGCGTCCTTCACAAAGACAAATCTGCCCGATTGCAGCCTTGCTGAAGCACCCCCAGATCAAGGGGTGAACTATTGTTCAGATGTTTAAGGTCATTCATTTATTTTTTGAAAGAAATTAATACTTTTATTCAGCATAGAGTCCGAGGACGAATCCTTAAAAATGTGTCACGGTTTCCACAAAAAATATTAAGCAGTACAACTGCTTTCAATATTGATAATAATGAGACATGTTTCTTGAGCATCAAATCAGCATATTGGAATGATTTCTGAAGGATCATGTGACACTGAAGACTGGAATAATGCTGAAAATTTTAAATTATATTAATATAGACAACTGTTATTTTAAATTGTAATAACTTTTTTACTGTATTTTTGATCAAATAAATGCAACTTTGGTGAGCACAAGTGTGCATAAAAGCATTAGGGACATCAGATGAAAAAGTGAAGTTATTTTTAGTAAGAGATTACGAAGATAAACTTTTTCCTTTGGAATAGCGTGCACTGATGAATTGTTCATAGTATTAACATGTATTTTAGTGCTGTATGCCTATGGTGTACTTCTAGTCATAAACTGTGATTCATCATAATTTAAAAATTAGAGGTTTGCTGTCATTGTGTTTCTGAATATCCACTGCCATCCCTATAATCGCACAAAACCTTTTGCACTTAATATTTTCCCAAAGTTTTTGCTATGCTTACATGTCAGTCACGGTGTGTATTCGGGTACATATTGTTTCAATATTTTAGAGCTTATTCTTACAAAACGATATCTGATGTTTACATCCTATTAAAGCATTTATTATCATTGTCTCTGCTTCTGTATCTTGTGCGACCCAAAGGTTAAAGATCATTCTGCATGCAAGAAAGAAACCTCTGAATAACTGTCACAGTAGGAGATTTTAACCAGATCCCCATCTGTATCAGGCCTGTTGGTATGTCCCCAATGCATCTGTTACTTAGCAACACAGCTCTTAATTTAGAACTTTCTTTAATCCACATAATAGGTCAAGCTAGTTTTCACTGGGGAGCAAAGATGTGATCAGAGCACTAGTCTCATCTGGTTGTAATAAATGGGACATAATAAATATACTATAAATTCTCTTGTGAACTGAATCATTAAAACATGGCTTGCATTGATTAGATGCCCAGCCTTGAGCTATCTTGCTATAGGTTACTACCCAGCAACCAATTCATCTCTGTTGTTCTACCTTGCTGTTCAAGCGGCAGCAAAAAAACAACTAAGCCTAAAGAAGTCATATTGTGTTCTGAATGTCTTCTGTAGTAGTCACATTTTGTTAACAGAGTTTAACGTGCTGTTTTAAAAAAAAGAAGCCAAAACTGTTAATACTGATTACAGCCAACATATTCTAATGTTCCCACCCCCAACATGATCAACGTCTGTTGCATACTGCGTTTATTGCTTTTTTGCCAGTAATACGTGGGAGTGAGAAAAGCTTTTCTCCCGTGCGCTCAAGCTTTGTGTCGCTGTCACTGTAGATTAAACGCACACAATGCATGTTGGTTTCTCAGCTGTTGCAATCAACATAGATACTGTGGGGGAAACACTTCTGGGTCATTCCGTTTCAACTCAACCAGAGGTCCCCGGCTCAAAATAAAAATAATTATGAAGACAGACAAACATTAATAGTGATGAACGCCAAAATATGAAATGTCATGGATGTATATTTACTGAGTAATTCACTATTTTTGGAGCCATTAGACAGGTATGTTCTATGCAATTGTGTTGATAGAAAAACACAAGACAGGCTACAGTTCTAGTTTAAACATTATTTGTTCTTCAGATATTCCTTTTTAAAAGAAAAAAATGATCAGCTGTATGCAAAGTCACCCACATTTGGTTTTTGGCCACTGAAAATGTGTACAATTTACTCACAGAGCCGCATTAAGATCTCCATATCTCTGGGACTGAACCATCAGGGGCCTTTAAAATGAAGATACCAAAAGGAAAGTTCGTTAAGAACCAGAATCTAAAAGGATATTAAGATATCTTTAAGACTTCTTGAGTTACAGGCGTGCAAACTTGAAGCAAAAAACACAAGAAGGGCTTTTTTGCCATTTTTGAACCGTCAACGTTGGCATATAATGAAACAAAGATTGCTAAAGTCAACAGATTTAACTAATAGACCTACCAATTTCTGTGTAAAAAGAAAATGATGCTTCTATCTTCCTAAAGTCATTTTTACCCCCCTGTAATTTGACTCCAAATCTTTGGTGAAAATTGGCATTTTGATCTTCAAAATAGTGGATTACTAAGTAAATATACATCTGTGACTGTGACATTTAATATTTTGGCTTTCATCACTATTTATGTTTGTCTTTCTAGAGAAAAAAATATTAACAAAATCAAATAGTTATTTGAGCAGGGGTAGTATACGAAATTTGGTTGATTTGACACAGAATGATCCTTCGGCCCTAATATTCAGATTAATAATCAACCAATAAGGCTTTTTTTATTGTTCATTCTAAAATTATTACATGATTTCAATTATTATGATTTCCTGTACTTCCTGACCCAAAATCTCTGTTCTGTGTAACAGCTGCCAGTTGTCACCATTGTAAGGCCTACAAAATCATTCAAATGATTTAAAAAAAATAAGTAATTCACATTTCACACACATTAATTTGTATAGCGCTTCATGGTTCCATGAAGATCCTTTAGCATCCAAGGAAACTTTTTATTGCACTAAATAGTAGGAAATGGTTCTTAGTATAGTATATAAAAATGTAGGCCTACAATAAGGAAAAAAATATATATTTTAAGAACTTTTCACTGAAATAAAAATGGTTCTATGCATGGGTGTAGCTTGATATCTATGGTCAGTCACTATTTGAATCAATTTTTTTCTATAGTAAACCTACATATTCACACTTTGTGTAACTCCATAAATAATAATATTAAAGTGATTATACTACAGGGCTGCCAACCTTTGAGGTTGGCTTGGAGTGAGAATTATAAAGGGGGGTGGGAGTCGATTCATAAGCTTGCGAATCGGTTTTGATCTTGATTCAATATCGATTAATTTGACTAACTAATCAGGAACAGATTAGGGCCTACATGTTATGGAAACAAATCTCTCTCAACTAATGCTGTAAACATACATACCTGTCAGCTGGTATTATTAAAGAATAAAATTAACAACTCATTCCTACAATATTGATATAATGCAGTTTTATAACAATGTTAGAATATTTTTGTAACACTTTAATTTAGGGTCCAATTATCACTATTACCTAGTTACTTATTAGCATCCATATTATTAGGAAATTGGCTGTTTATTAGTACTTATAAAACATGCAATAACGCTTTATTCTGCATGACCATATTCTACATCCCTTGCCTTAATCCTACCCAATATCTAACTTAACAGGTACCTTACCAACTATTAATAAGCAGTAATTAGGCGTTTATTGAGGATAAGTCATAGTTAATAGTGAGAATTGGACCCTAATCTAAAGTATGACCATATTCTTTTAATTATAGGAGTAAAAAATATAATAAATATGTATATAGTGCATATATTTAGCAAAATGCTCCTCTCTTGAGTTCATTTTCCTAACATGCTATATAGTCATTGGCTTTACGAAAGCTGTTTTATTGACGTCTTTCTGCTTTTGAAATACTCATTAAACAATTACATGAGACATAATACATTTCATTAAGATGTACTGAATCTTTTAGCATACTTTCTGATGTTCATTCATGTTTATTTGGTGCTATAACTAGCAATAAACAGGAAGACAGATCTGTCCAGTCGGTTTTCCCACGCTAAACTTAGAAATAAACATGTTAAATATGCACTATAAACACGATATTTTAAAAGTAGGCTTTTATTAAGCTTATAAAGGAGTGGAAAAATTACTCACCCTCTGCTTTTAAACATTTTAGGTTAAAAAAATCCCACTGGACACAGTTGGATGGGCATATTACAAGGAATTTAATTGTTATATAATAAACTTTATCAAGCCACAAATAATCTGTAATAATTCATCAAACAGAAAAGTATCATTTTAACAGTCTAGTAACAGTTCACTGCTTAAAACATCTAAATGATCATAGTACTGATGAATTTGTACTGATTTTCGTGCTGTGGCAGAGGAAGTTCACAGCTCACCACATCAATCAGGGAATAAATACAAAGCAAATTGCTTATTTTGTCTGTTGGCGCACTGGCTCGATGCTGGGGGGTCGATTTGTAAAGGGGTGCCACTGGCCCTGGATACTGGGACTGTCTGTGTGGAAGGGTTTTCGAATGCGGATGATGTCCAGTCCTGACTGGTTGGACATCTTGGTTATAAGTTCGGCAATCTGCTGCGATGTTTTGTTGGTGACCATCTCCTCCTTCACATTACCGTTCACTGCATAGATCAAATAAAAACATTGAGCACACTGGTATTTAATATATATTTGACAACTAGAAATTGTATAAACATTTAGTCATTACTGCAGGAAACAACAATACGGTGTACCTGTAAGCCAGCAGAGCAGATTAAAACATTTTGAAAAAATATCAGGAAAGGTCAGACTTACAATATTCGGCTACTATTTTAGGAATTCTGCAGGACTGAGGGGAGATGTAAATCACAGTTCCTGGGTTATTTTTGGCAAAGTCCACCACACCTTCCTCAATGAAATCTCTGGAGGAATATATTATAATTAAATGATTTACAATAAGGGACACAAATAATGCACAATGTCAAAGGATCTCACTGAAACGTGCTACTCAAAATAAATTACCCCACAAATATTTGCAACATGAACTGTATTACATGATATAAATAAAAAATAAAACAAATAAAATAAAATATTTATACAAATGTAACTATTTAAAAATAATTAAAATTTTACTTCTTGAAAATGATGACTTTATATAATCTATTATATCATATTATCTCGGATACACAAACAAAACAAAAAAATACACATAATCAGATATTCACTCTCCATACAGAGTGATCATTCTATGGGTAGTTTATGTACAATGGTATTACACATGATCAACACAGTTGATGTAAACCCACCTGACTCCTAAAGAGCCCTGTCCTTTCTTTGAGAAGACCAGAGAGATTCGCTTTAGCTGACAAACATAGCGGCCCACTCCATTGTGAAGAACGCTCTGTAAAAAACGACTCGGTGTTCCTCGAGCAGTCATGTCCACCTCTTCAGAGATGCAACATTCAGTTCAACTTACTATTTGATTGTTGCCAGAATTGGTTAGAATAATATCACGCACGTCGAATTATTAAATTTAGAGGACAGCCGTCAGAAGACATGTGTAATGTCAGGTACGTTACAAATTGTCGTCCGGGTGGAAATAGAAGCTGCGTATCAGAAGTGATCGAAATACAGTTTTGTAACAAACAGAAAGTTCCCAATAACTTTATTACAGGGAATTTGACGATGACAGCTTACTTATTTTCTAAATATATGTTTATTACGACTGTAAAGCTACACAGTCTAATTCGCTTTGTCGTAACTCACTACGACAAGAGTTTCGTGTTTCACACGGAAGTATTTTTGAGGTCGGACCTCGCGTTCAGTGGGACATGCATACACATGATGCAGTTTGGCGCGCTTCCTACAGTTTAGTAAGTTTATGTGAAATCTTTACGGTATATGCGTTTCTTACACATATTTCCCGCAAAAAAGGTTCTCTTCACTAGCTTCATTACTTTTATAGATACACGTACATAATAAATTGTTGAGTAATTGCGTTAGAGGTCATGCATACTGTATACAGTTATTTTTGGTGACGCTTTATAATAACTCTAATTAATAAATCCGTTGCAAGCATTAGAATAGTTCATGTGCATTCATATATGAAAATATATTAATTAGAGTTTCATGACATTTGCAACTATTTTAATGCACATCTACTAATGACCTGTTATACATGAATGGATTAATGATTGTTAATGTTATGATCTAAATATCTCATCTAAATATCTGGAGGAATATATATATTATTATACTATATATACTGGAATAGTTTAAAAGAGTTTAAATATTGAAATTATTTTATCACAATATCACAGGAAAGTTTTTTTTTCTTGTTCTGTTTCAGCCACATTTTTTAAATTGCATATTGTAATTGAGCAAATTGTCTATAATCAATGCAGGTCTGATGTTCTGAATTAACAGCAAATGTGGAGGAGCAGGTTTCTCAAGGGGGCAGGCTGTCTCTTGCAGGGGATAGGCTGTAGTCCCTGTAAACCCTCTCATCTTTCTCTCTGGAGATATCTATCTTTTTGCCAGCCCTGCCTCAATCCAGTCCTGCAGCACTCTTTTAGGGCACCAACCTTGTATTGTTTTGAAAACCGATTAAGACCCGCTGTTGCCTTATATTTCTGCAGAACGTTAAGAAAAGATGCAAAGTCTATAATCGATTTCCCTGTCCAGCCCCTCACAGTGACTGATATCAAACAGTATCTTCGTTCTAAAGATATCCCTTTCCATGATGGCTACAGCTGCTTACATGCTCCTAGTATTTTTCTGGAACCAGCCCCTGAGGGATCTGGAAGAGAAAACTACTCGCTGTTTATCGATAAAACCACCGGACAGTTTCTGTGTAAAGAGACTTTAGTGGAGGGGAGCTGGGAGGACCTCCAGGATTGCATTGAGGTGATGTTGAATGAGGGTCAGACGTCCATCAGCCCTAATGTGCTGCTGGGGTTTCCTGAGAGCTTGGAGGAGCAAGAAGAAATAGAGATGGAGATGAAGGAGGTGCAACGAATATGGAGCAGCTCCGTGCCATTTTCCGACCTCCTGGAAGAGGAAGTGCAGCTTGTTAAAGCCATGTTCCAGATCGGTAAACTCACCAATGCCACACTGAAGAAATTTGGGGTCAGGTTCTTCAAACCCACTAAGAGTCTGGTGTTCCCCTGGTTTAGTGGACGTGACTCGAGCCTCCGGGGTGTTAAATTGCTTTCTGCTGCCGTGAAAGATGATGGACGGGTGGTCTACACTGAAGCCACAGTACCAAAAGTCTCCAGCTACCACAACCTCTTCGGCCTACCTTTGATAGGACGTAAAGACGGTGAGGTTGTGCTCACGGGACGTGAGGTGGACAGCATGGCAGTGAGTCAGGCTACCGGTCTTCCGTCTTTGGCCTTGCCGCGGGGTGTAAGCTGTCTTCCCCCCATCCTCCTGCCTTATCTGGAGCAATTCAAGAAAGTCACACTGTGGCTTGGGGGAGATATGCGCTCCTGGGAAGCCTCAAAAATATTCTCCAGGAAACTTGGACTGAAACGCTGCTCTCTGATCCGGCCAGGGGAGTTTCAGCCGTGCCCCAGTGAGGCTTTGGCACAGGGCAGGAACTTGGTGCGAATTGTCAAGGCTTCCATCCCTGCTGCCCACAAGTCCATTGTGTCCTTCAAACAGCTACGGGAGGATGTGTACGGGGAACTGGCTAATGTGGAGCAGGTGGCTGGGATACAGTGGTCTCGATTCCTTGAGCTTAATCGAATCCTTAAAGGTCATCGCAAGGGGGAGCTGACGGTTTTTACAGGTACAGTCAATACAGGATTGCTATGCTTTGCTTAATTGCACTCTAACCATTTTTCTTCAAAGGTTTTTATTATTTATTAAATAATATAAATGTAAAATAATAATATTTATAATTATATAAATGTGTAAAATAAAAAAATAAAGTAAATATGTGCATAAATATTATATAAGCAATAAAAATTAGTAAAATACATTTTAAAAAATGTGTGTATATTTGTATATGTAGGTCCCACAGGCAGTGGAAAGACCACCTTCATCAGCGAGTGTGCCCTAGATCTGTGCATGCAGGGTGTCAACACATTATGGGGTAGCTTTGAAATCAACAATGTGCGCCTGGCCAAAATTATGCTGACCCAGTTTGCCAAGCAAAGGCTGGAGGAGAACCTGGACCAATATGACATGTGGGCCGATAAGTTTGAGGATCTGCCTCTCTTCTTTATGACCTTCCATGGACAGCAGAACATCAAGTAAATCATTGCCATTCTTTTGTTAAAATGTAATGCATAGTTTGATTGTAAACAGGTATTGTATTGCAAGTCATATGGATTTGTAATGTAGGCTCTTACATAGATTTTTATATTTTCATTTTGCAGAGGATCAGCTGCTTCTCATGATATTTAAATATGAAATGCCATTTTTGTCCCTGTACAGGACTGTTTTGGATACCATGCAGCATGCCGTTTACCTGTATGACATCAGTCATGTGATCATTGACAACCTGCAGTTTATGATGGGCCAAGAGAACCTGTCTCTGGACAAGTGAGGCAACAAATTTAATATGCTATTTATTCAGAGTTCCCATGGTCCTGAAAAAATGGAAATATAGAGGAATTTCAAAAGTGTGATTACCATGAGTCATAAGTTCGGAGTCAGACTTACCAATCCTTACCAATTAATCAAATAATTACAATTGTCCCAAACGTGTGGGAAACTTTATTCATAATTAATATATGGATTATTAATGATAATGTATTCTTACATATGTTTTTTCTCAGATTTGCAGTACAAGACCACATAATTGGAGCATTCCGGAAGTTTGCCACAAACAGCTGCTGTCACGTGACTTTAATTATCCACCCTCGGAAAGAAGAGGATGATAAAGAACTGCAGACAGCGTCCATCTTTGGCACAGCCAAGGTTAGTAGATAAAGACCATCTCTGCATGTTTATTCCTCTGCAACTTCACTTGAGCTGTAAACTTGGTATCCAGATTTTAGATAGGTAGATGATTTCTTTATTGTCATTGTACAATTTACATACAACGAAATTTTACATGCTTAGTTTCCATGTATAATACATTTTTATGTAGTAAGCTCACTTAAAGGGATAGTTCAGCCAAAAATGAAAATTAGCCCATGATTGAATAAATATATATAATAAAATAAAAATGATTGTATTCGTCTGAAAGAAGAATGTCATATACACCTAGGATGACTTGAGAGTGAGTAAATCATGGGCTAATTTTCATTTTTGGGTGAACTATCCCTTTAAGGACTTGTTTAGTAAAATTTTACCAGAAAAGGTTTTTATATTTTTATCATATGTAAATGTAAAACATCTTATATAATCTTATTATACTTATATAAACTTATATAAACTGCTGTATTTTTCTTTTTGTTTGGTTTTTATTTTTTATGCAACCCTTGTATTTTTTTGCCATGAAGATAGCCTCAGATGCTGATATGGCATTAAAACTTATACTACTACTACAGTATAATAAAATCTACCAGGTCTAATGTATAGTTTTCCTCATATCAGGCCAGTCAGGAGGCAGATAACGTGCTCATCCTTCAGGAGAAGAAGTTGGTGACATGTCCTGGCCGAAGGTCCCTTCAGGTGGCCAAAAACCGCTTTGATGGGGACGTGGGGATCTTTCCTTTGGAATTTAATAAAGCCTCGCTTACCTTCTCTGCTCCTGTGAAAGGAAAGCAGAAACTTCGTAAGGTGATAGTGGACAAGAATAACAGCACAGAGGAAATAGAGGAGATTGAACTCAAAGAAACAAGTGAGAAACCTGTCAAGTCTGCAAAAGCCAAGACCTCAAAGACAAAGACAGTTAAGGGCTCAGCAGCAGGAAAGGGTTCCACAGATGGAGAACAAAAGAATCAGTAGCTCAGAGAATTCATTGATTGCATGAATTCAAATAAAATGTGTAATACATGAAAATGTAATGTTATGATGTTAACACACATTGTTTGTTTATAAGGTGGTTCTGGATGGACAGTTAGTATTTTTAGAGCCTCTTAAATATTATGGAATGTTTTATACATACAATGATGTTTTATATGCACCAAAATGAAACAAATTATTTTTGTTGAAAAATTGTTATTTGATGGTTTAAAGAAGCAAAAAAGCATTTAAAATAGCCGTAAAAGACCCGTAAAGCTGCATTTGTAGGGATCCAGCAATACATTTCATTAATGTAAATCAATTTTATGGATTATGTCCAAACATGTATTGTGATCTATTTCTATTTCATTGTCACTGTTACTGTAGGAGAAAAATGTCACAAATAAGCTATTTAAATGAGGCTGTGAAAACTGTTAATAAAATGTTTTGTAGACAATTCTGACAGTTGAATCTTTATATATATATATATATATATATATATATATATATATATATATCGGTGGTGGTTTAAAATGAGGATACAAAATCCTCATATTTAAAAATATATATATATATCAAATGTAAATTTATTTTACAATGAATTGTTCTGCTTAAATAAACATTAGATAAAGACAAGTACAATTCTATTTTGTATTTTAACACATGCAATGTTCTATCAATTAAAGCCAAGTATAAATCTCAGCAAGGTAGGGTTTTTACGCATTTGTGGGTCCTTACTCCTTAATGTTGTTTGCTGGTTTTTCTGTTCCTGATTCCTGTTTCCTGAGTCAGTCTTTGTATAGTCTGAGTGGTGTAAATAAAGTCAATCTGCAAATGGATCCTACTACCTCGTCTGCTTCAACCTCACGTGACAAAAGTGGACATGTCCGGGCAAAAGAGGACGTTTGGTCAATGGTCACCCTAAAATAAATAACCACATTCCGAGCATTAGGGTCCTTTGGAAGGTAATGTATTTTTTTTTTTTTGTGTCCAGAGATCCTGTATAGTCCTCTCCTCATCATCTCACTAACACGCCAGTGGGCAGGGCCAAAGTTGCAATGATGAAGTAGTAGGCGTTGATCTTTCACCTGTCATAAGCCGCGTTTCCATTACCCTTCAAATTGCGCAAATTGAAATTGCGAATTAAAAATACGCTCAATGGAAACATGTCAATTTCGCAAAAACTCCCATTTATCGCAAAAAAGTTTTTACGCTCGCATGAGGTGGTTTTTAAGGCAATTCGAAAAAGGAATATTTCGCAAAACTGCAATGGAAACAGTTTTTGCGCAATTACAGTCACCTGACTTAGAAGGCGCGTGTGTTTGGGGTCCGTGTAGGCTATTGCGTCCATTCGTTTTTCCTTTAACTCGTATGAAAACGAAAAAGATGCTTTCTTTATTAGTTTTTAGACTGGTGAAAAGATATTCACATACAAACTTATTTTCCTTATATAGCCTATTGCTTATTTAATTGAAAATCAAATAGGCCTAACTGACATAGGCCTACAACTTTGCGAAATTTGATTTCTGCATTTCATTTTGACACGGAACATTTAGATATGGAGCGTCTGTGAAAAAATAAAATTGCCTAAATTAAAAAAAATCTGTGGCGACGGTTTTTCAATCCGTCCCCTCAAGTTTATAAACCGCAGGCCTATTCACGGTTGAGTACAAACTGTTCCCTCGATCGGTTTAACAAATCGTGCCCACGGATTAATAAACTGTAGGCCTATACCCACGATATCCTAATCCGCGCTCTCAGATTTGTAAATATCAGTTCTTTGTAATTTCTTGAATTTTCTAAAAAAACGAAATTTAGCCCGGTACTTGTATCTTTAAAGTCCTTTATTTTTTTTTTTGGGGGGGGGGGGGGGGGGGTCATAGGCTATAATAGAATAGCAAAAAAAGACTTCTCATACAAAAAAAGAAATATAACACAAACTCATTTTCCAAAACTGTAAAAGGTTATATAAAAATAATACATTCATCAATTATTTTATGATAAATATATTACTGTCTTAAGTGAAGTCATTTATAGTTATAAACGCAAATAATAATAATTATTATTATTATTATAGCCTATTACATTTATTAGGCTACATTTATTAGGCTACATATTTAGAAGGCGCTTTTATCCAAAAAAGGAACAAAGCAATTCGTCAAATGTCATTCATAATACAGGTTAGACAATAATAATACAGGGCTAAGATTATCACAAATAAACAAGATTTTGACGTATATCCAAAGGGTTTGTGGAGCGCGCACTGGATGACGGAGGCGCGGGCGCGAACACTTGCATTTTCCTGTCAACAGTGGAAACAACTTAAAATACTCTATCATTTATGGTCATACAGAAAATAATAATACATAATCCGCAACTACTTTTATTTGTGTAAACTCACAATAACAAGAAAACGTTCTTCTTTTGCAAAATAAATCAGGCGCGCTTTCATGATCTCCGTGAACTGGAACATGTCTCAGAAATTAACTGAAACAAAATATAGCCTATAGGCTAAAGCTTGAACGAACAAATTCAAATCGAAAGCAAATACCTTCTGATTATGTAATCCATATGAAAGGTGCATTTCTCTCTAAAGGCGCATCCCATCCGCTTTACAGTGGAGATGAAAATATGTTTGCAGTCGGCACTAACACTATAGTTTATTAATAAACAATTAAAATGCCTCGTTATTTTTTCAGACACATTTATTATCATTAGCCTAGAATCACCTATAAATCACATAGGCTATGGTTCCAGAGACATGGCTCTTCTTATTCAGCACTGCGGGAAAAATATCATCGGGTTCTAATTTGGCCTTAGAAAACCAGTAAAATCAACATTTTTTTCATATTAATTTGTGAATATTTTAAATGTTTAATAAAGGGGCAAAAAGTCATAAACAAAAATCTGAAAATTCGTCTATATTTATTTTTTTGCGCAGCATTGGTGTGTAGTAGGCTACAGTTCAAATTGAAAATTTGTTGTTCAACTTTGCGCTTTAAAAATACAACAACCGTTCATTTTTCGTTTTTCAATTAGGCTACGGGTTAAAAAAGGAAAAATAAATGGACGCAAAAGTACACGGACCGTTTGGACAGAATACGAGACAAAGTTCTTTATTAAATTCATAAAAGAAAAAAGAATTGCAGGAATACTGGATTCTAAACCTCAAAGAAATGCCACAATCAAGACCTTGGAGCAGAAATGAGGGAGAAACACACAAAAACACCTCATGTGCCGTTCACAGTATTAGGGTCTTTCCTTACCATTAATGCTTGGATAACACACCACGTCTCCTTCCATTAATAATAATAATGTCTTGTGCGGTGGCTGCACGTCTATTCACATGTGTTAAACCTACAAACGTCCAAAGTCGCATAACATCGGTTAATGGAAACGCCGTCATATCGCAATAGTTTTTTATCGATATTTAGAAAAAAACGCAAAAGTTTTGCGCAAATCTGTAATGGAAACGCGGCTATAGATAGGCACATTCCACAACGAGTCGTTCTCTGGGCTTGTTTTTGGTCTAACATGGAAGTTTTCAGTTCTGAAACTAACAGGATATATAATGACCTTATTCATGGAAGTTTTCAGTTCTGAAACTTAGGAATATTTAATTAATAATAAAAGTCATGAAGACAATAACTGCAGCCTATCTTTCAATATGGTTTGATAAAATATAACCTAAAACCTTTTATTTTTTATTTGTATGTCTAAGCAAGTGTTATTAATTCGATCTTGGTCTGTAATGAAATTTCATGGCTTGCCATATCTTGCAGCCAGGTTAGAACCATAGACTGTAAAGCTCTGCAGCGTGTTGAAAAACGTGTCATATGACTTTTTGCACCAATCAGGACCATTGTAGGAAGTATGACCCTGACTTGCTGGTTTCTGTTCCTTACACGAACTTTATGGATTAATTCAGTTTTGTTCCCCGGCGTATTGACTGCTGTAAATTGTTTGCTCGGTGATTTAAATTGCATGGCTTCAGCTAACGGGAATCTGTCGAAAACAGAATAAGGCTTACCTTTTTCACTTAAAGTTACTGCAATATTCCGCCACAATGACAAACATTTGTCCTATTAAAAATGTTGCAGATTTAGTTTCTGAGGCTCGCCGTGTGTACCGGGAAACATTTGACGGGGATAATGCCAATGTTGCAGTTTGCGCCCCAGGACGTGTGAATTTAATCGGAGAACACACAGATTATAATGAAGGATTTGTCCTCCCAATGGTAATAACACTTTCATGACATTTTTAACAGCATATGTTGGTAAAAAAACAAAACAAATTTAATTAATGTTGTAAAGTAATTGTGTGGCAATATTATTTACATTATTTTGACGCAAAGTGATGTGAAACGAATGATTCAGTTGAAACGATTCACAAAACCCGTCTGATCGGTTAGATCCTGCCACCTAGATCCATCGCTATTCGCTACAATCAATTAATTCGTTTTGTCTTGGAAAAACTTCTACAAGAGTTTCATTCTTTTGGGAAATGCAGTCCTGAACGATTTCTTCACAAATCGGACTAAATTGGTCCGTGCAGTTCTCGAGATAATTAATTCACTTCTAAAATGTACAGAAAATATGTTTAGACTACGACTTGGTTGTGCATAATTCTATTGTTAATTAATTTTTATAACACATTCAAAAAAAGAGCTGGTTAACTCTTTTCAGTCAAGACAGTAGTATAAGTATGTATTTAATATAAATACACTTTAGTGTTGTATAGTGTAGAGGAAAATAATAACTATGTTATACATTTATTTTATGAGCTTAATCATGCAAACAACAATCTGAAGTGGGGCACATTCAATTGCAACATCCTTATTAATAAAAAAGTAAAGGAGGAGAAATTGAGCTTGTGATGACGTTATTATTACACTGTCTTGATTTGATCCGAACATTTGAATCAAATTATTTGAAAGAACCGATTCCCGGGAATGAATCAGACTTAGCAGCTCTAATGCAAAGAGACTTGTTACGTAACATTTATGACGTGTTGTTCCTTTGTCATACATTGCAGGGTAGGCTACCTTATCCTGCAGAACTGATCTGAACAATGGAAATTATGGCTTGTCCTTTCACATCATTGATGATAGGCCTACTTTCTATTATAGATAACAGATTGACAAGTGTGATCATCAAGTTACACACTTCCAACTCTCCTCATTAATAGGAACTAGTGATAAGAACAAACATGTTCTTCTCAGATCAAACCCAGCAATTACGCACTGACAATCTGAGTTATAAAGTTTGTTTGAATGGTTGCAGGCCTTGCCGATGGTGACAGTTATGGTGGGCAGCAAAACTTCTGGCCAGAAGTGCTGTGTTGTAACTCTGACTGAAGCTGCTGATGAGCCCAGGATGGTGGACTTTGATCTCCCAAATGAACTGACCCCACTTTTAAGAGGGCAGCCAAACTGGGCCAATTATGTAAAGGGAGTTGTACAGCACTACAGAGGTAATCTTTTGCGATCATTTTTTTGTCTATCTGGCAAAAAGGGAAGTAATGAGGAAGTGTACATTTAGTCTCTCTCTAGGATGAAATGTGACCCTAGGGGCTCATGCTGTGAACTCATTTTTGGACTAACTTTTTTTAATGCAGTGTTTCCAATACTTGCAACACTTGCAGAATAGTTGCTGAGCACACTGTTGTCTTACTCTGAAAGTAAGAATAAATTGAACATATACGTGTTGCAGAATGGAGTGCATATTAATCTCATGCATGTATTTCTAAACTGAACCTGATCAAGCCTAATAGTATTGCTTTCATCATGTCCTCTCTTTACACAGCAAGGCCCATCCCTGGCTTTAGAGCTGTAATAGCCAGTAGTGTGCCACTAGGAGGCGGACTCTCCAGCTCAGCCTCACTTGAAGTGGCTGTGTACACCTTCCTGCAGCAGTTGTGTCCAGGTAATCACTTCTGAGTCACACACTTTTTACTTGGCCTTTGTAAAATTCCCATTCATTTTTTCCATAGAAAAATGGACTTACTGATAAGATATAAAGCATTTAAGACAGACCTGTTCGGAGGTTGTAATTGATAGTTTATGATTATGTTTCCACAAGCTTTGCACCTTTCAAAAATGTAAATTATGGGAAAAGTCCTTTCAGAACTCCTGTTTTTTTACTGTCATTTTGATCAAATAAATTCAGCCTTGGTGAACATGATTTCTGCCCCTCCACAGATGATGGGAATCAGGTAGCAAAGGCAGTGGCCTGTCAGCAGGCTGAACACACTCATGCTGCTGTGCCCTGCGGCATCATGGACCAGTTTGTGTCTGTTCTGGGTAAAGAGGGCCATGCATTACTCATTGACTGCAGGTAAGTAGATTTGCCGATCAATATTCTTCTGTCAGATTAGAATGAATCGGTTATATTTAGTTGCTCATTTACAAAAATAATATTAAATGCAATCTTTTCAGATCTTTGGAAGCCACCGCTGTCCCTTTAGCTGACCCTGGACTTGTAATCCTGATCACTAATTCCAACATTAGACATTCGCTCACAGGCAGCGAGTATCCCACCAGACGAAAACAATGTGAGAACGCAGCAGTCGTTTTGGACAAGAGAAGTCTAAGAGAGGCTACTTTACAAGATTTGGAGGGTAAGATAAAGAAAGATTTTGGCACCATAACGTATGTCTTTAATCTAGGTCATTTCATAATAAAATATACATATTTCGTGAAAATGTGAATTTATTCATAGCTGCCAAGGATCAACTGGACAGTGTGACATACCGACGGGCACGTCATGTGATTGAGGAGATCGAACGCACAGCGCAAGCTGCCGAGGCACTCAAGAGAGGCGATTACAAAGAGTTTGGGAGGCTGATGGTGGAGAGCCACAATTCTCTTAGGTAAACATCTACAATCGAAGCAAGATTATAATGTTGGAAGACTAACAGAAGTCAAATCCTTGAAAACATCCCAAGATTAGAAGTACTTTTCTGTGACTGAAATGTTGTTTGCTTAACCCAGTTGTTCGATAGGTGGGGGTAACTGCCAGTTAAATGGCTTTTAATTATGCATTCTTTGACTGGGGTTGAAATCGTTTGTTTCAGGGATAATTACGAGGTCAGTTGTCCAGAATTGGACGAGCTGGTGTCGGCAGCACTGGAGGTGGATGGGGTGTTCGGGAGCCGGATGACAGGGGGAGGGTTCGGTGGATGCACAGTTACATTGCTTCAGGCTGATGCCACGGAGAGAGCAGTGAAACACATTCAGGTTTTTACCAGTTTAAGATCATCTTTCTATGACAATTTCATCCAAAGAAATGGCTGAACTGCGTATTCTGGATATTTTAGGAAATATGATTATTTGTATGATAACTTGGTAATATACTTTTTTTTTCTGTGTATTTACAGGAGAAATATCATGGATCTCCAACTTTCTTCATAACTACCCCATCAGAAGGAGCTCATGCTTTCAGTCTATGATTTTTAACCAGTGCTAACTTAGCAAGTCATTGGATTTCGGTGTAATTGTTTTATCACTAATAAGCTCATACTTATTTAGAATCTGTTCTCTCCCATCAATGCCACAAATTTTGCTAATACTATTAATACATACATTTTTCTAACATCTGTGCATGCTTTACAATCTTGTGTTCAGAAGCCCAATTCCCACAAAATATTTATGTTTAAAATAAAGGGTATTTATGTAATAAAGCAATTATGTAATAAAAGGAATTATGTTTGCCTTTATTTAACCAAACTTTTATATATATATATATATATATATATATATATATATATATATATATATATATATATATATAATGAGATTCAATTAATCAAAGTATTAAATAATTTGTTAAAAGGAATTTTATTATACTTAAAAAGTATAGCATATATGAAGACCTCTGATGCAAAAGCCTCTAAAAGCCACCTCTGTCAAAAAGGAGATAATAATATTGAGTGAATGCTCGCCGCACATAGTATACGCTCATCAAATACTTTCACTTCAAACTCACTAAATCCCAGCCTCAGCTCATTCAGAAATGCTGGTACTTTGGTGGAAAACCTACATAGGAGCCTGATAAAAATGTTAATATTAAACAAAAACTTTAGACGGACTTAGAGGCTTTTGCATCCGAAGTCTTCATATATAGCAAGTACATACTTATGTTATATATGCATGATGTGTAGCCTACTATTATTCTTTTCAGTAGCATTGCGGTAATGAGGATGGAGTGGGGGTGTGCTATATAGGCCTACATCTTATTTATTTAGTTAATAAATAAGTAAATAAGCTCAAGTGTTTAAAATAAACTTAAACAGCCTTTTATATGATGTATTGTTTTTGTTATAAATTTTAGTGGGTCATAGAGATTGTGCTCTGAGTTTAGTGTGTGCGCCCCCTGCTGGCCGCATACTGAGCTGTCCCGGAAAGCGTTTGTTCAGGGAGGAGCCAGAGCGCAAATCAGCAGTAAGGGCAGCAGGAAACACTTCTGATAATCCTCCACCACTGTGTCCATACACAGACCTCGAAGCCGAGGTAAACAGAAATCGAGCCTGCTCTCCTTCACCGCCCGGCGTAGTTTTCCTCTTCACCTCAGGATAATCGAGTTAACACACTTGAATCGTGGACAGTGCCGGGACATCAGGCCGCGGTGAATCAGGTGAGTCCTGCCCGGCCCCGTCGACTGCTGTTCGGCCACAGGTGTTTCCACTAACCCGACTGTATGGATGTGTTTCAAAACGTAGCCTACTGTGTAGGTTGCGAACGTACAAATGTTCATACAAGACCTATAAATGCTGTCTAGATAAGAATCTCACTAGGTTTTAAGACACAAGCAGTGGTGGATTCTAACTTGTAGCTCTGTATGAACTTAACATATGTTATTATAATAATGGAATACTTGCACACTGTCTGTTTACAGACTCATCTTTACTCTCATCTTTACTCTCTTCTTTTGCATTTCGAGTGTTATTCATAACCTTCAGTCTAAAACGAAACCAACACCTAGCCCTGACCGTGTTCTCTGCTGTTGCCCTTATTATCATGAAACTGCATCCTTCTGAAAGAAAGAACAGAGAATGCATTGTTGGTCTCTGGTTACTATCTGTCCCGTACTGTTACTGTATTTTCAAAGGCTTACAAGTCTTTCAATGGCACTGACCATTTATTTTGTTAGTGAGAACTGTTTTTCTGTTTTATACATATACACATAGATTTCTCACTTTTTATTAAAAAAGTCAAGTAATTGTTAAAAAGTGCAAACACAGATGAGAGACCCTCTAAATGGTACTATTATTGGGTAGGCTGGATAATAAAGAACACATTAAGTTAAAAGGTGTGGATGTTTGTAGAAATACACGTTGGGCACTGGGCAGCATGATTAGTTGTCTATTTCAGTTTGAGTGTAAAGTTAAAGTGCTTTGGAAAGCACTGGGGGATCGGTTGTCCTTGACATAGATTACTGGATGGCTGTCCCACCGGTCTGACAGGTTGAGAATCGAGAGTGATTAAGCCTCCGCCTCTCATATTGCTCCACACACACGGCCATGTTCCTGATGTCATGTTTCTCTCATTTGCAGAGCGTCATTTACCTCCATGTGTAATTTATGGATTAAACATATTGATGCAGACCACAACTAACTATTGTGCCATATATAGTGTGATTAGGACTTATGGCATCACATGCAATTAATCTTGGGTCATTTCTTTCAAAAGCCGCTTGTAATGTATGGCTGGATTGAGCTTTGCCCCTTTAGGAGAGCCAATGCAAAGTACTTGTTCAGTGTGACCTCAGATAACACATACAAAATTGTGTTAATGTACCTGAAAAACTAGACTTCGTTTCAAACCCGCCATGCTTGTGTTGACACAAGGATTGATCTGAAATACGTGTCGGAGACGGATACTGTGCGAATGAAGCACAAAGCACATTTAGAGAAAAGTATCAATCGCACTACTATCCAAAAGTAGGATTTTCTTTGTTTTCTTTTTTTAAAAATGTAAACTTTAATAAAGCAAGGATGCAATAAATTGATCAAAAGTGACAGAAAAGACATTTATAATACAAAATATTTCTATTTCAAATAAATGCTGTTCTTCTGAACTTTCTATTCATTAAAGAATCCTAACAAAATGTATCACAACTGTTTTATTAATAAGAAAAGTTTCTTGAGCACCAAATCCGCATATTATAATGATTTCTGAAGGATCATGTGACACTGAAGACTGGAGTAATGACGCTGAAAATTCAGCTTTTCCATCACAGGAATAAATGACATTTTACACGTCTTAAAAAATCTCAAAAGTCGTTTTAAATTGAAATTATGTTTTACAATACTAGTGTTTTTACTGTATTTTTGATCAAATAAATGGTGAGCATAAGTGACTTCAAAATTATTTTAAAATCATACCAAGTTACCAACCCCAAACTTTTTAATGGAAATTTACTTAATTGACACCTGTTTTGAAGCTAGTGGCGTTAGGCTGCCCTAATAAGGCCAGAATTTTATAAGAACGCTCATGTTCCTGCTCATTCGCATGTCCGTCCATAAATTCATATTTTAAGTATTTGTGCTCCAGAGAACTTGAATTTGTTACAGTTGGTTAATTGAAGAAATAGTTGTTGACTCTTTACATAAGTTGTTTGTAGATGTGGTGGCACTACATCTCTGTATACCTTCTACCGGACTTGATTCTCAAGCAGCTGATGTCCCGCATCAACTGCAGCTAGTTTGGTTTACCAGTCTGATGTCAGTTTGAGACGTTAAATTGGGTGTAAATGTGTATGCTTCTCAGAGAAGACAGGAAAGGCTTGAGTCTGGGGACTGACATCCTGTGGTGGACCACACCCTGTAGCCATAGACAATATCTTATTTTTGCATTTTTACCAAGAGGAACCGAAGGTAAACAAAGGCTTCTCACTTCCACAGCAAAAAACGGTTGGCGTGGGTGATAGCATGCAGGGAGAGATCAGCTTTACAATGACCAGTAAGAATGAGAGGAAGTTCATCCAACACTTCCTCATCCTCTTCAGCTGTTCTTTTTTTAAGCGCTATGAACTTTTGTCTCCTGGATGTCTGACTAGGATGGACATTTTTGACCAGATAAAAATGCACTGTATGATCTAACCGCTGGTCATAAGTTACTTATTATGGACTTTGTTATATTAGGTAGCTGCGATATTTTTTATGACAGTATGACTGCCTCAGAATACACACAGGCCCAGGGCCTGTACTCTGTTGTCACTATGCATGACATTTGTTGATAGGGTTGTCATGGTACCAACCTTTTTAGTAGTCGGTACTAATACCATTAAAATTATTTTTATTTATCAATTATCGTACCAGAGCTAAAACTGTCGAATGAAGTTCTTTAAAAAATGTTGTCTCGTCTATGGGTTATCACTGTATATACATCACATCCATACATTTTTGCAGCATGAAAAACTAAACTTGTATTCAGATTGTGAATGGGTAATAAACAAACAGCAAGAGAAGAGCTTCTCTATAATCACTGAGGCTGTCAGTCTCTAAGCGCAAGCTCACTGAAGTCTGCACTCCTGTGAAAACCCCTGTTAATAAGCTTTCTTATTTGTTCAACGAATCTCGTTATTTACATCATTTACACTTTGTTGGTTATAATGAAAGGATTCGAGAGTGTGTCGTTTTCAGCGGTGTTAAGCAGATTCGGACTAACTTACTGACAAGCATCTCTGATAGGACATTGCGTTCACACTCTCAACAGATATGATTGTGATTGGCTACAAATGCTCAACGCTTGTAAAAGCTTTGATGCTCAGAAAGAGCTCAAACAAACACGAACAAGAGCGTTTGAAAGCAGCATCTATCAGCGGGTACTACTGAATATACCCAGTATTCGGCAGGCACTACCGGTACTGTAGAAATGCTTTTACCGGCAGTTTTTTTTTTAAATTTAATTTATTTATTTATTTATTTTATTTTTTAAGTACCAGTATGTTTGACAACCCTCTTTGTAGATCATATAAATATTTTTTTGTCTGTCATGTATTGGGTTTTATTGTTGTGATTTTAGTACAGGTATACCGCCGCTGCATAACTTCCTATAATTCCATAATAAAATAATTTTGTTTTGATGTGTATATAAATAAATAAAAAATTGAATGTTAATAATAAAACGTTTTGTAAAGAACTGTTAAAATTTAATTAAAACATAAATTTTTTTTTTTTTTTTTTTTACTTCCATTAAAAAGTTTAGGGTTAGTAAGATTGTGTGGTGTGGTTTTTTTTTGTAAGTAAAAACAACTTTCCAAGGAACATTCAAAGGTTCTATTAATCAAAGGATCCTGAATTTTTCTTTTATCACAGTTTACAAAAATATTAAGCATCACAACTGTTTTATTGTGTAATGATGCTTGCTGAAAATTCAGCTCTGCATTACAGGAATAAATTATTAGGCCAGTGAAAATATTGGCAGGACAAGTGCATATCTAAACTACTGCAGAAAAACAATTCTAATTGTTGAGCCCTGAATCATTAGTGTCAGTGTTTATTTAAAAACGAAGAACCCGCTGACTCGTAGTGTCCTAAAACAGAATTTTTCCAATATAATATTCTTTCCATCCATATCATGTGGCAGTTGAACTGGTTTTCATTGTGTTTGCATACTGTTTTCTCCCTCAATCAGGGTGTAGCTGATGCTTATTGCAGAGCTTGACCTATTTGTACTTGAATGACTTTCTCTTGACCTCAAATATCATTTAGTTAATTCGTTATTGCCCTTTTTCCCATATTGAGTCTAAAAATGGGATATGCAATTCCTCGATTTCCCAAAATGACAGGCATGACAATTAAATGTGCTGTGTGAAACCAGGTTATGCAGCAGAGGGAGAACGTCTATGGTGAGAGTTCACTGACAGTTCCACGCTCATGTCAGGACAGGTTTCTCCTATATTGCCTTCTCCTCTGATCTTTGTTTCCTGTGGGATGCTATGCTGAGAATGTAGTGATGTCATTAGTAATGGGTTATCAGGGACAGTTTGGCTGAAACTCCTTATCTGATGCAATGCGAAGTATTTCAGGTACAAAAGACAAAGTAGGTTCAAATCTAGCTTGCTTTATTCATTAGTCGTACTTGCTAAGGCTGCACTATTACTATTGCTCATAGGGTACTTTCTTTTTTTTTAAGCAGTCAGACTTAATTTTTACCTGGTAGACGATAATTCAAAAATACCATAGATTTGATTTAATTTATTATTTAGTTCTATTTTATTTGTATTATTTGTGTATACTACCATTCAAAAGGTTATAGGGTTGGAAAGATTTTTATGATTTTTTTAAATGAAAAATAGAATCATATGCTCACCAAGGCTGCATTTATTTGATAAAAAATACAGTAATAGTATTGTGAAATATTATTAATTTCTTTCTATGTGAAATATTATTAATTTCTTTCTATGTGAAATATTAATTTCTTTCTACCTCTTTTCTATTTTTAATCAATTTTAAAATATAATTTCTCGTGATAGCATAGCTGAATTTTCAGCATCATTATTACTCCAGTCTTCAGTGTCACATGATCCTTCAGAAATCATTCTAATAACAAACATTTCTTATTATTATCACAGTTGAAAACAGTTGTGTTGCTTAATATTTCGTTGTGAAAACCGTGATGGATTTTTTTGTCAGGATTCTTTGAACAGCATTTAAAAAGAACAGCATTTATTCAAAAAGAAACAATGTTAAAGTCTTTACTGTCAGTTTTGATCAATTCAATGCATCCTTGCTGAATAAAAGTATTAATTCTTTCAAAAAGAAATGCAACCTTACTGACCCCAAAATGTTTTAATGGTATATGAATTAATTTAATTAGTTAATTAATAACTAGTACTTTTTTTGTCCTCTCATACATGAATGTTTTTATGTCTTTTATGTTTTGCTGAAGCCTGATTTGATTTTAGGTGCAGGTCTGTTGTCTTCTGAGACTATTGTTCTTTAACAGAAGCACCTCTGTAACGGAGTGAAGTCATGAAGAAGTGGAACCTGCTCTACTGAAACTGGCCATCAGAATCTGAAGCTTCAACACCTGAAATTACATCTGAATTGTTGCTTCTCTTTTTAACGATTGCTTTGTGCAACTAGTAATAGAAGTAATTTATATGAGTAGTATATGTAGCCTAGCCTACTGTAATAACAACCGTAAAGCTGGGTGGGACGTTTTGGATCTGGCATCTCGGCTCAGTTTGTGTTGTGCTGTGTCATGAAATGAGTGTTGTCGGTCTCGAATTTACTGTGGGTGACTGGGCGTGCACAGGTTTTTTTAAAACTAAAAAGCAGTTGACCTCTTCTGACCATAGGGTGCTATTTTATGGCTGCTATCCTGAGGCTGTAAGTCCTAGGATAGTAACTCGTCGTCGAACATGATGACGTGCTTGTGTAATATCATGTCACCCCTCGCCATGACCTTAACAGAGGAATCTCTAAGCGTATCGATTCTTCAATAGTATCACTGTTTACCGCAGGGCTCTCAAAATGGGCTCTCTAAAAAGGCATTGAGGGTTTATATCTACTGTAGTAATTCAGCTTCCCAACCATACAAGGACTTAAGTTTAGTTTAAAATGCTTTTTTTTGTTTTCTCTCAGTGGATATTTAAACAAGCCCGTAACTCTACGTATAGGACTGGGCATAACTTGTTCCACACTTTTTGTGATACTGACATGAATGATGCCTCAAATCATGTGACTTGTTAAGGAGATGTGTGCTTTCACTTTTCTAAGCAATTCGAATTATTACTTCCAACTCACAGTTGATAAAACGGGTCCTTAAAATCCCCATTATACTTTCATTGTAGAAAGGACCAGGGTAGGGTTGCACCAGCCATTGGTGAGATCTGTTTTAAATTTGGGATGTTAGTTTCATACTTATTAATGGGCTTAGTATAGATCCCTTTTCAGTTAGTAAACATGGTTAGTTAGTTAGGCCTAGTTAGTTTGTGACTAACTTTCCGTGAATATGAAGTAATGTTGTTTACATTTTTATATATATATATTAACGTAATAATAATAATTATTATTAGTATGTAATCAAATACTTTATGTAATTATTTCATCATTTTAATAATTTAACTCAGGTGGTCACCTTAAAGGGTTAAAGGGGTCATGGGTGACTTGAGAAATCAAATTTGCATTGGTCTTTTGATTATATAGGTCTTTGAACCATTAAAACATAATTTCATAACTTAAAACATCCTCCTCATTATAAACAGCATTTATTTAACCGAGCTCCGAAAATGGCTTGTTCTGATATTGGGTTACCTGTGACGTTACACAGGCACACATACATTTGCATATGATTGTCTGCAGAGCAAGACATCGAATAGTTACACATCATCGCACCATAGTCCCAAACCTACTGGCGTTCATTCGCTTAACGGCTGACATTTGCCTACGCTGGATGTGAGCGCCACATCACGTCAAAAGCAAATAGAAACCATTATAATCACTGTCATTGACGTGTCTACACTGGATACAGTATACAACTGTGCGTTCAGTTCCTGACACTCCACGCACTTGAATCTGTCGACAACAGGACAAATGGAAGAGTGAAAGAACGTTTGCTTTGAGTCCAGTTTAAACCGCTCTTTGCGTCTATGTACAAACTTCAGAAGGATCCCAGTGTCAAAAACAAATGGATGGTTTATTTGAATGGTGTCCCGGATCACGTCAGAGTATTATGTTTGTTCTGAGCGTTTTGTAAATGAGGCACAGTTTAATGGAGAGTTTGCAAAGAAACTTTTGTTAAAAGATGAAGCAGCCAACTGTATTGGATCTGACAGTGACAGCAGCTGCATCACAAACCGCAAGTACATGATTTAATAATGCTTTGTCTGTAAATGACGGTTTTATATGGATAATGTTTTCAAAACACTTACTCGCGTGCAATAGTGAGTGGGCGTGTTTCCTATGCAGTGACGGTAGCCAATCATAACAGTGGCCATTTACTGACAAGACTTCAACTGACAAAACGGGTCATTTCACACCGAGGGTCAGAATGAAGGTACTAGAAAATTGTGTGTGTGTGTGCAAAAAAAACGTTTTACCATTATAAGTGAACCTCAAAAAACATTAAAATAATTTTAAAAAATCCATGATATGACCCCTTTAAGTTAATGCATTCTTTCTATGCATTAAATGAATGCCTCTATATGTTTTAGAGCTAATCAATACTTACTTCCTTTGCTAATGTATCACGTCATTTTATATTCCAGTGCAATGAATCGGTCGTCTGTATGTTTGAGCTGATTACAGTGAGTGTTTCTTTGTTTGCTCGGCTGCTTAGTTCCACATACCAATTCTCCTTAAAGTCTATGAACTCTCCACACATGCCTCCTACCTCTAATTTAGACGAGCTAGAGCCACTACTCCCACATCAATGCCCTCACATGCACCTCCGCCATAATTCCTCCCAGCAGGGTTCAAAACAAACCCCCGTTTATTTTTTTTTTCTACCTCTAATTAACTCGGGATTAGATGGATGGAGGTGTAAAATTGATCTCAGAGAGCAAAATTCACTGAAGCTGCTCAAGTCCAATGATCAATATGTTGCTCAGAGATTGTTTTAGACTCGCTGGCCTCTTTAGTTCTTCTGAATGAATCGCTGCTTTTCTCCCTCCTTCACTCCATTCCAGCTCTCCCGCTGAGAGTTTTCCCTCATAAAGCCTAGCTTACTCTTAAGTAGAAGACCTCCCACTTTACCATTGTCCCTTAAGCTAAGCTTTACAGACTCTCTTTTTTTTTTTCTTTTTTTCTTGGCTGGTTCCTTGATGGTCCTGTGATGGTTCTGGTCCTAAAAATAAGGAAATCAGAGCTCTTTCCCTTCTCTGGAAGCATTTGTAGCCACATGCTTGATGACTAAACGTTCTTGGCTAATAGTGGTGATAATCACAGAAATATGTGTCTGAGCCGAGCAGGGCAACTGACTCACTGAGAAGGTTATGTTTGGAAAGGATTGATGGGGGGGAAGTGTCCCTCTTCCTGTTGATATGCTGATGTGATCACCTCCAGAAAGTGTGATAAATTATTCTTGTCTAGACACGCTCTCAGGGGAGTTCTAGTGTGATGTGACGTAAACATTAGCTGAATATGTCACTCTGATGCTGTTTTTACTGTCAATAATCAATATCATAGACTCTGACTCAGTGTTTGTTTTCTTCTTGTTTTCTTTGGCTGTGTCCTGCTGTTAGCCTCACGTTTTTCCTTCAGAATTGCTGGTGTGTTTTGTGTGTACACACATTTGTTAGCACTGCTTTCCCGTATTAAAATGTACCACGGATAAAAGTAAAACCTTAATATTGTGAAATATTATTACAATTTATTTTTGTGATGGCAAAGCTGATTTTTCAGCATCATTACTCCAGTCTTTAGTGTCACATGATCCTTCAGAAATCACTCTAATATGCTGATGTGGTGCTCAAGAAATATTTCTTATTATCAATGCTGGAAATATTTTTTATTTTATTTGTGGAGACAGTGATACTTTGATAAATAGAATGTTCAGAAGAACAGCATTTATTTGTAATATTATAAATGACTGTCACATTTGATCAATTTAATGCATCATTCATTGCGGAGTAAAAGTATTCATTTAGTTTTTTCTTTTTTTAAATGTATTGACCCCAAACTTTAGAATTGTGGTATATTATGCCCTAAAATTGTGGTAACTTGATGTTAGCCCCTAATTTCATTTTAAAAATCCAACCTGAAGAAAATGTGTGATGTGCTTGCCTGTGCAAACAATGCTAAGGCATTGTGGAAAGTTATAATAGTTATAAGGATGCTTGCATTGGTTATGGTAGATGTTCGTAATGTTCTGTAAAAGAAGCAAAATAGCCAAAGGCATCTTTCTGTTTTCACCCACAACAAATACAAACGGTTTCAAGCCCTGGGTGAGAGAAACTGCCATCCATTCACAGGTTATTGTGTATTGTTATAGTCTGAGTGTTCTCTTTAATGGAAAGCAGGTAGCACCCCTCCTTTCTCCGTCCATTTAAAAGAGGCTCATTCTGATTCGGCTTCCCCAGAGCAACAGGTGTTTTCATCAGGTGCTGTTTGCTCGGATGAGGGGAGGGATTGTTATAGCGTTCAGCTCAGAACAAAAGCTGCTTCAGTCAGGACTGCAGAGATCCGCGATCTCCCTGCGGGGGCTGGGCACAGAGAGCGAAAGACAGAAATCCGGGTGGTGAGGGGGGTGAAGTTTCAGTTGAACAGCCCACAAGCCTTTCTTTGAAATTCCTGATCCTATCAGATCCATTGTTTTTTTCAGTGGAATATACACACATAACCCTTTAGAAAGTCTGTTTGAGTTGTGCACCCTTTGTAATGCCTCAATTTGTGTTTGTGTGTGTTTTTTTAACGGGATAGTTTACCCAAAAATAAAAATTGCCATAATTGACTTATCCTCATGTCATTCCTAACCTGTATGGTTGAATTTGTTGCCCTAAACACAAAAGATGATGTTCGACAAAATGCTCTCTTGCAGCATACAATGAAACTGAATGGTGACCACGGCTGTAAAGAGCAGTAAATGCTGACAGAATCTTTAATTTTTTGGGTGAACTACTGCTTTAAGTCTTTATTATTCCTTTTTGTTGTCATCATCGCTATTCATAAGCATATTGGTTGGTTTTATTTTTGTCTGATAAGCCCTGTATTCCTCCTTTCTTGTTAGGTGGCTGAGGAGAAACCGTGAGAGAGGGCAGCGTGAGGTCCCTGCTCGTCCAGGGACGATGAAGAGGTTCAGGCGTCATGGGCATGAGTCTCAGAGGGACAAGCACAAACAGGATCTCTATCAGTTCAATAAGGTGATCTAGCCCACATCTTCTGTAGAAAGTTTGTTTTGCTGTTACACATACACAAGTTCTATTTATTTTTCTATTTTTGTGCCATTTTATTTATTTCTTGCTTTCTGTTGTTTCCTAAATGACGAAAAGTCTTCTATCTAGATAGGCGGGAAACTCTGTATGTCATAGAAATAGCATTCCTCACACAAAGCATGTGGGAGATTCAACTACACATACACAAATATTGGGGTGTATCCATCCTTTTTATTATAATTTACAAACACTTCTTTAAAAACATTTTAACCGTCCCCGATTTAAAATACCTTATTTACTATTTGTAAAGCTCCAGGTTTGTGTTTCACTCTTAACATGCACCACATATTGAATTAAATGCAGCCTTTTTACATTTTGATGATCGCACTGGGCCATGTGATTTTGTTGTTATTCCAATCAATCATGCAACCCTAAATTTTGGATGGATTTCCCCATCCTAAGCTTTTTGTAACAATTTGTAAAACTCTGCCTTCTCTGTGGAGGATACATGCGAGGCTGCTATGTAATTTGCTCAAAATTAGACCTCTTAAAAGGCAGTTCGATTGTGCTCCCTAAATATGTTCCATTTTGGAACGGACTATGTACGACTATGATATCTTAAAATGTTAGCTGCCCATGTAGTCCACTTATACCAGAGCCCTTGAATGTGTACAATAGAGTCTTGGTGTGTTCAGCTCTATATATGTGACATTTCACTCTCATTTCTGTCCTGTCTTTAGACTGTAGAACATGGCTTCCCCCATCAGCCCAGCGCTCTGGGATTCAGCCCCAGCCTGGAACTCCTGGCCATCGGTACCAGATCAGGAGCAATCAAACTGTATCCTACAACAACCTGAAGACATTACCATTCTTTGGGTTATTTGGTCTGTGCATAACTAAAATTATCCCACTTAGTCACATTCCATTCCCCTGTCTCTGAATCCTCAGGGCAGAGTGACTACAATGTGATATGATGAGATTTCCTGTAGCTCATAGCGTGGCTGTTCTCATAGTGGCTCAATCGTACACACCTATCATGCAGGTACTTTGAAAGGCGGAACAGTTTATATTAGTGCGTAGAAGTGAGAACACATGTTCATGAAACATTTTTTCCCATACTATTGCGCAATTTTCTCTGTTAGTCATTTACTGAAGAGGAAATAGAAATGAGTAACTTGTATTTGGCTAACATTACATGCCTGTTGTTTTTTTATACACATTTGAATTATTTTGATTTCTATTATGCATCGTTTTATTAATGCACCACCTATTATATCTTATATAAAAGTTTGCATGCTTCTTTAGAATCATACATTACATGTGCTCACGTAATTTTGTGGAGTTCTACATAAATCAGAGATGAAAAGACAATTTTCAGGCATATCGTGATTTGCCATCGAAATATAGCATTTTACACCTTTTTAACAGTTATAGCTCTGCCTTTGGGCCAATCTCCATAAAAGTTTGCATGCTTCTTTAGAGTCATATGTCGCATGTGCTCACCTAATTTCGCAAAGTTCTCAGTTTTTGTTTAGGACTGACAGGCTTTTGGGTAGACTTGGCCACGCCTGTTTTCTAAATGACCCTGGTATAGCTATCCAAAAAGATACTAATTGAACTAGAGAGTCCAAAGAATTGTCCTGCAGTGGATTTATCGAGGTTGAGCATAAAACCTAGGACTAGTTCGCAAAAGTAGTTTTTTCAAATAATCTCCCATATTTAGCAAATGATTTGATTGACAGCAGTGGTCCTAGAGGCAAAGTAGTTCAGAACGAGGAGATCTATCTTACAGTATGAATATCGCATGCATGAAAAATTGCGTAATATACAATAATTTAACATTTATCATCATAATCAACATTTATCATCATTGGATCCTTTACCAAAAAAGCGTCTTGAGCCAAGGATTCCAATGATATAAGATACTTGAGTCTGCGATGAATGGTTTAGGAGTTATGAGCGATTTCGTACTTTTGATCAATGTTGCGCCATCATCAGGCCGATTAGGGAAAGCCTCTGTGATGTTGAAGACGGGAGTGGGTACCACCGTCCCTCAGATTTTCAAGTCTCTGGTTTTGGTCTGCCCGATCACTTTTAGGTCAGAATGTTGATCTTTGAAAATCCTAAAAATTCAATAGGATTTCAGCGCTATGCGCTTGTATACCTAATGATTCGCTTCTGTCTGACTTTTAAACCCCACAAAACCAAGTTGTTTCAGTCTTCTGTGCTGTGTGTTTGCCGTGTGTTTCCTTAACCAGTTCTCAGGTACGGAGCTCCAGGTGTGGAGTTCATGGGACTTCACGACGAGAATGCAGCAGTTACACAGGTGCACTTCCTGCCAAACCAGGTACGGCATTGAACTTTAATCCGTAAATTCAATGTTTGATCTCACATAGATTTTTTTTTTTGTGTGTGTGCATGTTAATTTGGACTTCATTCCAGTCTTTGGGATTTGGCTTCCAATGAGTAATTAGTGGTTTTGGGTGAGGTTGCTATTTCAAGATATCAGCAAAATATTATACCATGGTATGAGACATTTTATATGGAAGAACTGTATATATTATTTTAATACAAAATGATAGATGGATAGATATGATAGATATGATGGATAGATGGATACTATAGATAGACAGGCAGACTATTTTTGGATAATTCACAGTAAATTTAATACTTTATTTATTTCTTTACAAGTTTTGTTCTGCAAATAAAGACACTTCATTTTACTTCAATTCTGATTTATGACTGTATTTTATTTTTGCAGTTGGAGTTTGTCACATTACTGGATGACAACAGTCTGCACATGTGGACGCTTCGTGGACATAACAGCATGTCCGAGCTGCTTGAGATAGGACGTTTCACTCTCTCTGGTCCACCTGGGTGAGTCAAGAACCCACACCTGCATACTCACCGCGATCTAATATGATCATGTTTGAAGATTTATTTTTAATGTACTCGGATGGTAATGCGCACACACCCAAAGAATGAGACATGAGACATGAGCACTGAGTCACACTGATCCAGACGCTACTGATACTCACTTGTGCTCCGAATCCATACATAGTGCTGTCAGGTGACTTCCATGATTCAAAATAGCTGTTTTTTGCAATCTGTGATGTCATTTTCTATTCATCCATGAATGATTACTATAATGCCTTACTTGAAGCCTGTATTTATAATATGTAATTAACCAACAAGTGACATTTTGATCATTTGTATTTTATTTTTGTTGTCACGCTGGATAGCTCCACCCACAAAGAAATCTCATTGATCAGAAAACATCAGATATTTGTGTCTGCTTATGTGTATATATGTATGTGTGTGTAATATATATATATATATATATATATATATATACACACACACACACACACACACACACACACACACACACACACACACACACACACACACAGATACAGTGGTGGCCAAAATTAGATTTTTTTTATGTTTTAAAAGAAGTCTCTTCTGACCAAGGCTTCATTTATTTGATCAATAATATTGTGAAATATTTGTACAATTTAAAATAACTGTTTTCTATTTGAATATATTTTAAAATATAATTTTTTCCTGTGATCAAAGCATTCTAATATGCCGATTTGCTACTCAAGAAAGATTTATTAATATTATCAATGTTGAAAGCAGTTCAACACAATTTCTTTCTTTGATGAATAGAAAGTTCAAAAGAACAGTATTTATCTGAGATAGAAAGCTTTTGCAACATAATAAGTGTCTATATTGTCACTTTTGATCAATTTAATCCTTGTTGAATAAAATTATTAATTTCATTAATTTCTTTAAAAAAAAAAAACTCTTACTGACCCCAAACTTTTGAATGGTAGTGATAATGTCTTTTCATTTCAGATAAATGCTGTTCTTTTGAACTTTCTAATTATCAAATATTCCTGAAAAAAAAATTGTACACAACTATTTTCAACACTGATGATAATAATAATAATAAATGTTTCTTGAGCATCAACTCATCATATTAGAATGATTTCTGAAGGATCATGTGACACTGAAGACTGGAGTAATGATGCTGAAAATGCAGCTTTACCAACACAGAAAAAAATTGGATTTTAAATATATATTCAAATAGAAAAGTTATTTTAAATTGTACAAATATTTCACAATAGTACTGTTTTTGCTGTATTTTGGATCAAATGAATGAAGCCTTGGTGAGCAGAAGAGACTTATTTTAAAACATTAAAAAATCTTACCATTCTAATAATTGTGGCCACCACTGTGTGTGCGCGTGTGTGTGTGTAGATGAAAGTGACAAATAAAAATACACACAGATGGATGGATAATGCTTTATTTCATGTTTAAAAATTATTGCAGCTACTCTTTAAAAAGAGGTTGCAGCTGGTTACAATTATTTATGAGAACACATAGAAAATATGCATTTTTGTATGCATGTTTATTAATAAAAGGAAAAATGTCTATAATGCATTGGAACTAAAAAGTGTATATGACCTAAAAATAAGCCAGCAGTCTAGTCTAATATCTAATCTAAGTGTAACTGGGGTAGAAAACAAATCACTAGCGCTTTTTTTTTTCTTGTGATGTGACAGCGCCCCTCCCAGCGTGACGCGGGTCACGGCCGTCCTGGCACACTCATCGGGTGAGCTGCTGCTGCTGGGCACAGAGGGAGGACACGTGTTTGTTGTAGAAGTGCCAGGCTTCAGAGAACTGGAGGAGAACAACATAAGCGTGGAGGATGTACAGAACAGGTCAGACATCACATTGGTCAGATTTAGGAATTAAGCCACATACACCTGTGCAAAAATCTTTTTTTTTTTTTTCAGTAATATGTACTATTCTTTATAAATAACACACATGCTGGCTTTAAATGTTGAATTTGTCCCTGCTAAATTGCATAATAGTATCTTAAAACTGCATTTAATGTTTATTATAACATATTTACTGTTTCTGTCTTTTATCTTTCCCAAAATAGTGTTAAATAAATGTTTGGTCACTTTGCATATGAACACTGTATTTAAAGACTAGAACTAAAATGAGCATATTTAATATACTTTTCTTTGTTCTGTGACTTGCAGTTCTATAATCTCTCAATTCATTTTGACTATATACATGTGCTGCATACATTCTTCAAATAGTTTCTCTGGAATGGTATAATGCAACACTTTCGCATGCCTAAGATGACTGTTATAGTTACTCTTTGTGATCGCTGATCTGTTCACTGCTACTTTCCCAGAGTTCCAGAGGATTATGCTGGCCGCAGGAATCTGGAGTGTGTTGAAACTCTGCATGAGAACCCGCTCAACCCGCGGCAGGTGCTGATTGGCTACAGCCGTGGCCTGATGGTTCTGTGGGATCTGGATCGGCAGCGTCCCATCCAACACTTTCTCAGCACACAGGTACCATATAATGCAATGTTGTCATTTAAACTCTGAAACTCAAAACGAACTCAACTCAAAAAAGATTCTAAGAAGAGGCCTGTAAATTTCCCTTTTTTTGGGTCCTCTGCAGCAACTAGAGAGTGTTTGGTGGATGGAGGATGGTGCGAACATTCTCAGTTCCCATAGTGATGGGAGCTACTGCCAGTGGACAGTGACTGGTGAGGATCCGCAAACGGAGCCCGAGAAACAGGAGATTCCGTATGGTAAGATTGCTTTACCGGAATTACTTCTTTTCAGTTACAATTTAAAAATGTACTTCTGTTTCGAAAACCTATGCTGTCCTAAATTGTGTGCTTTCTGCATATGTACTACATTAAATAAAAAACCTCTTGACCTTTAATGAAGTATGTTCTGTAAATATACATGTTTGTAGTGTGAATACAATCCATGTGTATTTTTACTACATTTTTAAATGTTTTAGAAAGAAGCCTCTTATGCTCCGCTTTAGAACAGTTTATTTTGATATATTTGAAAGTTGTATTTATTCCTGTGATGGCAAAGCTTAATTTTTAGTCTTCAGTGTCACATGATCCTTATATTGTAATATATTTGTGGAAACTGTGATCCTTTTTCAGGATTCTTTGAAGAATATAAATAATACAATGATATTTAATTAAGTTTAATTATAATTTGACATAAACTGGGCATCTTTAAAGGTGGCATAATTTTGTTCCCTACCTTTTGTTGCCTAATATGATGCCTAAAATGCTGTCATATTAGGCAGATCATTAGGTTTTGGAACAAAGCCTGTATCTTTGACTGGTCAAATGTATTCATGTTGAGCTATGTGTCCTTAAATGAGCAACATCTCCACACAGGTGCCTTCCCCTGCAAGGCCATATCCAAAATTATACAGCTGCCATCAAAACAAGGGTGAGTCTTGTATATTCTTTATTGGACAGAACTGTGAGCATTCACTAACTGATGCTAAGATTGGTGTGTTTGCTTGTGGTGTCATTACCACAGAGTGCTTCTCCATGACTCACATAGTTGGGTTAATATTTAAACCTTCCATGAAAGTTAGTATGTTCCACTCTGTCTGTCAGATCCTCTATCTGATTTTTCTTTAACCACTATTATCTAGCCCATTTTATCATGCTGTCCTTTCATTTCATGTTGCTTTATTGTTCTCCTTTTTCATCAAAATATTTGGAAAGTTTTGGAAGATCCAAAGGGGATTTGTCATTTAGTAAACTCTTATCCAAAATAATGTGTCTTCTGTCCTCTCCTCCCAGTCCCCCATTCCTCATCTTCAGCGGAGGGATGCCGAGGGCCAGTTACGGGGACAGACACTGCATCTCCGTCATCCACAGCAAAACCCACGAGGCGCTGGACTTCACCTCACGTATTATCGACTTCTTCGTTATTCGCGAGGGAGAGAACCACAGAGGTAGAGAGACATGCTGAGAGACTCATTGGTCTTTTCCTCTTTAAAATATGTCAAACACACTGTTTTGGTTCCTTTACATGCTTTTTTTCTACATCTACTTAAACATATTAGCTGAGCTGCATTCAGCACCCTTGCTCTAAGTGGTTTAAATGTGTCTGTTGCAGGTGAGCCAAGCGCTCTTGTGGTTTTGGTGGAGGAGGAACTTGTGGTGGTGGATCTGCAGACTGAGGGGTGGCCCGTCATCCAGACGCCTTACCTGGTGCCATTACACTGTTCAGCCATTACCTGCTCGCACCACGTCTCCTCCATCCCACTCAAACTGTGGGAAAGAGTGCACGCTGCAGGAGCCCAGCAGAACACACACTACTCTAAGAAGGTAGGCAAGATTATGCTTACACAAATACAGAAATATTAATCTCATTGCATGTTACTGAGTAAAACAACTCACCAGGAAGAGAATACTCACATGAAATGCTTTGAACTGTCCTTTTCTGGGTTAAAGGGATAGTTCACCCACAAATGAAAATGATCCCGTGATTTTTCTCATCCTCAAGCCATCCTAGGTGTATATGACTTTCTTTTTTCAGATGAACACAATCGGAGTTAAATTAAAAAATATCATTGCTCTTTCAAGCTTTATAATGGTAGTGAATGGAAGTCCTGATTTTGAAGTCCAAAAAAGTGCATCCATCCATCATAAAAGTAATCCATATAATATCCAACTTTAAAAACTAAAATAACTAGCTTCCAGCGGACGGCCTACTCAAGTCGACTTGCGCCAAAAGAGTAACCCCTGATGCGATGTAGGTGTAGCGTAAGCTTTGATGCCTTTAGCGGTTCACATAAATAGGGCTTGGCAACAAATTCAAGCTTCTCTTCTCTTATATCGAAGTCCTCTGAGATTTCTCTTTAAAAATTCTCGTTTTAGACTTCTAATTACGTTCGTTAATACATCATGTGTCAGGTCAGGTGTTACTCTTTCGCCGTAAATCGATCCGTATGGCTGTCTGTCGGAAGCTAGGTATTTCAGTTTATAAAGTTTTAAATATGGATATTTTTCTTACACAAACGCATCGCTTCGCTTCAGAAGGCCAAGTTTTGTTGTGATGGTTTCTGTTGAGCAGCACCATGGACAACTATTCAGTTCTTGTTTTCAAATCTGTCTTTTTGTAGTCTTGGCCTATAAACGGAGGTCAGAATCTTGCCCCAGACCCTCCCCAGAGAGACCTGCTCCTCACGGGGTGAGTAGATGTGTGACGTAACGCTGTCGGTCTTGCTGTGATCTTAGTCTTGAATTCACTGGTTTCCTTGTAAAGTTTCAACCTGTAAAATATGCAAATATTGTTCTCCTCATAATTATAAACCTTGTCAAAATGAAGAATGCTTCAAAAATTGTTCTAAGAAACTTATTTGGGGGTTATGTATTATTTTATTGTCAATGTTGAAAATGGTTGTGCTGCTTAATATTTTTGTGAAAAAAAATGTCCTCCAGGATTCTTTGATGAATAGAACGTTCAAAAGGACGGCATTTATTTGAAATTGAAATCTCTTTAACAGCTTTTATCAAATTTAATGTATCCTTGCTGTATAAGTGTTAATTTCTTTCGTAAAAAAAAAAAACTAACTTACCCAAACCTTTGAATAGTAGTTACTCATAGAATAAACACTTCAAAACCAAAACTGTCAAAAAAAACTTGTTGCACTGTTTAGTTTCGCTCGCTTAACTTTCATCAGATAACAAAAACAGGGAAGATCAGATTCTTCTTCTTACTTTGCAAATTAAATCATGTGTTTTCACAGTTCCTAAAAAATGAGTAAAATCTGTTTCAAAGCTAATTGTTACTCTCATTTGGTACTTGGACCCTGTTTAAAATCTTTGCTTAATATAGAAGGGTTTTTCCCTTCTCACGGAAACAAGGAATAACAAGGAAAAATGTTCCGTTAAGATGCTGTAATGGTTACACCTGGAGGGAATGAGGAACTGATTATTAAAAACGAATCTTACCTTTCATGTTAAATGTATCCCTTTTCCTCTTGAAAGGCACGAAGATGGCACGGTACGTTTCTGGGACGCCTCAGGGGTCTGTCTTTACCCCATGTACAAGCTCAGCACGGCGGGAGTCTTCCACACAGATGCCGACCCTAATGACAACATGAACCAGGGCAGTGAGGGAGAGTGGCCTCCGTTCCGCAAGGTCTGTCTCACCTAAAACAAGCATTACCACTCACAATCAACATCCTATTATTAGCACAGCTGTTTACAGTTTTCATCAAACATTTGATTCAGTGTTTATTATTTTTCAATATATCAGGTGGGCTGCTTTGACCCATATAGCGACGACCCTCGGCTTGGCATTCAGAAGATCCATCTGTGTAAATACAGCGGATATCTGACAGTGGCTGGAACTGCAGGACAAGTGAGTTCGCATGTGACTCGGTTCACACACATCATTAAAACAAGCAATGCTAAAATGGTTACTTTTGTTATTCTCACCAAAGCTGCATATATTTTATGAAAATACAGTAAAAACATTAATATAGTGAAATAATACAAATTCATTTAATTAATTTTCTATTTAAATATATTTTAAAATGCAATTTATCCCTGTGAAGTTAAAGCTGAACTTTCAGCATCATTACTCTAGTCTTCAGTGTCACATGATCCTACAGAAATCATTCTAATATGTTGATTTGGTGCTCAAGAAACATTTATTATTATTATTATCAATGTTGAAAACAGTTGTGCTTCATGATATTTTTGTGGAAACCATGATTCCAAAAAGATGATTTAAGTTTAAAAGAACATCAATTTAATGAATCCTTGCTGAATAAAAGTATTAATTTCTCTCTTTTTTTTTTTTTTTAAATACTGACCTTAAACTTTGACCTCCAGTGAGTGCACCCAGTTGTCCCGGAAACTATCTGATTTCTCATACATTTTAGTCGCTGCTGATAATTAATCATGAGAAAGAACTTGACTAAAGCGCTCTGATTTAGCAGCTTATTAACAGTCCACTACACATCATGTCCGCCATTAGGAAATGAGATGAGCTCGGTTAAAAACCACTCTTCAGGATCAATAGCTCTGCCCTGTCACTGAAGTACTGAGAGGTTTCAGTATGTGCTGGCAGAACGCTACCCAAAGCTCTTATCACGCTAAATGAATTGTGCTGTAAGAACAAATAAAGTTTGTACTCTGCTTTGAGGAAATCTGTTTGCAGAAGTTGAGATATTGCCGGGGGTTTTTTTCATCTGCTTCTATCAGAAAGTTTTGAGTAAATGTCATATTTCATTTGTCTTTCTCCTCCCACTCAGATTCTGGTTATGGAGCTGAACGATGAGGCTGCCGAGCAGATTGTTGAGGCTACAGTGGTGGACCTGCTGCAGGGTCAGGAGGGCTTCCGTTGGAAGGGCCAAGCGCGTCTAGACGTGCGGGAGGAGCCGGTGCTGTTCCCTCCAGGCTTCCAGCCCTTCGCCCTGGTGCAGTGCCAGCCGCCCGCTGTGGTCACGGCAATCGCTCTGCACTCAGAGTGGAAACTGGTTGCATTCGGTACCAGCCATGGCTTTGGCCTGTATGACTACCATCAGAGGAATAACGTCTTTGTCAAGTGAGAAGAAAACCATTTTAAATAGCATTCCAGTTTTATTAGTACAAAAGGTTGATCTGTCACTGTTAATACAAGTGACTGTTGGGGGATACAAATGAACATTAAGGAATATCCTTAAAAATAACATGAAATATAAAGCACATTAGACTGATGTGATCACCACAATGTCTAAAGATGTTCTCTTCAAAAAGGGAAGTCTAAATCATAGCTATAGTGTTTGTCACCATTGTATATTTTTATCATGCTAAATGCGTCAGTGGAAAATTAGCTCGTAGTCTGATTCACTAATCATATGATAGTCTGGCTTTTCTCTTTTATATGAAACATGTTAAAATATTAAATATAATGTACAGAAAATATTAAGCATAACTAAACTAAATAAAATATTGTTTTTATTATTTATATATTTTTGTGCAATACAAGTCAAATGTACATACTCATTCTTTATTAGACTGTAAATTACTGTATAATAAGGTAATTTAAACAGTAAATTACACTATTGTTAAAAAATATAATTTGTACTCCCCAAGGCTGCATTTATTTTTATTAAAATTTCCTAAAAACAGTAATATTGTGAAATATTACAATTTAAAATAAATGTTTTTTATTTTATTTATTTTTTTAATGTAGTTTATTCCTGTGATGGCAAAGCTGTATTTTCATCATCATTACTTCAGTACAGACACTCTTCAGTGTTACATGATCCTTTTGAAATCACTCTAATATGAATGTTAAAAACAGTTGCTGCTTAATATTTTTTAATATTTATTGTTTCAGGATTCTTTGATGAATAGAAAGTTCAAAAGAACAGCCCTTATTTTAAATTGAACTCTTTGTAAAATTATTAATGTATTTACTGTTACTTTTGATCAATTTAATGTGTCCTTGCTAAGTATGTATGTATGAAAAAAAAAATCTGTCACAATTCTTTTTGTTTTCAAAATTGCCACCTTTTTGACTTGATATGTGGCACCAAAAGTTTACATTTGTTAGTTTTAGATTTTTAAAAAATCTGTATGTAGCTACAATTTTTAATTGTCAGTAAAAGTTATATAAAGCCTTTTATTTATGAGCACAAGTCTTTAGATTAAACTGTTCAGAATCAGATCAATATCATTAAGACCATTAGACCTATTTAAGGTCATTACAATTATAAATTCTATTAGTTGTTTTTTTTCCTCTTGAGAAGAATGCTAATAGTTGTTTGCTGTCTGTTTGCAGGTGCACCCTAAACCCCAGTGATCAGATGGCCTTGGAGGGGCCGCTGTCACGTGTCAAGTCCATCAAAAAGTCCCTGCGACAGTCCTTCCGTAGGATTCGCCGCAGCCGGGTCTCCATGCGAAAACACCACACTAATGCAGCCAAGGTGTGTATCAGCTCTCTTCTTCTTTAGTGCTTCAATTATTCAGCCGTCAAATGAACATGTGACTAGGCATCATGCATGCAGTTATTATGGTAGCGATTAGCGTTGCAATACTGAGTTGTTGAGACGGTGGTTATGGCTCGATAGTGAATTTTAATAATGTTTCTACAGCTGCAGGAGATCAATGCCAGGCTGGAGGCAGAAGCTCTGCAGGAGATGGAGTTGGCTCCTGTACAGAGAAAGATCGAAGCCCGTTCTTCTGACGACTCCTTTACGGGCCTTGTCAGAACACTCTACTTCGCGGATACGTTTGTCAGTGATAGTGAGTACCACAGTGGGTTTTTTAATCGTTGATTATTAAATTTAGGGTTAGTATTTCCAATGTATCCTCTTAGACTAGCAGAAGACCTTCATCAACTGCCTCTCTCTTTTCCTCAGGTTCGCACAGTACGCCCTCACTGTGGGCAGGAACCAATGGTGGAGCTGTCTTTGCGTATGTCCTCCGTGTGCCATCACTGGAACGAAGGGCAGAGGATCCAGTACTGGCTCATGCAGGTAAAAAAAACATGATATATAAATGACGTTTTAAGAGTTCTTTAACTTTGAAGCAGATGAACAGACATATTAATCATTTAAAGGGTCATGAAACCCCCCCTCTTTCAGCTCAAGTCTAGCTCACAATCTTTTTGAAAAATGCAACTTAAATGGGCGTGGATGGCTGTGAGAAGGGGTGTGGTATGGCCATCACTGTCATCGCCAGTATCCCATGCATATCGACTGTCACTAAAAGCAGTGGTAAAACAGTGGAAATGCTAGATTTTTTTTATAGCTGGCAAAGTTAAAGTCTTATGAAATACGACACTTTATTATTGTCCTTTCAAAAGTAACTGAATGCCCTGCTATATTAGCCTACAGTAATCATAATTCTATTGAGAACATATTAATGTAGGCTACATGTATAATTATAATGTTATTATAAAATATATAGTTGTTTATATAGACACTATAAATACATATATTTGAAAATGATTAATTTTCCGCTTTAAAAAAACGTTACGTGCATAGCTAGATCTACGCGCCCCCTGAACCCCCATAATAAAGATGGCTCTGTGGAGGTGGATGACGTCTCATTTTAGACACACACACACACACCTCTGAAGGGTAGAAAAGTCCTCGGGACTTGGTACCGCATCACTCGCAAGACTCAACCTGCATTGGTCGTCAACAAGGCGAAGTCCACCATTCTCCAATTCTCGAAGCTCTCTCGAGAAAAATGTTTGCGGCACACATGTTTAGATGTGTCCGTGGTTGATGGAAAACCAACCGCCCAGAGCCAGAGTCTAGCCCGGGCAGCATCGCGGGGAAACATATTCAACCCAATTGGACTTTTGCACCACGAAAACAAACACTTGCGTGCGTCCCATGATTGCCTCTCTCATCTACTGCGCGATATCACAGTTTGACATGTCACTGGAAAGATCCACGTGGTGTCATGAATAATTAAGAGACAGTGTCTTCTCATAGGATATGAAAACTCAGTCTCATTAATAATTATGAGACACGATGAAGATTTTAAACCCGGAAGACAAAAAAAGCGGAAAAAAACTCAAATTTAACCATTTTAACCCTGCTATTAAATCTAACTGATGCTAACATTGTCTTCAATGGTGTTCAACATCAGTTCAACCTCTGATAAAATCTCAGAAAATTTGGTTTGGGGTTTCATGAACCTTTAATAAATGCATTTAACGAACATAATGTCTTTTAGAGTAATATTGTTGCTGATGTTTAAATAAAAGTAATAAACTCTATGGTTTTGTGTTAGTTATTTCACCACAGTTAAAGGGATAGTTCACCCAAAAATGAAATTGTCATTAATTACTCACCCTCATGTCGTTCCAAACCTGTAAGACTTTTGTTCATCTTCGGAATAAGAATGAAGATCTTTTAATGAAATCTGAGAGCTTTCTGCCCCTCCATTGACAGCTACACAACTACCACTTTGACGCTTCAAAATGTTCTTAAAGAGATCAATGTTTATATGTGAATAAAAGCCTAAATTAAATCTGTTCATCATATAAAGCGATCGAGTCTCTTCAGAAAATTTGGACTAAAACCGCTCACTTCATATGGATTAGTTTTACGATCTCTTTATGAACTTTGTAAAAGGGCAAAGTGGTAGTTGTGTAGCTGTCAATGGATGGACAGAAAGCTCTCTGATTTCATTAAAAGATCTTCATTCTTGTTCCGAAGATGAACAAATGTCTTACGGATTTGGAACAACATGAGGTTGAGTAATTAATGACAGAATTTTCATTTTTGGGTGAACTATCCCTTTAAGGGGGTTTTGGCACTCTACTTCACTTAACAATACATTTTAAACTTGGCAAAATCACTGTAAAGGGTGAGTTTTTTTTATTAAAGAAATTAATACTTTTATTTGGCAAAAACTACGGATGTCCCGAGCCGATCTCAAAGATAGATATCAGGGCTGATTAAGCTTTTTTTTTTTTTAACTGATCAGTATGGGCTATCCTAAGCCCGATCCGTTATTTTACGTCTGCTGTCACGTAGGTGTCGGTATGCGCCTTCAAGTGGGTTGGTCAGCCATAACGAATCGCTCAAGTCATTTATTTACTGTTTATTTTTATCTGTCGTCAGACTGTCTGAGACGTCGTTGCCATAAAGTATTGCTATGGGTTGAGTCTTGCTTTGGACGACTGACAGACTGGCATTCTGACGCCGTGAGCTTCATGCTTTCTAACCTTAAATCCACTTTTTTATTTATTTATTATTATTTATTTATTTTTAATTCTGCTTATTGTACATATAAAATATAAGAAGTTTATATCAGTAGTCCCATATTCATAATTGGGACCACACAATCTGTTTACAATGTCCACCATTATAACAGATGTTTACATCTACCAATGTTTTTTATAGAGTGTGTGTCTGTGTGTGTGTATATATATATATATATATATATATATATATATTAGGGCTGTCAAATGATTAATCACGATTAATCACATCCAAAATAAAAGTTTTTTTTACATAATATATGTGGGTGCACTGTGTATAATTATTTTGTATATATATATATATAAATACACACACATGCATGTATATTTAAGAAAAAACTATTATTTATATATAAAATATTTATATTTATATATAATATAAATTATATATAAATCTATATACAGTATATACATGAAAATATTTCTTAAATATATACAAGCATGTGTGTGTATTTATATATATATATATATATATATATATATATAAAATAATTATACACAGTGCACCCACATATATTATGTAAAAAAAAAAACTTTTATTTTGGATGTGATTAATCACGATTAATCATTTGACAGCCCTAATATATATATATATATATTTAAAATTACTCTAGTGATAGATATCCTTTTTTTTTTTACATTTGAGCCTCTGAGAAACTCTCTATATGTCCCTGTATACATTGGATTTGTTTTAATAACTTTAATGTTCTTGAAGTGTGCACCAAGCACTAGGAAAATACAAGTATTGGATTGGGACTAGATATCAGCAGATACTCAATATTCATTGACTCAGATCGGATCAGGGGCATAAAAAACCTGATCAGGACATCCCTGACAAGAACTCATTTAATTGACCAAATGTGACCGTAAAAGACATTTACAATGTTACAAAAGATGTCTATAAAAAAATAAAACTTTCTCTCCATCAGGTTTTTTTTTAATCCTGAAAAAAATGAACACCGTTTCCACACAATTATTTTCAAGATTGATGATAATACGAAATGTTTCTTTAACACAAAAGCAGCATATTAGAATGATTTCTGAAGGATCATGTGACGCTGAAGGCTAATGGCTTCTGAAAGTTCAATTTTGTATTCCAGGAATAAAGTACATTTTAAAATATATTAAAATAGAAAACAGTTATTGTTTATAATTGTACAAATATTTCTTAATATTACTGTTTTTACTGTGTTTTTGATAGCATAAATTATAAAATCTCACTGACCCCAAAATTTGAACAGTAGTGTGCACAAAACCCTGCTTACATAAACAGATCTTCTATAAAAAAAAGTGCTTCTTCATCCCCAGCTAAAGAGATTCAGTTGATGCATCGTGCTCCAGTGGTTGGTTTGGTGGTCTTGGATGGCAAGGGCTCCCCTCTGCCCGAGCCCCTGGAGGTGGCCCATGATCTGGCACGCAGTCCTGAAATGCATGGTTCGCACCATCTATTGGTTGTGTCAGAGGAGCAATTTAAGGTGAGAATTTGCACGACACAATTTATTTTTCTCCCATTGCCAACATAGATTGTGTGTCTTACTGTATTTGTGTGTGCACAGCTGTTTACCCTGCCTAAAGTGAGCAGTAAGTCAAAGCTGAAGCTGACAGCAGTTGACGGCTCTCGTGTGCGCCGTGTGGGCGTGGCTTGGTTTGGCTCTCGGACCGATGAACAGTTGGAGAGCAGCCTGGTGGTGCTGACCAATCAGGGTGAGCTACATGTCATCTCTCTACCCTCCATCAAAATGCTGGTCCACTATCCTTGCATACGAAGAGAAGACGTCAGTGGAATCGCATCTTGTGTTTTCACCAAATATGGCCAAGGTAGGAAATGCTCACTTTTACATGCACACAGTGCATTTACTCACGTATCTACTCTGAAACGGTCTGTCTGGTCATATTTAAGGTTTCTACCTGATCTCCCCATCTGAGTTTGAGCGGTTTTCTCTCTCCACCCGCTTGGTGGTGGAACCACGCTGTCTGGTTGAGGCTCCCCTACAAATGAGGCCCAAGACCCCATCAAGTCCCGTCCACAAGGACCAGTCAGATGGAGTGCCTACTGCACACAGGTGTGTGTAGTTGTGTAATAGTTCAGAATTCATTATTCCTTTCCTGTTGTCAAAGATTAATAAGTGTTTTTATATTGATGTTTGTTTGTTTGGTCTTTCCAGAAATTTCAAAAGGGAGAGTGATGGATATGGTGAGATTCAGTTCTCTTTTTCTTTTTTTAGATCTGTGTGAATTGTGCAAACTAAGCATCCAACCAACCCTAAAACGCGCATGTTCTTGGTTCTTTGTTGAATGCTTCCCCATTTTATTCCTATAAGTCACTCATACAAAAGACTTCTGTCCATGCTTAGACAATCCATAATTGATGAAACGGTGCCACATTAATTCTTGGAATTTTGTTAAAAGCTCATAAACTCATAAAAGCACCAAGCATATATACTGGTATATTATATACATACATACTGGTATAATATAGCCTGCACTCAGAAATATCATAATTTTGAGTTTTGTGCATGTTATTAGACAAACTTTTTTTTTTTTATGTTTAGAATAAAAGTTAGAACGAAAGTTCTATACACACGGTTAGTGAATGAAACCCATTGTTTAATTATATTTTATTAGATAATTTGTCTGTCATCAAGAGTTGTTATTGGTAACTAAAAGTATTAAAAATATTTTTTGTTCATTGAAATAAAATGTAAACATTAAATGAAAATTAGAAATGTTCCCTTGGCAAGTAACTGAAATACATTTTTGTTGGATAAAAAGTTAAAGTACAACTTTGTTGAAGTACTAAAATAACTCAAATCTAAACTGAAAAATAAATCAAACCTAAATATGTCATAAATATATATTTTTAATTACAAAAGCACAAAACAAAATTACTGACTCTTAAACTAAAATTAAAATGAAAACTCAAAATATTAAAATAAAAGCTAATTCAAAATATATCAAATATTCAAATATACATAAATGATACTAAAACAACACTGTTGTGACCTGCGAGTTGCACCAATTATGGATTGTATTTATAACTCCTCTTTAAAGCATTTGCAAGCTTTAGCCCAACTAATCAGTGTGCTTGTGTGTTCCAGAGAATTCTGCTAGACAAGTAATGGAGCATGCTTTGCTCAACGATGAGAGTGAGTACATGAGGAATCGCAGTTAGACAGGATATTCTGAAGTACTTTAGATGTGTAACACCTCAGAGCATTATCAGTTTGTTTGTATCTTGCTTGTTGTGTATGTTTTGTGACATGCAATTGGCCTAAAACAATAATCTAAACATGCTGGATGATTAATCGTGGCCTGGTCTGTGCAGACGTGTGTGCATGATCTGTAACACTTCCATCTGCCTGCACAATAATACTGTCATATTAATATCTGTGCAAAAGATATTAGATTTGATTTGTTGTTTATGAAGAGAAGAGCTCATTTCTGAGTACTTTACAAGAAATTCCAGTGAGGATGGTGTTTGCTGGACTCGTCGTATTTAGTGTCTTAGTGATTTGCGGAAAAAACTTTGAGTACTTGTTTGAATCGCATCTTGCTCTAACACAGGTGTGCTTCAGGAGATCCAGAAGTCCCTAGAAGGAGATCAAACGTAAGAAATTTAATTTAATGTAGATTCTATTACTTTATTAATATTCATTAATGCCGGTAAGGTTTGAATAATCTGCCAATTGTTTGTTTAAAGGACGTTCCTAGAGAACAATCTGAAGACTAAGCCAAAAGCAGGCAATATCCTGAGCAATGGAGGTAATTTATTTCCTATTCCTAATTAGCATAAATTGGTATTCCAATAGTCATATTGTAACTAGCCCTATTGCAAGAATTTGAGAGAAGATTGATCATTGCCTTCTAGCAGTAGTGTGTTTGGAGGTGCTCTGAGAGCTGTTCTTTTAAAAATGGGTCAGGTTTTCATATTGTGCATGATAATCATGATGTGCTTTGGGTTCACTTTTTCATATTTTGAGTAATTCCAAATTTCTTTGGTTTGTACAGGTCATTATAATACAATGTTAATGACATGCAAAGAAAAAGTAGATAAGAGAAAATATGTAGATTTCTCTAGAATTTCAGTTGGAGACAACTTTAATACTACCACTACTACTACTACTAATAATAACGGTATTATTAATATGTTATGTACAGGAAGGCCAGCTTATATAAACTACAGTGTGAATGCAAAATGGTCTAAGACCAAATATATATTTTGTAAAGACAGAAACTGCTTCAATAATAATAATTGTAGTAATAATAACATTATTATTATTATTATTAAATGTGGATCAAATCTTTTCATCTCCTCTGTCTTTAAAAAATAGTTTTTTGGTCTCAGTCCATTTTTTTATTTTTTTATTTATTTATTCATCATCACTAAACTATAGTGTGAAAGTAAAATGAGCTAAGACCAAAAAGAGAGAATTTTTTTTCGTTTTTAATGTAGATTTGAAATTATAATTGTTTTATTTATGTTTACAATATTGTTAATGACATTCTACAACGTACTGTACATAAATGTGTGAGGAAATCATAGTTTTTATTTGTTTGTTTAAATTTTAAAGTGAAATTTTTTTTCCTAAGGTACAGTTTGTCAGATAAAATGTCCTTATCATGACAGGTGTAATTGATCCTTGATCTGTGTTTAGAAACAAATATTATTATGTAACTTTGAGCTTTATGTTCATTGCACTTCTTTGCTTTCTGCTGCGTCCACAGACTGAGCCTTTTATTCCCCGTGCCTGAACGATTCTGGATCCGCTCTTCACTCCAGTCTTGCTTACGATCTGAACACTACTGCTAGTACCACTACTGAACCACGAGAAAGCCTTGCCCTGGAGAGAGGAACCTCCCACTCAAGAGCTTCCACACCCAGGGAGACGACAGAGAGAAGAGAGCGAGGGACCACCACCTGTGCCTGCTAAGACCAATCACTGTATCTCCACTGAATCCATTACATGCTGACTGACCACCTTCACACCACCAGCGTCTACCTGTGCAGCAACCTGAGTAAATGCAGTGGCATTTGAAAGACTGACAATTTTGTTTTTTAACTTAATTTTAAATGCATGACTTTTCTTTTATACCAAATTAAGGACCTCAGAATTTGCGTAGATGGTGTATAATACCTGGGTGAAGATGCCATTTGCTGTTGCTGACGAATTAGGGTAGGACGACAAGGCAATGTTAGCACTAGATGCTATAACACCGTTGCATTTAAACCCCATACACATTTAAAACCCTACTGTATTCCAAAAGTAGTGTTGCCTTTCCCCCGTCCACACCAATGAGAACAGTGGGTAGATAAAAGTTCTTATAGGTACTTGTACACTACTGTGTAGTACATATGCTGTAGTTTCTAGGGTGTACAGCTTTCTGAGGGGCTAGGTTTTTAATTTCTTTTTTTTAATGTAAAACTTTTTTGTTATGCCAATAATGAATGATGTAATTTAGGAATGTAATTTTAAAATATTGTAGTCAAATGTTTTAATATATGTGTATATGAAAATCCGTACCTGTTTTGACGGTGGGTTCCTTTTATGGAGGGCTGTATTTTCTGATCTGAGGAAATATTTTGGTACTGTCTCCTGAAATGCGATTTAGCGTTTTCTTTGGGGGGGGTCTAGAATATATTTTTGTAGAAACATGATTATGTATGAGAACACTAATTATTATTCTTTGTAACTTCACACTACAGTCTTCTCAGTAAAGATTTTTCACACAAACTACTGTCTTTTTCATAATTTTTGATGAGTTTTCTCATTCTGTCTGAGTTTGTTTAATTCAGGGAAGTCCAATAAGAGGTTATTAAAATATATAAATGCAGTAGAGATTCAGGCAGAACATGTTGCTCTATCTTTTTAAAATATAAAGAATCTAAAACATGCATTTTGTTCAAGTTCACTAGTCTAATTTTAAATAGTAAAAATGGCCCAAAATTAGAAAGCTAGAGCAAAATTGGTTCATTAACTCCATATCCCTCTTTTTCTAAGTGAACTCTAACTTTGCATCTGTGTAGTAATCTATGGCTCTTAAAGGTGGTTGTAGCTTTTGAAAACATTTGAAAGGAAATGTACAGTTGCCATGAGTTTTGATCATCTATTATTGAGAGATGCTTTGTTCCCTAATCGCAGTAGCTCAAATGTTTACCTGATATTGGACACCATCTTTTAAAGAATGATGGAGAATAGCTGTTTACGATGTTGTGCACACAGCACAAGCAAGTTATATAAAGTAGAAGTTATATATTATATTAGTATGGTCAAGTAGTAGCTTCTGAATATAAATGAGATTCAAATAATTAAAAACAACTAATAACATAATATTTGTATTTATTTCCCTATTATGGCAATGAAATTATTAACAAAGACAACATTTGATTTACGGACAGGACAAAAAAAGACTAATTTATAAATGACAATGTACTTAATCTACACGGATGCACTTTAATATTTCATATTAACTCACTTTGATATAAAACTTTTTTCAATATTTATTTTTTATCCTGATACATAGGTTGTTTGTAGTTTTTGTGTGTGTACCTGGTATTCGCAACATTATTCATTTGTTACCAAATGTCCCCACAAGGATAGTAATATCACTAAATTATGACTTTACGGGAAAAAAATGTTGGTCCCCATGAGGAAAACTTCTTATAAATCATACTAAATCAAGTGTTTTGAAAATCTGAAAGTGCAGAAAGTTTTCCGTGATGGGTAGTTTTAGAGGTAAGATTAGTGTAGGATATAGTTTGTATACAGCATAAAAATCATTACGTGTGTGTGTGTTTTGTCACTTAATTTTTTTATCCTACATTTCAATCTGGATCTTGATGGAGAAAGAAAACTTAACAGACTTTTCTGAAAAGTTTGGCGGAATGTCTTCTGGAATTTCTTTGTTAATGTGTGAGCATCTGTTAGTGTCTTTCTCTTGCTCTCTCATGTATCAACACCTTTTGTCACCCTTGCAGTGAAGCCTCTCACCTTTCCACCGTCTGTTCAGCAGCTGCCGATATGAATGGGTGCATAACTGTATGGTGTATCGTCAAATATAAATTATTCACTACAGCCCTTGAAAGTTTGTGCGTACGTGTGTGTGTGTGTGTGTTTTTTTGTCCGAGAGACTGTGTTGGTGTTTGAGTCTAGTCACAGAATCAATCCATGGAGTGTTCAAGACTAGCAGAAATACTCACCAGACCCCCTCAGTGCCTCATATGTACCCAAGGTAAGTCATTCGGTAGTACACAGATGAAAGCCTGAAGTACATTTTTTGTTTGTTCTGATTGTTAATGGTCATTTGATTTAAGAATCAATGCCCATTTCTAATTTTATGTTGGAATTTCTTCTAAAAAAGAAATTGAGTAATTGAGTACTTGGAAGTATCTTGTTATACTGTCTGTATCTGTCTTTTTCTAATCCAATTGGCATTATTGAGAGTGAAGAGCTAAATGCCTGAAACCCAGTCCTAATGGTGACCATTAGGTCAGGTACACCTTGCACTTTAGTTGAAAGACATGACACATGATCTCCACCCATGGTAGTTAAGGTTGCTGATATGCATCAGTTTCACTAGACCTGCACAAAAGTAAAACAATTTTTTTTTTCTAATAGTGACATAATGCTATTACGCTTTTGGAGTATCTTCCTGACACAGATCTTTTAATCTTTGAAAATATTTTAGTATTCTTAGGTCATTGAAGAAATGTCTTGACATTGAGGGGGAAAGTCAGAAAGAGGACCAGTGAGGTTACTTTGACCGAGAATCATGCCTCCAGCCAAATCCCCTACCAGGGCTAGAGGAGGGAAGCAAAAAGCAGTGGCAGGAAAGACAGACAAAAAAGAATCAATTCCCCTGAAAAAAGGACGAAAGACTGGATCTCAAATTCTCTCAAATAATAATGAAATTGGGAAAGGAAAAGGTGATAAATCTGTAAAGAAGGAAGAGATAGCTGGGAAAGGGAAGAACAAAAAAGATAAGGAGAAGAAAACTGGAAAGAGTAACCAAACCGAGGCACAACCAGAGGAAGAGATAGAGACCTCTAGGCAAATAGCCAAAGCGAAAAAGCAAAATGGCAAAATCTTACCTGCTAAGGCAACGAATGGCAATACCGTAAGAGCGAGAGCTGGAAAAGCTGTCAAATCAAAACCTAACCAGAAAAAAAGTCTAGCCAAAACTCCTGCAAAAGGTACAAGTAGAGGTGCTAAAGTAGTAGATACCGAAGAGGATGAATCAGAGAGCGAGAAAGCAGAGAGCTCAGAGCAAGAGAGTGATGAAGGTGAGGATGACAAGAAGGAGGGATCAGATTGCATCGAGGACACTGATGAGACAGACGCAAGTGTATTAAGTGGTGAAGAAGAGCTATCAGATGTAGACAACAAAACAGAAAAGGAGGAAGAAGAAGAGGAGAAGAAGAGTGTGAGCGAAGACAACTCTGATACAGAAAGTAAAATCATAGAACCCGAGAAGGAACTAGAAGAAATAGACTCTGAGGAGGTACTGAGTGATACAGGGCAAGAGAGCACACTGAGAGAAACGGCACGTTCATCAACAAAACCAGGACCACTAAACCTGACAGTCCACCTCCAGGGACAGAAAAAGATGTTAAAATCCAAGATACTACAAAAGAAGGTGCCTTCTAGAGGAGAGGACCCTAAAGAAGGTTCTGTGTCTTCAAAAGGAGTCAAAATTAAAGGAATGGCTCTCTCCAAAGTTGGCACCACTAAAGGTAAGTCTCAAATTCTACAGTTGGCAAGTAAAACAAAGGCAATTGCCAAGACAGAGGAAGCAGATCAACAGGAAGAAAGCCCAACAAAAGGCCCAAAAGGATTGTTGAACAGACAATCTCGTGGGCTATTTTCAATGAAAGGCAAAGGGAAAGATGATAAAAGCAAGAACGCCAAAGAGGAAACTTCAAAAGACACTGTAAATGCTGTTGAAGAACCAAAACGAGATGCATGTGAGAAAATAGTTCCAGATGCAGCTGAGCCTGAAGAAGATATGTCCTCAAAGTCAACAGAGCGTTTATTGGCCCGGAAAAGAGGCATGACGACATTGCGGCGTGTCTCAGGATGGATTCAAAAGAAGATGCCAAGGAGCATTCACGTTCGAAGAAAAATATCGGCAGTCACCCAAGCGATTGGGGTCTCAAAATGGCTCTCTGCTTTGGTATTAAAAAAGAGGAGTAGTAGTACCAAGTCAAAAAGGAGTCTTATCCGACACAAGATGGTTATGAAAATGGCAGGTGGTGGAAAATCAAAGAAGGAAGTATCATCCTCAAAGGATTCCAAGACAGATGAGGGTACTACAGCTGATCCCCAGGGTGATTCTTTTGATGAGCCTTGTTCATCTCCACAAGATGTGGAGGAAAAGGCCAACTCAGGAGATGCCAAATATGCAATTGTGTTCCCAAGGATGAACAAAATTGACAAGGCAAAGGGAGCCACCAGTCCATCTACTAGCACCAGCACAGGCGATGGAGGCAGCACAGAGCGTAAACCACCAAAGCCTGGTGCTCGACTGGTTCTTCCAGTCAAGCCAGACCTTAGCCTACTAAGGTCCATCAAGAAAAACACTCAGGGGAGTGAAAGTGATAAGAATAGCAGTCCAAACTCTCGAGTGACTGAGGGACAGCCAGAGGTCAAAGCAGACAACAAAGAGCCAATATTAGGGATCAACGGTGGTACAAGTATATTACAAGCCGCCAAGGGAAAACTTGGGGTATCGCAAGTAAACATCACCAAGTTGTCTATGTCAAAACCTTTGATTAAAGGTGTAAGTGTGGGACAGAGCAAAGAAGTGGAGAGGAATATAAGGAAGGCAGATTTATCAGCAGAGTCCGAGACAAGGAGGAATGGAGTGACGCAACCTTCTTATGAGGAAGATGCAGACCGAGAGGTGGCGGAGCTGATGGGTGAGGGTCTTTTGCCCTCCGCTATGGAGCTACACTGGGCTCAGAATCAACAGATGTGTGATGATCCTCAAGACTGGCTGCGTTCAGAAAACCTCCTGCCCCATCAAACGGTGGAGAAGCTCACTAAATGGACGGTGTATCAAGATGATGAACATGCTCACATCATTCCAGTCCATAATGGAAAAGGCCCATGGGAATCCGAAGATCCGACCCAAAAAATGCTAGAGGAGAGACTTAACAGCACACAGGTACGATATTTGCAAAATAATTTACATAATTCTTGGTGTTGAACTCATTTGTAATTGCAAATAACCTCGGTGTATGTTATAAGGGATGCAGTGATATCTACAAGTTTATTGTTTGAATCAGAGAAGGGTGTCATTGCTGGGAAAGAGTGTGGGTGTTATCCACATGTCTGCCCACTGGGGGCTCTCAGTGACAGATCTGCTCTGCTTCCTTTACTTTGTGTCTCAGGTAATGATGCCAGGAAGCAGCCAAGCTGTGGAGGTGGATGAGGTGGAAGATTTGGCACAGCTGGAGTGAGTCAATCATCTGATGCACATTTCCTCATGTAAACTATCTAGGAAACAAAAGGCACAGTAGTAAAGAGTGAATTATATGAACAAAACATTAATTTGCATATCAAATGACATGTTGAGTTTGAATTGTTTTAAAACATCAAAACCTTTTCCAGAGAGGTGTGTGAGAGTTCTGTTCTGCTGAATCTGAAGAAGCGATTTCATCGGGATTCCATTTATGTATGGATTACCTTTTCTATACGATTGAATATGTTCTTCTTTCTCAAATTCAACTTTATTAAAACGTTTTATGAAACCAACAGACGTATATTGGCAATATGCTTCTGTCCATCAACCCCTTCAAGCTTCTCAGCATCTACACTGAGGATCTGAGACAGCAGTACCAGGGTAAAGAGAAGCACAATAATGCTCCGTGAGTGCTTTCACTACGAGGACAAGAATTGATTGGCTATAGATATCTTTTTTTGCCATATGAGCAGTAGGCAAATTATGTTTTTCTTTTTCTTTTATAAGAGATTAGCAATGAAGTTGAAAGATTGATTTTCACTGTCCCTGCAGTCATATATATGCCATAGCAGATGCTGCCTTTTGCCAATCTCAGAATTCCACCCAGGAGCACTGCATCATCATAAGGTGAGGAGGATAATGGGTATACATTTACATTTTTACATGCATATAAATACATACGCAAACATATGCATATACATACACATACACATACACACATCCATAGCAATTTACATATATAATGACCAGCTGACAGTACATTATCAATTACACATTTGCATATTCCTATATTATACATTTGAATGAATCTGAATTTCTCAACAGTGGGCAAAGTGGATCAGGCAAGACAGAGGCTGCCAAGCTCATTGTCCACTACCTGAGTTCCATGTATCAAGGCAGAAACGATAAATTACGCCAGGTAAAGCAATTTATTATTCCATATGAATAAGTTTAACAATAATAGGATAGAAAACTCAAAGAAATATCTTCCTCTCATCAGCCAATGGATGTTTTGCCCATTCTTGAGAGCTTTGGTAATGCCAAGACTATACTGAATAACAACTCTAGCCGATTTGGAAAGTACCTACACATCCACATATGCCAGTAAGTGTACTGCATGTTGTTAGCCTGATTTAAGTGACAGTGAGCATTAAATGAGCATGATATGATCTTCATTTCTTTTTTCAGTGGTGTTGTTGTCGGGACATCATTGTCAAAATATCTCCTTGAAAAATCACGAATTGTCTTCCAGGTTAGATGTTTATTCATTAGCTTGCACTTTAGGACATCTGAAATAATTGAATTTACTGGAACTGTGTTCCTTTAGGCCAAGGAGGAGAGAAACTACCATGTGTTTTATGAGCTGTTGGCTGGGATGAATGAGTGGGACAAGCAGGATATTTACCTGCAAGGAGCTGAAACGTACTTCTACCTCAACCAGGTAAAAGAAAAGCCCATGAATAGCCCGTTTCTTTGTGATTTTCCCCCCTAATATTTCTAAATATTCCTGTTTTGAATGCTTTTTTAAGGGCAGGGCTTGTGAGCTACAAGGGAAGCATGACAAGCAAGACTTCCTGCTCTTGGTCCACTGCTTGGAGACAATTGGTTTACATGCAGATCAACTAGCAACCATTTGGGGCATTCTGTCATCAATCCTGCAACTGGGCAACATTTGCTTTAGCTCCTATGAGGTGTGGTTTCCCTTTCATGGACAATTTTAGGATGTTAGATCCTTTAAAATATGTATACGATAAGCTGTGTGTGTGTCTGTGTGTTTGTCTTTTCACAAAATTAGAGTGAATCGTTTGAGGTCGCCCGTATTTTTAGTGAAGCTGAGGCTCGGAGAGTGGGAAACCTCTTGCAGGTGTCCGCAGAGGCCTTACAGACAGTCATCACACACCGGGTGACTGTAAGCAACTCTTATCCAAATACACATTTGTTTCTTCTCATGTCCTCAGACTTAAAGGAATATTTTGGGTTTCGTACAAGATAGCACAAGTCTATTTGATGTTATATTTACATCTGGAAGACGTATTTTTAAGAGTGTCTGCTCATCTGCAAGACGTCTATAGGACGTTTCCTGTCAGATGTCAAATAGACGTTTAGAAGATGTCAGTTTAACATGCATTCTAAATCATTACATCTTAAAGACATCTTCTAAACGTCTATTTGACATCTGACAGGAAACGTCCTATAGACGTCTTGCAGATGAGCAGACACTCTTAAAAATACGTCTTCCAGATGTAAATATAACATCAAATAGACTTGTGCTATAAGCTCAGTCGACAGCATTTGTGGCATAATGTATAATACCACAACAATTCATTTCCACTCTTCCCTTCTATTCTTTAAATAAAAGCAAAAAATAGGTTACAATGAGGAACCTATAATGGAGGAGAATGGGGCCAATCTGTAAACATTTACTTCATAATAAAATGCTCCTTGTGTCAATAATATAGTCACATCACATAAACAATACACATGTTAACATGTGAAACAAGTTTAGTGTGAAAAATGCCTTACTATTACTAATCTGTTGAACTGTGTTGATGGCTGAAACCCTAAAACAACTGTAGAAATGACAAGAACTTTAAAGCTCAAAAATATACACATTTTAACAAAAGATTTAATGTAGATTTAAAGATTTTTTTTACTGATTACATTAATAATAAGAAATGTTTTCTGAGCACCAAATCAGCATTTTAGAATGATGAAAAATTCAGCTTTGCCATCACAGAAATAAATTACAAGTTAAAATATATTAAAATAGACAACAGTTATTTAAAATTATAAAAAATATTACTGTTTTTACTGCGTTTTGATCAAATAAATGCAGCCTTTTTGAGCATTCTTTTAGCACAATCTTTCAAAAACGTTAACCTTACCAACCTCAAACTTTTGAACGGTAGAGTAAGTGCTTTTATAAAGTCATAAGATTTCCGTCACATCATATTTTCACAAGAAATATGTCCTAATTTGTTTCCGCAGGAAACAACTTATGATAGGATCTACTGCCCTCTATCTGTGGAAAGTGCCATTGAATCCAGGTTAGATGATTAAATGTTATTGAAATTATTCAATTACATCAGACAAGTGATGTAGTCGAGGAATATTTACAGATTGTTATTGATTCAGAGATGCCATTGCCAAGACGCTGTATTCTGTGCTGTTTGACTGGATTCTTGAACGCATCAATGACTGGTTGATCCCCACAGAGATGGACAGCACCGTCGGCATTGTGGATATATACGGCTTTGAGGTATCTTGTCCCTCGTTATGACCTGGCTTAAAGTGACAATTCTACTGTTAAATTGATTGATTTTTTTTAAATGTTTTTAACATTTATAGCTGAAGCATTTGTGCATAGTAGCACAGAATTCCCACCTGTTAAGCCTTTTAAATAAATATAGTAAGCCTCTTATGAAGTCTGTGGGAGAGCACTGAACAAATGTGTATTACAGGACCTAAGTGTGAACAGTTTTGAGCAGCTGTGCATAAACTTTGCCAACGAGCAGCTGCAACAGTTTGTGAACAAAGCCCTGGTGGCCCAAGAGCAGGTCAGTTTGTCCTCAGCAATCATATTGACAATTTTTAAGAGACCACTTTAGAGACCAAGTATGAAAGTATTAGTACCCTGGGGAGATTCTGAACCTATTATACTTGAAGGGAACAAGTTTTAAAGGGATAGTTCACCCAAAAGAGAAAATTCTGTCATCATTAACTCACCCTCAAGTTGTTCCAAACCTGTATAAGTTTCTTTCTGCTGTTGAACACAAAAGAAGACATTTTAAAGTATGTTGGTAACCAGAGAGTAGACGTATAGCCACTGACTTCCATTGTATTTTTTTCCTACTATGGAAGTCAATGGATACCGTCAACTGTTTGATTACAACATTCTTTAAAATATTTTATTTTGTGTGCATCAGAAAAAAAGAAACTTATACAGGTTTGGAACAACTTGAGGGTGAGTAAATTATTTTTCGGGTCAACTATCCTTTTAATATGTATAGTAATTTAAATATATACCTTAAATATGGCTTGCCAGATAAGAATGGAAATCATGAATACTTGAGGGGACTGAACAAAATAAAACAAATGCTTTGCTGGGTGTGTTTGTGTTAGGAGGAATACAGTGCAGAACAGATTCAGTGGTATCCAATAGTTCTGGGAGACTCTAATGGCTGTCTGGATCTGATCTCAGCACGGCCGTATGGTATTCTTCGCATCCTGGATGACCAGACTTGCCTTCCTCAAGTAACTCCACATTTCAGCTTCAAGCCAGAGACATTTCAGTCAATATCTGTCGAACTCTTATACTACAGCTCAGTGACGGATTTACAATTTTTTCTTCTACTTATTTGTGTCTAATGTGATTTTAAATATCATAAAACTCGAATTGTCACCAAAATGACCCATTGTTGATTCAAATGCAAATTATTTTATACTACAATGGATTTATGGGCCATCTTTGTCCACTGTTCTCTTTTCTTTGGCTCTCTCTCCCTCTTTTTTTGTTACAGGCTACAGACCACACATTCTTGCAAAAATGTCACTATCACCATGGCAACAGTCCCTACTACACCAAGCCCAAAATTCCTCTGCCAGTGTTCACAATATATCACTATGCCGGAGCTGTCACGTACCAGGCAAGCCTGATCTGAGCATTCACAAAAAATTGTATTCATGCCATGTGATTGTCCTGATAATTCCACCTAAGGATTGCTCATTTTGTTTTTCCTCACCAGGTGCACAACTTTCTAAATAAAAATCATGACCAGTTTCGGCCTGAAGTATTAGAGCTTTTTGCCCGCAGTCGTTCACAGGTAAATTCATCTAATTTGTGTTCACGGTAGCTCACTTCACACCGTCCTCAGTGATTTGTGACGTGTCAAGATTGCAAGAAACACAGTAATGTGTCTACTATTATATATTCATGAGACTGTCAACATATCCAGACAAAACAAAAGAGTTAGCAACAACTGATATCATTTATGCAAACTTTAGGTCTCATTAAGTTTTAAAGGACCAATGTTTGGTAACAAAGACCTGTAACAGGTAATAGGAGTGTGTTTTCTTGTCTGTGTAGATGGTGTCAGGTCTCTTCCGGAAGGTTCAGGAGCGTCACGTCCAACAGAAAGAGCTAGGAAGAGCAAGAGGTTACAGGAACCAGATGACAACGGTAGCTGCTCACTTTCAGCAGTCACTTCTAGAGCTCACCACTCGTTTGGAGAGGTCGGCAATTGTCACAATTATTTATTCTGCAATATTTTCTATGAATGGGCTGCTGTATTTGTTGTACACAGGACATTTGGTATTGTCATTCAGTTATGTAGTGGTCCATTGTGAGAATATGTACATGATTTGATTCTGTCTATTTATTCTTTCTGTTTTTGTTTTTTTAAGGTGTAAAACTACATTCATACGATGCTTTAAGCCCAACTATGTTAAGGTAATTTAAGTTGACAAAATGCATATCATTCTGTGTGTGAGTTTATCAAGCACAACTGTATTTATTGGTTGACCTCGGTTTGATGTCTTTGTGTTGTTCCAGCTTCCAGGAATATTTGATGTAGACTACATAGCCACACAGCTGAGGCATGGAGGGATACTGGAGACCATTCACATACGAAAAGAAGGATTTCCGATTCGCATCCCCTTTGCTCTGTTCATGGAGAGGTAGCACACTATGATAGAATACATTATTAGTGGTATATCAGTCAACATCACCATCTTTGTTTGTATGAGACATAATGATAACTTATATTGTGTAGGTTATTCGAGGACTGTTATTACTTTTATAAAGGATTCAACTAGGTATCCAAAACAGCCTAGTGATCATCTAGCACCCACACAGCAACATAATAAAACCCAGAACACCTTAGCAACAGCATATCAATGCTAGCAACCACCCAGAACACCCATGCAGCGAGTATTAATATATACTGTATATGTAAAAAAAAATATTCTGTGCTTATTCTGTGAATTACGTATACAAGATTTTAGTAGTCATGAAAAACCTACAAATATTTAAAGTTTTTTATGTTTGTTTTTTAATGTGTGTGTGTATATAAAAAAAACTGTTTCTATTTAAATATTTTGTAATATGTAATTCTGTGATTTTTAGCTGCTACATTTCTTGTAAGTAATTGGAATTTATACAATATTAAAGATCAAGGAAAATTACTATAGTGAAACATACACTACCGTTCAAAAGTTTGGGGTCGGTACGATTTTAAATACTTTTAAAAGAATTCTCTTCTGCTAACCATGGCTGCGCTTATTTGATTAAAAATACAACAAAAATCAGTTATAGTATTAAATATTATTCCAGTGTAAATCAGCTGTTTTCTGTGTGAATATATAGTAAAGTGTAATTTATTCCTGTGATCAAAGCTGAATTTTCAGCATCACCAGTGTCAGTGTCTTCAGTGTCAAATGATCCTTCACAAATCAGTATAATATGAGGATTTGATGCTCAAGAAACATTTATTATTATTATCAATGTTGAAACAGTTGTTGGTCTGTCAGTTGTACAGTTTTTTTTTTTTTTTGGATTCTTTGATGAATAGGAAGTTCAAAAGAACAGCATTTGTTTGAAATAGAATCTTTTGTAACATTATAAATGTCTTTACTGTCCTTGATAAATAAAAGTATTGATTTCTTTCCTCCAAAAAATAAAAATAAAATTCTCACTGACCCCAAACTTTTGAACGGCAGTAAATATTTATAATATATTATACTGTATAATGTAATTATTTTTAAGTAGTTATGTTCTGCTTTATAATATTATACACTAACATATAAAGATACAGCTGAAAAAAAAGCATTTAAACATCATAGAATTTCATATTTTATTGGTCACAACGTATGGGAATCCTGAGTGTAGATACATTAGATAATAGGCAAAACTATACCTTCTCTTCCTCCTTATAATTTCCTCCATTTTTATGGGTCCATTTTCTAGCACTGTCTCTTTGTCTAATTTCAGGTATGGTGTGTTATTAGCCCAGAGATCAGAAAACCAGTCTTGTGAAGAGCAAGTAGTGACTTTACTGGAGACTGTAGGAGCAGAGGAAGGCCAGTACCAGCTTGGACTCACTAAGGTACAGTAACATAACTCTTTCCCCAGCCTGGGTTATTCTGACTCTGACTATCATGACACTAAAGATCCACTCTCAAATTATTCCCCTTAATGTGAACACACACAGGTGTTTATGAAGGAGACTCTGTTCCAGCGGGTGGAGGAAAAATGGAGTAGCACCCAAACATGGGCAGCAGTCACCATCCAGAGAAACATTCGTGGCTTCATCTGCCGAAGAAACTTCCGTTTCTTTAAACAAAAGGCTATTGTCCTCCAGTCCCACATCAGGGGCCACCAAGCCCGGTATGTGCAGAGATTTCACATTTGATCAACTTTAAGAGCATGATAAAATAGAAGTTAATCTGTCACTGAATGTGAAACAATGGCACCCTCTTTCTGTTACAGGAAGTACTACAAGAAACTGAAACAATCCTTCACTCAGTTCTGGGCAGCTATAATGATCACCAGAGACACCATTAAGAGACGTCATTGGAGAGTGAGAGCTTTTATCTTTCCCTCTATCTATCTGTAGCTCTTTCTATTCTTCGACCTGTATGTATATGGATTCTTCTTTGCTTAATTTGCACACATACAAATACACACGCTTCACTATTTCAGCTGTTTACCTATGTGGCCATTGCTAGGCAACCAAAACCACTTTATTAAAATATGACAGCTAATGCGATACGGTAAATATCAGCCTTACTGTCTCATTCAAAAGAATGAATAGTTATATCAATCAATTCATTAATTAATGCTTTATATTTTGTTATCTAATGCAATGACAGTTAAATACATTTCTATAGTTAAGTGTCTCATTGATTACTGCTTCTGGGCTTATGCCTGTCATACATTACATGTGAGATCAGAGTGTGCTCATGAGTAATAATTGAGTATTATATATTTTACTCTTTGGAAGGACTTTGAACCCGTTTGTATGCTGAGTGAATTTATGAGATTGTGAAATTAAATGTATTGCTTTTGAAATGGCACACATAGTTTTGTATTGCACAACCTCTATAGGAAAATAATTCAAATTTCATTTAAAATTGAATATAAAAAAGTGTGGCGCTTTCCACAGTCTTTTTTTTTCCTTCTTAGTCTTAGTTTTATTTATTTATTTATTTATTTTTATTCATGAAACAAAACATATATACATACCATTACAACTGCTTTCCACAGTCTTGTAAAAAAAAAAAAAAACTAACAATACACAATGATGAAAAAAAAAGAATGATCTTTATACTCTGATTCATGTAGCATGTTTGGTCTCTCTAGTGCATCATGGGACATTTAAGAGTGTTTACAATTGTAACAAATGTCATGGTTAGGTGAGGTGAGCTCCACCCGCCTACCTGCCCTTTTATCTTTGATCCCAGATTGTCTCTCTACTTTTCCCTTACTTCTTTTTTCTCTCATTTCTGCCAAGACCCACCTAAGCGCCACTTCTTTTCTGTTTGGATTTCAAACAATTTCAAAAGTGAAAGAGCACTTTACATGGGGACTGCTACGTTTGTTTTAATATCACCCTAGGTAGGTAGTGGTTTAATATTTTAGATAGGTTTAATATTTATCCATATTACACATGCTAATAGCAAACAGAAAGATTAATGATACAGAGAGATTACAGCAGTAATATACATGTAAGACTTTAAGATTTGTTTAATGGGATCTAAAATGTACTTTAAAATCTTTTAAATGTATGTCTGAAAGTTTCAGTTTTTTTTTTTTTTTTTTTTTTTTTGCTTTACTTCAAAAATGTTAGATTTACCTATCTTTATTATTACACTTCAAACTATTATTTTCCTCAGCATTTTTGTTTTGTTTTCAAGTACAAATATCTAAACATTCTTAAATCACGATCCATTTACTTGGGAAGCAAAATGACTTAAGATATTAAGTCTTGTTTTCTGAAAAAATCATCAAAATGAAGTGAGTTTATTTTTATTTTTTTAAATAAGAAAAATGTCTGTCAGTGGGGCCTGAAAAATCAGCTTAATTCAAAGGGAAAACAAGGTTATTTTTCTGACCCCATTGGCAGATATTTTGTCTAGTTTTAAACATAAACTCAATTAATTTTTAATTCATACTTAATCTCTGAAGTTAATTTGCTTCTCAAGTACAGTGTTAATGTATCTTGACCAAGAATGTTTACATATTTGTGCTGGAAAACAAGACAAAAATCCTGTGGATGCCGTCTACTATTTTCAATTTTGTAGAATAATAGTAAAGTTATTAAAACTATTAAACAACACAAATGGAAGTAATGTCAAAATATTTTGAGGTTTCTCAAATTCTAGATGACAGCTCTCCACACTTTCTCAGTCTTCGTCAAGTACATCATGGGTACAAAACTGATAAATTATTTAATTAAAATATTTACACATTCAGTCCAGACCTTTGACTGATAGTGTTATATTTAAATGATCCACTAAGTTATGTAACCTGCTACTTTCAGTTCTGTTTCCTTGTTACCCACCATTGTTTTATACAGTTTGGACTATGTCCTTCTGAGCTGTCATGTACTCTGTCAAATCTCATTAGTAATTGTTATGCATTTGGTGAGTGGTGACTGGTTGACACGTGATCCTCATTCAGTGGGTTAAGCAGCATTGTGTGGTTAAATTTTTGCTTGTCCGATAGAAGTTTATTTAATATAAAAAGTTTAACTGGAAAAAGTAAAGCATATCTTGTGTCAACACCCCACAATATTCCCAGATTTATTCCTACAGTATGTGCAAATCAGGCCTTCTTAAAAGGTGTTTGTTTTCTGCACTAATGGCAACAATGATACACATAACAGAAAAGGCCAATCAAACATAATGATAAAACTAAATGATAAGATAAAAAATGGGTTTGGTGACTCGTATTTCATGTAATTCTTTTGTTTGGGGAGGAGCGTGTCAAGGGATGGTCTTCCTGTGATATAAAAGGTGCCCAGCTGCTAAGAATAGTTCTGTTTACCTTTTCATACGATGCCGTGGACAGGTAATAGAATCAATGAGTGGAAAAGCTTTACAAAATGAATGTCTCATTTTTCAGTCAAGATGGAAGGGAAACACTACAATGGGTGAATGGACAGAGAGTAACTTAAATGTTAAGCCTTTAAAAAACTTTTTGTATTTTGAATTTATTAGGAACATAGTGATAGAACCCGAGTGAAGGAAGCAGCAAAACCTACATATACCTCTTCAGAGATGGTGAGACTCTTTTCACTTTTGTTTTCTTTCGACTTCTTTGCTCAAGATTTCAGCACCTGGTTAAAGAATAAAATACTATAATTTTCCTAAAGGATGTGGGAATATTGGAGATCCCGGCAGAACTGTCGGCCAGATTGCGCAGTGCAGCGGGTGAGGTCCTTGCTACTTAATAACCAATAAAAGAGCTGAGATTATTGAAGTATTTATTGATTCAGTTGAAGTATAGGTGCTGTATAATATTGCTCAGTTAAAAGTCTAAGTAATTAGTCAAAAAATGCTTTAACTGTAAAAAGGTTTCCATATTTATTTGTGTAAATGTGGCTAAAATCGACTGATGAAAAGCAACCTGTTCACAATTTTCTCAATGGTTTGACCATGTAAAACTCTGTATGTTAAATTGAACGGTGTTTAATTATTAAATGAATCAGCATCTTATGCTCACCAAAGCTGCATTTATTTGATCAAAATGCTGTAAATACGGTAATATTGTGAAAATATTATTGCATTTTAAAATAACTCAGGATTCTTTGATAGAAAGAAAAGCAATTATTTGAAACAGAAATCTTTTGTAACATTATAAATGTCTTAACTGTCATTTTGATCATTTTAATGCATCCTTGCTAAATAAAAGCATTCATTTCTTTAAAAAAAAATCTTACTGACCCACAACGGTTGAACCTATTTTAGCCTATTTTAGACTAATCATTGACCATGTTCATATAAAGGTCACCTGTCTTAAGTACTGAATGTAATTTCACTTCATTGCTTTTTGTAAAAAACTGTGTTTTAGTGACTGATGATCAACATAAGTAAAACCATAATGATATATTCGTATTCCATGTTTTGTTTTGTTTTTTCACATTTTACAATGATGCCTTTTAGGGCGTCCTCAAGGATCAGGGGTGACTGAAGTATCTCTACCAAAGGTCAAAGCAGAACACAACCTCTCATTGCCCCTAGACATTGACAGACACCCTTTCTCCCAATATGCCAACACAGTCCTGAAGGTAAGCTGTTAATGTGAAGTTTAACCTGTTTAGAACTTGAAAAACATGCAAAGTTCCTTCTTAGTTTAACGGTCTTCCACTTCATATACAATGGTCATATATGTGAATCTGTTTAATTAATTTGTTACATCAATTATCTGTTTTTCTCTCCATTAGGACGGATGGTGCCAACCGCAGGGTTACCCACTTCAGAAGTCTTTGACATCTCTGGACCCTGATGATGCCCGTACAGCTCTAGAAATCTATAAACTGGTCAGTACAATGTCTAAAAACATCTTGACACATATAGCAATGTGTTTTGCTTTAGTATTTTAAATGGATCTTTTACCACAGAAGTTCAACATAAACCTTTAACCGGGTATGAAATGCTTGAATTTAAATGAATCCTTCCTAATCTATGCTCTTCCTTAGATCCTGCGTTTCACAGGCGACTCAGATCTGATTGGCTGGCAAGAGCAGATGTTGGGGAACTACATTGTGGAGAAGAGCCAAACTCGGCCCAGCATGCGAGATGAGATTCTATCCCAACTGGTCTACCTCACTTGGGACGGGGATAAAGAGGAGAGTGTCCTGCGGGGCTGGTTGCTCCTGGCCTGCTGTCTGAGTGCCTTCACACCATCTCCTGCCCTGGAGAAACCCTTGCTCAAGTATGTCTTCAGTCATAGTGTCACAAACCCAAAATAGTGGTCTTTAGAACAGGACGATTTTTCTATTTTTATTGCTTGAAAAAAAAAACTCACCTCAGGGATTGGTTCACATTCATCATAATTTAACATTCCACATTATCTACTTGTTGAGAAATTGTATTAACACTTTTAGCCTGTATTAAACTGAAATTTGCATGCATTGACAACTACATGTGTACTAAAGTAGAAGGTTATTGACTTAAATCACTGCAGACTGATACAACGTTGCCATTGATTTATTATTCAAATGAACGTTTCCTGAATAAACTGGACGGATTGCCCCATTGAAATATGATGGAATTAGAGAGTCAGATTCCATATTGATCAATAGATAAATAGTTGCAGAAAGAAGTAATTGCTTCAAAATAAAAATATTGTGTTTTAATGATTGTCAGGTATGTGTCCGACCAAGGTCCAGGGGAGTACCGCTCCCTGTGCCAGCACAAGCTCCTCACATCCCTCCAGCTCCCCTCTCCTGCCTGCAGGCAGCACCCTCCGAGTCAACTTGAGTGGACAGCCAATCAGAGAAAGGGAAAGATGGTGGTGGAGGTCAACACTTTCATTGGTGAGGATTGCAGTTTTTTTTGTAACTGATAACTGGAGTAACTACTGGGTTCCCAGTTGCACTGCTCATTCCAAGAGAGTAACTGATATTAAATATGTTGTAAATGTGTTGTGAGAGTATTGAGCTTATTTGATGTTAACGGTTTTTGTTTTTTAGAGGAAAGGTTAACTGTGGAGGTGGAGTCTTGGACCACAGGGGAACAACTGGCTTCTTGGCTTCTTAGCTACAGGTAGATAAATGTCTTTTTTTGTGGGTGATTTCTTTTTTTAAACAACCAGGTCATATTTCAAATATTCCCAAATACTTTTTAACATAAAGACAAAAGGCCTATTTTGTACGACCTTTAAGATATTTTGTATTGTGACAAAATTGGGCACAGTAATTAAGTTTATTTAAATATTATACCATTGTAATACATTCTCAAACGTTTAACCCTGTAAAACTCTGCATGTTAAAATTAATTCAAGATAATGTGTTTCCTGACTTTGTTGAAATATTTCTTTAATGTTTTTATATGATTACGTTTATTGAATCAGACTCTGTTCTTTTGTTATATTGCATGTTCAGATATTCATACAACAAAATATTAATGTCATATTTCTTTCTGTCAGAGGTCTGACTGAAGCTACACGGGGTTGGTCTGTGTCTCTGTTGGCTGGGGAGGGCTGGACCGACCTGGCAGGCTGTGACTTTGTCATGGATCTCCTGGCTGGAGTGGAGGCTGATGTGCCCCTGGGTCACCCACCTGCTCAAACCGATTACCTGTTTAGTGACACAGGCGACAGGTACGCCTCTGTGGGACTCGAAGCTGACAGTTCAATCAAAAGAGTCTGTGAAATTCTAGTTTAATTCCTTCTATTAATCCATTTTCTCTTTTATAGTTTAATTCCTTCTATTAATCCATTTTCTCTTGTTGTCAGGATGGCAACCACAGACCTGGATGACTTTATACCACCTGCTCCCCCTATGCAGGCCCCTGGTCTCCCCTCCTTTGAAGCATCTCCATGGGACACCTATGAACCCTCTTCCACATCCCAGAGTGAGTGTCCAATCATTACTAGGAAACAGAGAGTAAATTCTGAGTCATTGCTATGTTACATAGCTTTGCACAGGGACGATCAAAGAAATTAAAATAAATGAAAGCTACTGTATGAGGGTTGGGAACTGGCTCACCCTGTAGAGTAAATAAAATGACTGTTTTACTCTGACATTATAAAGGACACTCCTGCAACAATCTTTCTTTTAGGATCTCGTGGTCGGCAGATGGATGCTTATGTTGATGATCTCTTTGATCCTGTGTTTGATCAAGGTCCTCCGGTCAGTATTGTCCAGTTCAAAAACATAAATATTATTGTGCAGTTTTTAGTCATACTACTTTATAGTAACTGAACCTATTACACTTCTTTTAGTGAATTATAAATGAAAAGTGTGCTTGTGCTGTCATTCTTTAAAATAAATGCCAATGAAGATTTTTTAGATATTTATAAATGTTTAAATAGATTTGTAATGGATTTTTTTACATATTCGTTTTACATTATTTTCAGAGATTTATTTATAGATTTAAAATAGGATAAATGGGAGGGATGAAAGCTCAAACGCATGCCACCTGCATAAGCACAGTAGCTCAACCTGTCTAGAGCACATGTGCTTACCACTAGGCTACATAAATATATTATTCATTAAGCCAGCGAAGATTGCATAACTTTGGCACTTATTAACTCTGAGATCTTCTTGTATTGCCTTTTATCTTTGAGGGCTGGCCTGAGGACTTTTTATCTGGATTTTTATTGTTTTTTTATTGATAGGACTTTGAACGGATGGCCATGCTGAATCGCAGAATGAGAGGAGGAGGAGGTATGATGCCCAGCATGTACACCGGAGCAGGTAAAGTTTGTATATGTATTTCATTTGTGTTTAGTGATCGCCTGATAGTCATGCTGATATTTAGAGAGATAAAGGTAAAACAATTTAAAGCTAAGAAGATTGCGGAATTTACAATATTACACAATTTATATACAAATTTTGTATATAAATGTAATATAATAATTTTTTTAAATGTATATGTCACAGTCATGCTCAGTTTTGGTTTCATTCTCTATCAGTTTGTTTTATCACGTGTTTGCCTGTGTTCTTTTGTCCTCATTTTCCCACCATAATCAGTAACCATGGATATTAATTTAATCATCACAGCTGTTCATTATTTAGTTCATCACAATGTGTATTTAAATTCCTCACCTTCACTCATTCTTGGTCCGGTACTGTTCGTGCATGGCACACTGTCTCAAGTTGTTGGCTTATGTTTATTAAAGACTGTCGTTATTTGTACCCTCTTCTTCATCTTTGGACTCAAACCGTTACAGAATACTGCACCAAAAAAGGATTATGGCTCAAGTCAAACAGTTTATTGCCCTTGCCTTGCCCATGCTGGGCTTCCATTGTTTGATTTTCACTTTGCTTTTGCCATATCGCCGAACAAACAGATTTTGATGATGAAACTTTAAAGTCTCCTTTCTGGATAAAACAGATAAACCAATGAAACTGACTTACATGGAGAGAATCAGTTTCTGGTGTCTGCAGTGTGCCTACCCTGAACTGATAACATCTGTGTAACGGGGTTCGTTGTTATGGGAAGAAGGAGGCGGGAACCGGCGAACGTTCAACAAGTTTAATAAAATAAATCAACAAATACAAAAATTAAAGTATAAGCCAGCAGCCCCTCACGGACGACTGCTGGCTACACAAAACAGAAACACAACATAAAATCAGGCCTGTTCCTCTCCCGATCTTCACTGTCGTCGCTCCTCCTTTATGCCTCCGCTCCTCCGTGAGATATGCGAGACCGGTGCGTCTCACACGTTCTCTCACGGCTCTCGGCCTCGTCCTGCTCGCCACATACCCCCATCGGCCCTCGCAGGCCGGGGGGTACACCCGAGACTGGGCTCTACTCCTATGGACAGACGAGGCGAGAGAAACGGAGACGGAAGCATGAGGAGCGACAGATCCGAGAGAGGGGAGAGAGAGAGAGAAAAAAAATCTTGGTCCGGTTCCCGGACACACTGCCGCTCGGTCCTCAGCCAGCTGAGAAACTCACTCGCGGTGTCATGCGATGGTACTGGACATCCGTTGTGGGATGGGAAGACGCTCCTCCGCCTCCTGGCGGACGGCGATGGCTCCTCCGGTCGAGGGCAGCCGGCAGCGAGTCCTCCGTTCCCTGCCCCCATCATGGCCGACGGCAACAGGCTCCGGCCCACGGCGAACGGGAGCGACTCCTCTGCTCCCTCTCGGACGGCAGGCACCCCTCCTCGACCCAGGAGCACGGCAGCGAGGTCCCCGTCCCACCTGCTGTTAAATTGCTCCAGCACCATCGCCTCGGGCAACAATCGGCCGCCATCGCTCCCTCGTGCTGCCCGACCTCCTCAGCACCGCGATCCCCCTCAGCAGCGAGGGCTCTCCGACAGCGTGTCCATCCTTCTTCCAACTTGGTCAGCCCTGCCTGCACCACGGACTTTCAAGGCATCCGCTATGCTTCGTCTCTCCACCCCTTTGGCTTCAGCGGGCTCCACCTTCCCTCCGCCTATGCCTTGGTCCTCAGTTGCACCGGCTCTGACTCAATCCACTCATTGCTGCGGTTCCGCATCACCTCCTGGTCCATCAGTGTCGGCCGTCCCCATCTGCTCTCCGTCTGTGCCCTGGTCTCAACTTCCTATGGCTTCATCTCTGTTAATCATCCCCCAGGTGTTATCAGCCAAAGCTCCACCATGGCTCCTCCCCCCATTGATTCCACCGTGGGATGTCGTCCTGGATGTGCTTTGGACCACCACCTGGCCAGTCTTCCTATCCTCGCCTCCCTGGCTCCTCCCACCATCATTGCCAACCTGGTTCCTTCCACCAGGGCTTCGTCTTTCACCAGTCCTTCGTCCGCCTCCTGAACCACCTCACCTCCCTGGATCCTTCCAAACTAAAAATAAACCAAAATAAAATTCTGAAAATGTGCTCGATCAACTATCAACTATCCAATGACAAAATGATTTATCTTGGCACTAGTATTTATTTTTTAGCTGTAAAGTTTAACCCTCCTGTTACCCATCATTTAGGAATGCAAATGAATCCTGCCATGGCTGGCTATGCTCCAATGATGCCAAACATGATGCAAGCTACCATGCCTATGATGCAGCCCATGCCACGTAAGCATCTCTGCTGCTCATGTTGTGCTTTTCTAATAGTATGATCTGTTAAATGTTTACCCTCTTCCTACTGCTTGATCTGGACTTAGCTATGATGATGCCACAAGCCATGCCACAAGCCATGCCTGCCGCCGCACCGGCTATCAATACACAGCAAATGGCTGCTCAACAGCAGGCCTTTATCAATCAACAGGCTCAACTTCTAGTGAGTTCACCTCAAAAAACTAATTTATATAGTTTATATATATATATAAAACATTATAATGATTTCCCGTATCACATCACTGCTTTGGACCTACAGTAAAAAAGTATTTTTTCCCCTACAGGCTCAGCAGATGACCATGCAGGCAATGACACTGTCCCAGAAGCAACAGCAGGAAGAGATGCGAAAACGTGAGAAGGAGTCACAGAGAAAGTCACCACGCCAGCGACGGCGCTCTCCTCCACGTGCACGTTCACCTTCACGCTCACGCTCACCCTCACCCAAACCCCGAAGCCGCCCCCAGGCAGAAAGAACCATCCCTCAGACTGCGAAAAAAGCCTCAGAGCCCCCTCCAAAGCCCCGCAGCCCTGAGGTAAAGGAACGGTTTTGACCAGTGCCTGTGTTTACTATTACTGTATAGTATAGTAATTAAATGCTTCAGTTTCTTGCTTCTTAATGTTTTCTTTAAGGCGCAGCCTAAAACAGATGTGGATCTTAAGGCCCCGGAAGATCAAGGGTCCTTTCAAGAGAAGAGGAATTTTTTTCAAAAGATTGGTGAGTGGACACTGTCAAATCAAAATCGTTAAAATGGCTAAAATAAGTAGCAAAATTGCATAAGAGATAAGATTTTCACTATCTTTATGCATCTCAGGTACGTCAGAAGCCCGCCCTAAATCTGCGCCAAAGGTTGCTAAGCCACTGATATACGCCACTCCACCGGTGTCCCAACCCAAATCACCTCTTCCAGTAAAGACTGAAGGTCGATATTTGTTTTCTGCTTTTATCTTTTCTTTTCCATCCACAATACCTAGAACAAGTGGTTCATTCTTTATTTTATTTTATTTTTTAAATATTCACATTTATGTAATTATAATGTATTTAGTATGAATTTAGGGCTTGGTGATAAAATGATAACAATAATTATCGCCGCAATATAGTTTTCCTTGATAAAATGATAACGAAAGTTTGATATGTGTTTGATATAATGTTTATGTACTATGCAAATAATGCTGCACAAGCGTGTTGCAGACTGTTGCCAGTACCAATTTGGCTAACTGAGCGCGAGCTTAGAGCAAATGCACTTAGTTTCTGACCATCTCAATCACTTGACCACTACACAGTGCTGTGAGATCCAGTGAAAACTTTTCCAGTTCAGTGCAGAGTTCTCCCATACAAACCACAAGTCAAATGCCTCATGATTTAAACTAGTTTAAAGCCAGATGAAACAACGCTGACATTCTCAATAGCACTGATGTGGAAAACAGGAGAAACAATACAGTGAGAAGGCATTTCAATCCCCAAGTCACCAACATTTATCACGATTTACTGTAGTAACTAACCTATTAAAGTTAAACCATGGGATTGTGGCATAAATGTGGGAAATTCATATTGAATTTTTATTATATTATTAATGCAAACATGTATTAAAGCAGTAATGGAATATAATTACAGTATTTTTTTCATTAAGCTATAGCAGTTTTTGTTCATTTGTATGATACTAAATTTCTTTCAGCTACTGTTTTCATAACAAATACCATATAAACAATATTACTTTTTATCATGTTAGTGAGGTGCAATGCGTGGTTTTACCTGTGGTTAACATGATCCAAATACTATGGAAGAACAAATTTTATTTTTACAGATGTTACTGTTTTTTTTTAATCTAAAAAAACAATGAACTCCCGCACACTATCAATACTTCAATACTATTTTATTAGCAACATTTTGGCATATGGATACACAGATATGCTTGATGAAGGTTGTGAGACCGAAACGTTGCTAATAAAATTTTGATACTCATTTGCAAGTATTGATAGTGTGCGGGAGTTCCTTGTTTTTTATTATTTTAAACTACCCATTTGGTCTTTTTTCACAGGCAAATATCACTTGCAGGTGTGTGATGGTGATTTGCCAATTGACTGTTTTTGTTAATAAAAAAAAAAAAATTTGCACCCTAACTCAAGCTACTGTCAAATGTGCATTTTTAAGAGACAAAACATGAAAATGTTATTTTGTGAAATGTTCACCTGTTTGAAAAGTGTCTTGGTCTGATGATGAACCCACAATTAACTGTATGGTTTCTGCAACTTTAACTCAGGAGCAAAAATCTCCCTTTAAACTTGAAATATAATTTTGACATTTATCGTGAAAATGATTGATATTGACTGATATGAAAAATGTTTTCGTGATAATTTTGTATAGCCATCATCTAAAATTATGTATCTGGAAGCTCATAAACTCTTCTTCACACAGTGAAACCATTCCCAGAACCTCCTGAAAATCAAGAACCTGAACCAGAATCTCCAGAACCCACATCTCCTAAACCAGAACCTACCAGCAACATTAGAGAGATCATTAAGCTGTACCAGAATCGGCCCACTCCAGAACCTAAAGCCTACGAGCCTGTCAGGTGGGCCAAGAATTGACTCTAATTACTTTCCTTATTCATGTTCCTTGTCACATTATTGTGAAGCAATAACTTGCTCCACCTAGAGACCACTCTTCACAATCTAATCAATTCCCAATGGATAAAATCAAGTCCTGCGCTCATTTCTTTCCTCATGTGTCCCGTTTCTCTCTGAAATACGTTGCATTACGGAAGCAAAATGGGCTGCAAACTGTGATTCACATTGACTTAACTGTTACTGAAAACTTGCATAATATTCTGTTGCTTTGATCACTTGGAGTAATTCACAGACTGTAAGAGGTGGAATAATGTGAACTTTGATCTTCACAGGGTTCCAGCCAAGCACTTTGTAAAGAAAAATGACCCCAAAGAAGAGGCACTGGCCATTCTCAAAGCTCAGGGACCTGTCACTAAACAGAAGGTAGATGATACTGACAAGTGGCAAGCCATAATGCAGTGATTTGTCTTTAATTTCTGACCTTTTGAGCTTGAGTTCAGTGTCAAGGATCTAGAAGTTGACCATGAATCATTTATGCATTCATGCTGTAGAAACAGTGGAAAGAGATGCCTCCTCCGGCCCCTGAGTCCCATGGCCCTCGCCCTATCTCCAATGAAATGAAACAGAAGCAGCGCTCACTAGCTGATCTCTTCGGCTCGCAGCGCTCGCAGCGCTCACAGGCTCTGCCTCGAGTTCTTGACCCCATCCCTCCTCCACCTCCCAGAATCCCTGACCCGCCACCGACACCTGCACCTGGACTTAGTAAGTGATGTCACAAATTATTTATGGATCATTCTTAATATATGAATCAAATATCTTTTGATATATTGGAAAAAATATTACATTTACACTTTTAAAAAAGATTGAAATAATATAATTTAGTTTTCTTTAATCACAATTAGCGCAATTAACTGAACATGGTTTGTCCCCAGTATTCCAGGTGTAGATAAAACTTGCAATTTGAAAAGAAATATATAGTAAAAAAAAAAAAGAAGAAATAATCCAGATGTTTCTTGTTATATTTATTTATGAAAATCAAAATATTGTAGGTGTTGAAAAACTAATAATTTATTAAGAATTTAAGAAAATGTATGGTTTTCGTTCCAAAGTGCTCAATTTATCTTTGCATCCTGTTATTTTTTTGTAAAATACTCTGGTGTACACTTTTATAGAAATACTTTAATGTGCAACAAGCATATTCATATTTTAAAACTTCAAGAGTTCAGAAGGCACTGCGCATCAGGAATGAACTATATGCAAATTTGAGGCAAGCTGTGCAAATGTTAAGGTAAACTGAACACATTTGCCAATATAATTGTGGCAAGCAGTACGAGGCCGAGAGCTGTGGGCACGGTGCGAGGCCAGTGGCGCGGGTGTTAATTAGCGTAACCCACACGCCGCACCCTCTTCGAGTTCTCACGGAGGACCTCCAGGAGCATAAAAAAAACGACTACAGTGAAGAAGGAGAGAGGACTGGGCCTGGAACATTTATGTTGTGGTTTTATTATGTTTCTATGCGGCAGTTGTCTACTTTCTTTTTGTGTTTGTTTATCTTTGGATTAAAGTTTGTTTGAACGTTCGTCGGTTCCCGCCTCCTTCTTACCTGAGCCACTAACCTTGTTACAATAATCTTATGTACTAATTTCTCACCCTCTATGTGTTTCTAAAGATCAGTTCAGCTGGATGGCAGAGGAGGAGAGCGTTCGCTCCCAATTGCACAGATTCTCTGCCAGCGTCTACTTCTCCTACCCCAGTATGCCTGCCAAACTCTTCCTGCGCAAGGAGGTATTTAAGTCAAGACTTTGCATGACTGATGGCCTCCTACACAGTTATCACAGCTGTTTCAGCCCTACTTATGTGTATTCATTTTATTTGTGCTGTCTTGAACGCAGCTATTTTATCCCAGAGAAAAATTCAACCACCCATACATCCTTAATTTACTCTGCGAGCAGGTCAGTAGCAAACATTTGCAATATCAATGTTGTGTATAGAATTCAAAGTTTCAAAATGTAAGATATTTTATACTATTTAGTTTACATAAAATTCTGGGCCACACAGTATCCACTATTTTTGTGAACTGCAGATCATGCGAGACACTTACTCGGATTCTTGTCTGAGGATTTCACGTGAGGAGCGGCGTAAAATGAAAGACCTGTTGGGTATGTCAGATGCATAATATTAAAGCCACACCAGTGTAATAATAATTCAAATAAGCTATTATGAATAACTGAACATGGTTTATTTGTGTTTCTTTCTGTCTTTATCACCAGCGAGCTTCCATATCGGAACCAGCATCAGTTCTCTAGATGATGACGCCATGAAGAAAAGAATTGTCATGGCAGCAAGAGACAACTGGTCTAATTACTTTTCACGTCTCTTTAATGTGAAGGTGAAATAAAAATACTTGGCTTTTCTTACATAAATATGCAAACAGAAATTTGTTAAGCAGTCTGAAATGTTTTTGCATGTGTGCTTTAACAGCTGGGGAATGGAGATGCACAGGTTCTGGGAGTGTCTCATCGAGGAATCAGACTGCTGAAGGTGGCCAGAGCTTCAGGCATAAATCCCAAACACCTCAAACTGCTCCACAGCTACAGGTACAGAACATATGAAGAGATGGAAATGTCTTCAAATCATTCCTCAGATGATTTATTTACACTATTGTTCAAAAGTTTGGGGCCTGATGATTTTTGAATGTGAAAGAAGTCTCTTATGATCACTAATAGTCCAGGCAAAGTAGCGTTTTACGACTACTTGTAAAAGAATTTTTTGCTGCATAGATCATTTCTATAAGGTGTCCAGAACAACATACTAAAAGTCCTAAGAAATCCTAGTTGAGGAAATATGTTTAATTCTCATCAATCCGAGATGTGTGCCAATAAGGCCAGACAACAATACATCCCAATGGGGCTATTTTTTTCCTTTACTCCTATCAAAATGAAACTTTACACAATGAAAGTATCCACGAAAAGTAATTTTTTTTGTATTACAAGTTTCTTTGAAAATGAATTTTAATATGCAAATGAGCTATACACTAATCGAATATGCCCCAAATACACCCAAATAGACTTAATTTTTTCCTTTAAAAAATTAAAAAATGTAAAAAATTCTTTTACAATTAGTTCTATTTTTGGCTCCAAAATGAGTTACTTTGCCTGGACTATAAGGCTGCATTTATTTGATAAAAAATACAGTAAAAAGTGTAATATTGTGAAATATTATTACAATTTAAAATAATTGTTTTCTAGTATTTTACTATATTTTAAAATGTAATTTTTACCTGTGATTGAAAAATTTCAGCATCATTACTCCAGTCTTCAGTGTTACATGATCCTTCAGAAATCATTCTAATATGCTGATTTGGTGCTCAAGAAACATTTAGTTTATTATCAATCATGAAAATAGTTGTGTGGCTTAATCTTTTTGTGGAAACCATGATACACTGTGATACGTCTTTGATAAATAAAAAGTTTTAACAAAATAAGCATGTAAGAGTATAAATGTCTTTACTGTCACTTTTGATCAATTTAATGTGTTCTTGATGAATAAAAGTATTAATTTCTTACTGACCCCAAAGTCAAGTGTTGCAGTTTATGTAATCATATGTTTTTACTGTTCAGTTACTCACAGATGTTGTCGGTACAGCAGCAAGAGGCTGGAAAAGTTGTGATCACTTTAAGTAATGAAGAATTGGAACTTCACTCCCAACAGGCTCCACAGATCGCTGCTGTGATTCGTCTCTTCCTCATGGAGCTGATTAAGGTGCTCAGTTAGTCATACTAGCCTCAACACCAATGTAGCTTTAGTTTTTCACTTAAAGTCAACATAAAATCAAAATGGAATTTTCACAAGCATTTAAGGTCCATCATCTATTGTCAATAGTGTAGCCATATAGAAAGCACAACCAAGCAGCTTTCTTGAACCAGTTGTGAGACCTGAGTGGGGAAATCTTTCGTCTTCGCACAACATTTTAGATCATGTGGATTCCTATTAACATCACCTGTGAAATTTACTGACATGTGTCCGCACTTTGATTTTCTCTGCTATCTTGAATAAAGTTATCTGATTCTCCATTTGCAGAACTCAGACTATGTGATCGCTGTGAAGAGCTACGTAACAGATGACAGGAGCTTGCTGAGCTTTCACAGAGGCGATGTCATCAAACTGTTAAACATGGACGGACTCAATGATGGTGAGAAGAGAAACCATTATTTGGGATCGTGGATCTCCATAAGCCTTTCCTAAAAACTACTATGTGTCATTTCTACTCCGTTAGCGACACCAAACAGATTTGCAAAAACATGTTCAAAATAAAATAGTTTTAAAACAGATTTTCCTGTCTTACATTGTTTAGTAAAAGATATATTCCCAGCCCAAACTCATATCATCGGTTGAGCACAAACTTTTTCTAATTTGTTAACACACTAAGGATACAATCAGATTCAAGTTGTATTAGTTAACATTAGTAAATGCACTGTGAACTAACATGAAAAAGCAATGAACAGCTGTATTTTTAACTAAAGTTAACAAAGATTTACAGAACAAATACTGTAACTAATGTATTGCTCATGGTTAGTTCATGTTAGTTAATACATTAACTAAACTTAACAAATGAGACCTTATTGTAAAGTGTTACCAATGTATATCTCAGCTGACAGGGAAAGCTCTTAGAACTTTGGCTAACGTTCTGGCTTGGTTCTCTATGAATAAATGTTCTTCCAGTAATGTTAATAGAACATTCGTTCAAAGTTATCTGATCTTTAATAACGCTATCAAAACATTGGCACAAAAAATTTATTTATACATCATTCATGGAATGTGTTTATGAAACAATTTAGTTGGACGTTAGTCTAAATTTTTTTTAACGTTACTACTTAAAATGGTTCAAATGGTTCATTGAACATTCAAAATGAACGTTCCCATAATACTTGCAAAATTATCAAATTGAGAAAACATTACCTCTATATTTTCTCTAACGTTCACATAACCAAGACATTTTTTTGAAAACATTAAAAAAACTGGACTTTTAAAAAGTTTTAAGAACGTAATGGGAACGTTAGCAAAATTTTCTTAAAACACATTTTTGTTAGCTGGGATATTGAATATCACTTATATTTATATGTATATGATTGATTAAGTTGTACAGCATATAGCATGAAAGGTGTTTTTTGCAGGATGGATGTTTGGTTCCAGTGGGGGCCGTTCTGGACTCTTCCTGTTGGACGTCACTCAGCCTTGTGCCCCACCAGACTACCACAGCAACAACATGGAGCGGCAGCTTGAACGAAAAAAGAGTATGAGATTCACTGGCTCTGCCCTCAACGTACCTGCCAATGGCCCCGTCACCAACATTCCTGTCAATGGCACTGTGACCAACGTACCTGCCAATGTCATTGTGACCAATGTACCTCCCAATGGCTCCGTCTCTAACATCTATGTTGCCCGCTCCGTGGCTACCAGCAGTGAAAACAGTGTGGAGGTGGCATCCATCCACAGATCTGAATCAGAACGTCAGCATTATATCATGACTGAGTTTGCTAGGAAGTTCTTCGCTGATTCTATCACCAGGTAAAGACCTCTGGAAATCAAACTTCAAACAGATGAAATTATCCATAAAATTTTTTGCATCAAACTCCACTGAACACTGATCTGTTTCTCTCTTTTCTCAGACCAAACATGAAAGACAAAAATCTAAATGAGATGGTGGGATACACTCCAGTACGTATGCATCTCTTAGTCTCTCACTCTGTATATGCTGGTATTTTATGAGTTTGTTTGATTCTTTTAGCTTGCTGTGTTTTCTTTTATTAGAATCCCATTCAGGAATCACTGATCCTTTTCTCAGACAATGATCTCAATCGTCTGGGTTGTCAAAACTTCATATGTAAGTGAACAAATGTTATCACAGACATAATGTAAACTCACCCATTATAACAGCATACATTTTGTCAAAGTCAGTGGGTCTCCTAAAATAAAATCAGTACCCCAAAGAGCAAAGGGGTCTTGTATCACCCTGTAGGGGTTTATTTTTTGCGATAGTGACCGACTAACTGTGCATTATCCCACTTTTTACATGGGTATTTAAATTAGTAATATATATATATATATATATATATATATATATAAATTAAAAATAAAATAAACGTATATAGGCTATAAGATTAAAAAAATAAAAACAAAAAGCGGTCATTAAATTTTGTTCTCATTATACCAAAATATTTGATAGCAGATTGACCAATCAGAATAAAGTATAATAAAGAGTATAAAGCAATTAAACTAATAAAGAGAACAAGTATCTGACCCAACGATCTCTTTGTAGTTTTGATGCAGTTTATGTTGGATCAGCCTATGAAGAAAAATCAGACAGAGAGTGACTGTTTAAACTTCATTTTGCAGGTGAGCTTTCCCTCCAAATGTAGAGCATATTCGTTTGAGGGGTATTGTGAATTTGTGCATCTGTAACATGACAACTTGTTTTGGTTTAGCTGGGAAAAGAGAAGGAGTTCCTCAGGGATGAGATCTACTGTCAGGTCATCAAGCAGACCACCAAACATCCAGTCAAGTGAGTGATATTGTGTGTACACTATCGTTCAAACATTTATGGGTAGTAAGTTTTTTATTGTTTTTTTTTTATATACTTGCAAGGACATATTAAATTAATCAAAAGTGACCGTAAAGACATTTATAGTGTTACAAAAGGTTTCTATTTCAAATAAATGCTTTCTATTTATTAATGAATCCAGAAAACTTTATCACAGTTTTCACACAAACTATTTAGCAAATAATAAAATGAAGTTATGTTTCTTGAGCACCACATCAGCATATTAGAATGATTTCTGAAGGAACATGTGATACTGAAGACTTGAGTAATGATGCTGAAAATTCAGCTTTTTCTCAGAGGAATAAATTACCTTTTTAAATATATTAAAATAGAAAACACAATTGTAATAATATTTCACAATGTTGGTAGGCATAAAGAGACTTTTATCAAGAACATTAAAAAATCTTACCAACCCCAAACTTTTGAATAGTAGTGTATATTGTTTTTTGATTTTGTAGGGAGAACTGCACCCGTGGCTGGCGTTTGTTCCGTCTGGTGACTGGATTCTTCCCCTGTTCCAACACTCTCCTTCCGTATTGCACCCGCCACCTGGAGAACATCTTTCAGGATGCCAACCACCCTTTTCAAGGTACGGTATCCACTTCTAACATCTTATTCTGTATTTATAGTGCAAACTTGCTTCAATGATCCCACCAACATGAGCCAAGTTTACATCATGTGGATTTTACTATACAATCTGATTAGAAAGTCATTTAAAACTATTTGTATGTACAAAAAAATAGCAGAGATTGTGATTGTGATTGTGTGCATATAATATTTGTATATAGAACTGGCAAATGTGTGTGCAATGAATCTCAGACGATCACTCAGTTTTGGAGGACGCAGGCACATCCCTTCACATTCAGAGATGGAGGCCATTTTGGTAGGTGAAGACTACCAAAGACTAAGCTAAATATTGAGCAGAGAATGTCAAGGAATGTGAAATTTGTTTCTTTACCATAATATCTGAATCACATGCAGGCTGTGAGGAACTGTCGTCGGCTGCCCATCATGCTGCCTGATGGAACCGAATTTCCCTGCAAGATTCACAGTTTTAGTGTAAGTGAGGGCCCCTCTTTCCATTTTTATTATTTTAAAGGGGTCATATAATGCCATTTTTGTACAAGCTAATATGATTCGTTAGGGTCTAAATTAAAAGTTTGTAATATACTTTAATTAAAAATTCTCATTAGTATTGTAAGAAAACACTTATTTTACCTGGTAAAAAACAGCTCTGTTTTCAGCACGCCGTTTCAGTGCATATGACTTTAAATGATCATGAGCTTTGCTGACTCCACCTCTCTGTTCTATGCGTACACCAGAGCCGGCTCTGGCGTACACCGTTTGCAACACAATAACCATAACACGTTGTTCAGTATAAACGTGGGATTATGCATTATATTGAGAACGTCATACATAGAAAACATGCCGTAATGTACCCTGAGTGTAAACCTTAGACGCATTCATCGTGAAGCGTGCAAGCGATTTACAAGGATTAATATAAATATTAATATAAAGTTTAATAAAACGTTACACTCACTTCAGTTCTTCTGGAGCAGCTGCAGGAACACGAATAGATGGTACCGATCCTTTCATGAGCAGCTTCTTAGCAAAACCAGCTTTATACCTCCTCGTTTATAAAGCAGTCTGGTGTGTGAAATGATTCGCGCAAACATGAGAGCATTGACGTTGCTCGTGGGGAATATTCCCTTCGAAAACAAACTCAGCCACTGCGTCTTCAGCGGTTCGGATTTAGGAACATTAAAATGACTGCTGTGTTCGTTATTACACCCAAGAACAGAACACCACAATCGCTTAGACGCCATTCTGCTCATAGACAGTGCTCCAGCATATCAACAATGACCGTGCCGGTCCGCGCAGACTATGATTGACAGCTCTCACGAGCGAGGGCGGGTCTGTGTTGAAACGCGGCTGTCATTCAACAATCGCGGGAGGGGCGTGCGAGCTTGTGACGTCACAGGCTCGAACGGCTCGATTTGAGGCAGGGGAAAACATATAAGGAGATTAAAACAAAACCACTGGATGGATTTTTATCATTATATGATGGCTGTGTACAGGCACTGCCAACACACATTTCAGTACAATCAACTTGTAAAAGTGCATGTACCATTATATGACCCCTTTAAGATTATGTAGTGTCTACATATAGCGCTATTATGCTTTTCTATAGGTTGCATTTGAGGTGGTACAAGACTTTTGCGCTGAGATGGGTGTCATAAATACAGCAGAAGTGAAGGAATTTTCCATCTATGCTACTAAAAAAGGGGGTAAGATGTCACTCTTGTGCACACATGAATCAGTTTATGCTTTCATACTGTTCTCACAATTAATCACTCTCTTTAGGTGATGTGACACGCCCAATCCACTCCGATGAGTATCTATTTGACTTCCTGCTGGATGATGGCTCGATCTCCCTCTCCTTTCATCGAATAATCTGGAAACAGCCACTCCGGTTCAGCAATGATCTTTACCTGGGGTTCCACTACCAGCTGGTACAAAGTCTCTTTTGAATTCATTTTTACGTGAAACATTACGGTTTTCCTGTTTTACATTAATGATTATTCAAGATTCCAAAATATAATAAATACGGAATGTACCCCCTCAAAAGTTTGGTAACATAATTATTTTAATGTTTTTGAAAGAAGTCTTGTATGCTCACCAAGGCTGCATTTATTTAATCAAATAGACAGTAAAAACAGTCATATGAAATATTTTAATATTAGTTTTCTATTTTTATACATTTTGAAAAATGTCTTTTATTCCTGTAATGGTAAAGTTGAATTTTCAGAATCATTACTCCAGTCTTCACATGATCCTTCAGAAATCATGGCCTTAATCTGTCTGGCCTTAATCAAGGATGCATTAAATTGATCAAAAGTGACAGTGAAGACATTTATAATGTTCCAGAAGATTTCTATTTATTAAATGCTTTAAAGGGTTAGTTCACCCAAAAGTGAAAATTATGTCATTAATGACTCACCCTCATGTCGTTCCAAGCCCGTAAGACCTCCGTTCATCTTCGGAACACAGTTTAAGATATGTTAGATTTAGTCCGAGAGCTTTCTGTCCCTCCATATACGGTATACTGTCCTTGTCCAGAAAGGAAATAAAGACATCATCAAAGTAGTCCATGTGACATCAGTGGGTTAGTTAGAATGTTTTGAAGCATTTTGGTCCAAAAATAACAAAAACTACGACTTTATTCAGCATTGTATTGTCTTCCGGTTCTGTTGTGGATCCGCGTTCACGAGTCCGCAGTGACGCTGATGATGTAAGACGCTGCTGACGTGTATCTGGTGCGTCCGTGTATTCGGGTTCAAATAAAAATGGCTGGGCAAAAAAATGCAAGTCTTCCTCTGTGTGGAAATCCTTAGACATGTTTGCGAAGATTGTTTTGTTTACAGCGTGCGTCTCCCTCAGACTGTGAACGAAGCTCGGGCGCACTGATAACACGTCAGCAGCGTCTTACGTCAGCGGCGGGACTGAACGCGGATTGACAACAGAACCGGAAGACAATACAATGCTGAATAAAGTCGTAGTTTTTGTTATTTTTGGACCAAAATGTATTTTCGATGCTTCAAAACATTCTAACTAACCCACTGATGTCACATGGACTACTTTGATGATGTCTTTATTTCCTTTCTGGACAAGGACAGTATACCGTATATGGAGGGACAGAAAGCTCTCGGACTAAATCTAAAATATCTTAAACTGTGTTCCGAAGATGAACGGAGGTCTTACGGGCTTGGAACGACACGAGGGTGAGTCATTAATGACATAATTTTCATTTTTGGGTGAACTAACCCTTTGAAGCATTGAATAAATGCTTTTCATTGAACTTTCTATTCATCAAAGAATCCTGAAAAAAGTATCACCATTTCCACAAAAATATTAAGCAGCACAACTGTTTTCAACGTTGATAATAATAATAATAATAAATGTTTCTTGAGCACCAAATCAGCATATTATCAAGGATCATGTGACTGAAGACTGGGAATCTGAAAATTCAGCTTTGCCAACACAGGAATAAATTACATTTTAAATGTTCACATATTACATGTTTTTACTGTACTTTTGATCAAATAAATGAAACCTAAGTTTAAATATATCTCATTATCATGTTTGATTGATGCCGGTCATATGTATGTTTTTCAGTTTGTGTCTAATTACCTGCAAGGGAGGCTGTTGCTGCCCATGAACAGCTCTACAATCTACCAGCTGGTGGCAGAGTTGACCGCTCTCCAACACCTTGCACTTGGACTGACTGATCTACCATCCAAGTAATTTTATATATCTCAAGCGATGTGAAGAATCATACCTAAAATTATAAATGAAACTTAGTCATTTCAACTAAGTCAAATCATTGTTTTAAATCTGACACTCTTTATTGGTAATCAATGTTCAAACATCAGCTCTGAGGTAAAGCAGTACCTTCCCCGGAAGGATGGGCTCAACTCCAGTGATGAAAGGCTTCTTGCTACTACACGGGCACAATTTTCTACCTTAGGCCCCCTCAGCCCTCTTGATGCCAAAGCCCGCTTTATCAGTAAGTGAGCAAACCTGTCTAAATGTTCCCATTCCATTTACTGATTTCATATTTTCCAAACAAACTCTTTTACCTTTCCAGAAAGTGTCAGTTCGCTACCTTTCTTTGGATTTGATATATTCACTGCTCAGAAAGTAAGTCATTCCAGCTGCCCCTCTCCCTCGCTGATCGCTGTCAACCATGAAGTTATCACGATCATTGATCCCAAATCACAGGTATCTGACACTCAGTATTCCCATGATGCTTTGATCATCATTGTGTGTTTTAACCATGCTCGACAACGACTAAACTATCACAAACTTCACAGAACGCATGTTTGACAGTGTCTCTAGAGGATGTGCAGTCCTTGCGCTCAATCAGTCCCAAAAAAGACAAGCTGCAATCAGTTCAGATCCTCTTTAGTGGCCAAACTCAACCCAGGACTCTCAGCTTCAATCTAAAGCAGGTACGCGTGTAGATAAAATGTCATGGATAAATATATTACATGTTGTCATTTTCAAAGAGCTGGACGTTTTTAATGAATGAGATTGCTCTTGTTTTTGATCTCTCATTTCTCCCAGGCAAAAGAACTATGCCATACCATTGCTGTGATTATAGAAGAGGTGGTGAAACCCTCCTACAGCAGCATGTCCAGTCGGGCCGGAACCCCATTTTAAACAACCGACAAATGCAAACATCACCTAATATCCCATGACTTACCCTGAGTTCAAATATGTCTCCTGCCATATATCATTATAGACAGTATATTTCATAAATATGTAGAAAAGTTTACATAAGATCAAAGCTAATTCTTACCAAGTGTTTCATTCATTATATCCAGGGTTCTCAACAAGGGATCTGTAAAAATACTAGGGGTTTGCAGCGATGTATACAGCATAAATACATTTTTGGAATGAAAATTGGAATGAACATTAATAATTTGATAAGCATTATTAATGTAGTAATGTTTTTGTTTTTTTGTAATTTAGTATCATTAAGAATTTATACCACCAGATTATTTGTGATTATATTTATTATAAGTCTGACCTGTTTTGTATATGTGTTAAAATCATGTTTAATTATTTGCGTCCAAATAAAAGAAAATGTTTTAGTGAGTATAGAAATTAATGTATTTAAACTATTAAAGTGTAAAATATCTTTTGAAGTGTATTTTTCATCCTTTTCAATAAAAATCACTGATATCTGTCCTCTTCAGAAAACCGAGAAACATCATTCCATTTGTGTGCAGATAAACATTTAAAGAGCACTATTTATCAATATGCATTTATTATAAACCACACATGACACTGAAGATTTAATATTCAGGGTAACTACGTCAAACAGAGGCTCCGCCCTTTGAGTCAGACCGCGGCAAGCCACTGCAGAGCCAATAGGTGGAGCTTGACGTCCAGTTTCCCCTCGCTGGACTTAATGGGTGGAGCAAAATTGTTCAACCACACCCTACCCTACACATAACCCAGAGCCATATAGCCATCTCTTTATATGGCTCTGACATAACCCTATCGCTAAACATAACTCCACCCATTAGGTCCACAGAGGTGGAGCTGTACTGTACCAGGTCAAGATCCACCCATTACGTCCAGAGAGGGGGGGCTGGACGTCATATGGCACTGCAGTGAGCACTATTTGACTTCCCCGTAGTACTGACCAATCACAAAGGACAAAACAAAACAAATCCCGCCTCTCAGATAACACTGACCAATCAGATTCCACTACATCGTCCCTGCACAAACAGACCACGCCCTTCGAGTCACTAACATGGCCGTCAACAAGGGAGCGAGTCCAAGGATTTTGAGACGAATATTATTTGATTCTGCTTAAACACTCTTGATGATTGACGATACTACTTGCGGGTCGTTGAGGTTACAGCTCTATAACGTAAGTTTGTATTGATTTATTGTGATTTGAGCATATAGCTAGTATCATTTAACCCCTAGGCCACCTCTAATTAACTGATAAACCAGTTGTTTGGATTATTTATAAATGGTCTAAGGATGTTTATATATACATTATTCTAACTTTGACAGCTAAATCCAACAGAGATAAAAAGCAGGGTCACAAGGCTCGATCAAACGTTCAACATGGAAGCTGTCTTTCACGTTAACACAGGTGTAATAATCGTAAATACTCTGAAATATAGTACCTCATTAATATAAGTAAATGCAAGATATTACTTCTGCCTTTAATAACTTTATGCAATACCACTGTTTATTTAGTGCATCTCTGTAGTAATATACACATTACTAAACAAATGTCTCTATAGAACTGTCATTTGCTTAGAGACTGTAACGTTAGTTGTTCAGATGAATCCTGCATCATCACTACACTACCTGTAGAAAAAAATAAAGTCTCTGTAAAGTATTTGTCTAATACTGTCTTATAAATCAGGTAAAGACTACTTTCTCTGAATATGTTGGATTTATGAGATTTTAAGTGATTTATTTGGGGTTGTTTTCGGCTATGATGATTAATTACATCTGTGTGAGCCAGTTTACATATTCAAAGTCAGTAAGAGTAAGTTTGCTTGTCTTACCTAGAAAGCTTAAGATTAAATGAGTAAATGCCACATTGTTTGAGGTTGTAGGCTGTAGCCAAAAGCAGTTTTATACATTACTGGCACCCTTATATAATTTACCTTGTTTATTTTCAGATTATATTAAGGTGGCATATGAGGTGGCATAAGCATGTACTAATCTGAAATATAATGGAATATTTATACTTTTGAGAAGTTAAGATGTCCTGCCATGTGACATGCTATTCTCCACCCTAAACTTTTTAGACAGAATTTTGCCAATTTTGCTTTTATAATTATTATGCATGCAATTTTTATTACCATATTAATTTAGAGGTTGTATGGAATATTTGTATACTTGTCACACAGTAGGACCATATACAATAAATTCAAATATATACTCTTTGCCTTATAGACTTGCCTGAATTTTAATCTACAATCTTGATGTTTGTTTAAAAAGAAAAAAGTTCACAGACATGTTGTTTGTCAAATACCCTTATTTACAGACATGTTATTGCACTCTTGTAAGCGAGCATAGGCCAGTGTTACCGACTTTTTTACTTCCGGTGAAAATAGTGGGACCTGGGAAAAATGTGCATGTCTTTATTTGGGAATATGCTTATTGCCATGAATACATAATTTTTCCAGTAACTGCAGCATTTAAACTTGATTTGGATAATGATATTAGTAATGGTGTCATTAACTCTTTTTAATAATTCCATTTGTAACTCTTTCTACCCATATCAGATCCCTTTGAATGTAAGAAGAGAGAAGCCACACCCTCTCATAGATTACAGTTCCCTGGGCATCGACTACAGCCCTGAGAACCGTCCCTCAGACTGGCAGTGCCCGCAGGCGAGGCATCTTGGAGCTGGGGGCCGGGCTGGTATCGGGACAAGTGTGGACCGTAACTACCAGCTCTGGGCAGCTCGACAGAGCATGGTGAGATACAGCGGTTGCCATGGAGCTACAGGATAAGAAACAGGTAAGTTTGCTAGTCTTGAAGTGCTCAGACTATCGATTACCACCGACAATAATTTTGACCCACCCCTCAGTTTGTAATACAAACAAAAGTCACATATAAAGTAGGGCTGGGCAACGATTAATCACATCCAAAATAAAAGTTTTTTGTTTACATACTATATGTGTGTGTAGTGTGTATAATTATTTTGTATATATAAATACACACACATCCATGTATATATTTAAGAAAAATGTGTTATTAATATATCAAATATTTATATTTATATATAATATTAATTATGTATAAATATATATAAAGTATATACATGCAAATATTTCTTAAATATATACATGCATGTGTGTCTATTTATATATACAAAATAATTATACACACTACACACACATATATTATGTAAACACAAACTTTTATTTTGGATGCGATTAATCGTTTCCCAGCCCTAATATAAAGTAATGCAACAAGAGTTTTGGGATATTTTTGGGTATGACTTTATACATACAGTTGAAGACCAAATCATTAGCCCCCCTATGAAATTTCAATTCTTTTTCAAATATTTCCCTAGAGATGTTTAACACAGTATTTCTTATTATATTTTTTTCTCTGGAGAAAGCGTTATTTATTTAAATTTGCCAGGAATAAAAGGTTGCTGCAGGTTTTATTGGCTACAGAACAAACCAGTTATCCAATGACTTGCCTCATTAACCTAACTTGCCTCATTGACCTAATTAATGTATTTAATTTGTACGCACAAGGAGTCTGACAACAGCCGGTGCTCCACACGTAGATCTGATCTCACCATCATTTAGTCTGTCTGTGATTACATGAAGAAACAGAAAAACTGAGACAGACTAAATCCAGAAGAACTGTGGCAACGTCTTCAAGATGCTTGAAGAAACTTAAAGGCTAAAAAGGCTGTAAAATGAGGATGCTTTCAAAAAATAATGTCGTAAATAAATTCAAATCAATATTTGGTGTAAATACAGCGTTTAATACAGCTTTTGTCCTAAGGGCACTTGCACATAGTTTTTCAGGCAGCTTTGCAGGCAGGTTTCTTCAAGCGTCTTGGAGACGTTGCCGCAGTTCTTCTGGATTTAGTCTGTCTCAGTTTTTTCTGTTTCTTCATGTAATCAGAGAAGGACTCGATAATGGTGAGATGAGATCTCCGTGTGGAGCACCGGCTGTTGTCAGACTCCTTGTCCTTGTACATGCAAAAATCTCACTGGATTATTACAATTAATGGCAAAAGGAATGTTTGGAAATGTAAACTGATTTCCTACTGACACACTACAGCAAAATATATAAATAACTGGCTTAATATTCATGTAATATGACATACCCTGAGCATTTGTGTTGCTAAAAACAACTTGAACTCAAATTCAATGACCCTGGGCTTGATCACACTAGTAGACCTTCACTGATTTTTCTCTTTTTTTCATTCTTCTTTGGCATATTTTAGAGCTCTGTTATACTCCATACAGGAAGCGCTGAAAAGGTGGTGGGAATGAAAATATAATTTATAGTTTTTCTCGATCAAGCTCAGGGACGCAAAATAAAAAAATGGATATTTGTTACTACATGTTTGTTTACAGTGGGAGTTTCGTTCATATTCTCCAGTCATGGCGGGTAATTTTGCTCTGAAGTGTCTTATAATAATTAACAGTTCATCTTGAACTACGCCAGATACTTTTAAATGGAAATGGAAGTTGTAGAGGTTGTGTAAGGCATATCGTGTTTTTGACTTTGGACATGAAGAAAAGCTTGATATGAATTTGTGTGTTGTAGTTTAAAATGTGCCTGAAAAGGAGTGAAGTTGGGCCAGAAATTCAGTGACTTTACCTATACCTCGTGGAAGCAGTAGCTTTGTTTCATGTATTAGTATGTTAAAATATTGTACATTTGTCAGCAGTCACATCATTTATTTCACCAGCTCATATATGTACATTTCTGTGATTGAATTTATTGTGAAAATGAATTTATCCTTTTTTTTAATCAATTAAACTCAAGTACCTTAAACATCTAAATTTAGCTGAATTTGGACAGCATCATCAAAGTCATTGGCAGTATGACTTTGTAAGACTGTATGACTGTGTAATTTGGCAGTAATGATGTTGCTGAGATCCCCTTTTTGGTTCTTGTCTTACCTGTATTGATTTTGCTGAGGTAATGAGAGTGTGCTGGGATAGTTGTTGCCATGGGACAGGAACAGCTGGATCTATATATAGATCCAGCTATATATATATATATATATATATATATATATATATATATATATTAACATTTTATGTCATATTTAATATTTTTTAATTTCAAAATAATGTAAATTTTTTCCACTTTATCTTTTTTTAAAATATATTAAATATATATATATATCAATCTGTCTCTTTATTTATGCACATCCCTACTTTAGTAAGGTTGTAGGGTTCAATGAGGATGCTCTTTGTCCTGCCGCACCACATCACTGCTAGGACCGTAAATTGCTGTGTTAGCTGGAATGGATGAATGCCTGGACAGGGCGGCGAGGGCACACCATGCTTTTGCTTGCCTGTCAAGCCCCTTTCCCTCACTTTATTCTCTAATTATTTCTCTCAAAAGCTCTCCAACCCTGATACTTGCTCATCCTCTACAGCTTTTCATTGTCATTTTCTACCATTTTTTGCCTGTTTCTCTTCAGGCGGAGTGTTGCAGCTGCCTCTGCAGAGCTCTCAGAACTGACAAAACCTCCTTTCTTTTCTGTTCATTCTCCTTCAGCGTAACTGTTTTTAGCAGACCTACACACAGTTACCGGCTGAAAAGAACAGTTGTGTTCATTCTCTCTGGTCAATTGCACTGATTTTAATGTGCAATGTTTTTTTAACTGGCAGACTACACAAGGGTGGCTGGGACGTGCCCAAAACAGAGCCTCTGAATGCGCAGAGGCAGAGACTGTCTGTCCAGACCGTGTGACTGGTGCTGAAACAGCAGCATACATTATCCCGTAGCACCCGGCACACTCCTGTCCAGCCCACAGGCGCACCAGTCATACATTAGTCTGTCGGCAGCAGAGGGAGTAGTCGCAGCCATGATCCTGAAAAATGGGACCTGGTTCTGGAAGAATAAAGTGAGTGGATCTGTGCACACTTCCTCTAACAAACTCCGTTGTTTGTGATCTTTCTGAATCCGACTGTCCGGGGATCAACATTTAGGTCTCGTGTGCGAAGGCTTAAGGCTGTCGTTTGCGTGTGATTAATCTCGAGTACCGTGAACAGGTGGAAGTGCCGTGCCAGGTGCATGTGTACTTTTCTCAGCTCTGGGTGTGATTGTGTGGTGCATTTTTCAAGGTCTTGAGTGGTTTACCCATAATGGGCCACCACATGTGATCGCATGTGTCTCTGTGCGAGCTGAAGGTAAATCCCTGCTCGTTGATGTGTGAGAGATGCTCATGAAAGTATTTAGTTCAGGCACTCAGTCTCTGGCTGTGGGAAAGTGGTGTGTTTATTTATAGTGGTGGGCCCTCGTTTGCTACTACGGGACCCTAGCTGTCCCACAAATCCACTGGTAATACTGTTAGGATAGCCAAAATGCGTCAGGGGAGAGGGAGGCTTTTCTTTTGTGACCATAATAGGCATGTTGAGCAATAAAAGTTTCTGCCTAAATAAATAGGTTTGACTTACTGTGTCTGCATTCCCTTAATAGTTTTCCTTCAGTGCTTTTGAACTGGTGAATAAAGCTAATAAAAATAATAATTGTCAATATTGGCTGTGTTTTATGGAATATTACAGGTTAAATACAACTTTTTGAAAATGTCAATTTCTACAAAAATTATTTTAGATTGCTTCCTTCTCAGATTTGGACAATCAGACCAGGTGTAAATGGGTGTGTCAATCCCGTCTACTTGGGATCCGATCGACCAAAAAGCATCTTAATAGCAGGTGTAAACAGGGCCTAAATGTAGCACTAGTAATTATTTATAAAGTATATCTACCTCTTAAACATTGTAGAAGAATCTATAACAATAGGAGCTTCACATTTCTGCTTTTAAATTCTCTTACAAGTGCATTACTAAACATGATTTGTGTTTGTATTTATAAGGGACAAGGAATTATTGTCTGTGGTACTAGACAGCATTCTTAGCGGCCATTCACAGAATGCGTTGTTGCGGTTAAAAACGTGAAAAATGCAAGCTCTTGAGATGCTTTTTTTAATAGTTGAACTTCTTTTAACTTGAATGCCGCGTTTTTAAGAATGCCATGCATTGCGCAAAATGATGCAAAAGACATGAGACTGCAATTTTGGTTTATTAAAATAAAGAGATAAATTAGGGTGAATTATAACCAGGACCCCTCTTGCTCAGAAACATTGCAGTTGTACCAGCAAGTTATACTTCATATTTTTTTATTTATCCAATGAACTTCAATATCCAAGGACCAACATTAGCAGATTTTAATAAAAAGTTCATTTGAGCACTTTAATTCACACAATCTGGAACGGCGAAAGATTTCCTCAACGGGTTCATGTTGTTCACAAAAATCTGCTTGGTTTGAAAGTGACTTCTATGTGAGCTGTGCTTCATACAGTACATTACTACACTATTGACAATAGACAATGGACCTTTTTTTGCCTGTGAAATTTCGCTGATATTTTGGTAATGTGACCACACCTTTAGTCAGCAAGAATGATGTTGAAAGTTGAAACTTAATTTGCTTTTTTTTTTTTCTGTTCATTTCTAAACATTTTTCACATTTTAAAGAAGACCTGTTATCACTTTTATAAGGTGTTTGAATGCAGATGTGTGTCAACATTGTGTTTAAACAACAAGCCTATAATGGTAAAAATTCACCCGCTTCTGTTTTTACAATCCCCATAAACCATAAACAGTCTCTCCAAACGAGCGGTTGCAGATTTCAAGCCCCGCCCATGACTGGTAAAGATCTGCCCTATTAGTGGATTTTTAGATTAATATGACGGTACGTGCTAGTCGATGAGTTGAATCAACTCCACAACAACTTCATACATTTATCCACTAACCATTCAGAAATGTCCAGTTGCATTCTAAAAGATGTATCTTCTTCCAAAGTCTCTCCATCAGTGTCCGACTCCGGTTCGAACATGTTAGGCTGGACACCGCTACTGACAATTTCTGACATTTTTGCTGGTTAGGGGGCGGGGAGCAGCAGCTCATTTGCATTTAAAGGAACACACAAAAGCTGTGTGTTTTTGCTCACACCCAAATAGGGGCAAATTTGACAAGCTACAATGAATGATCTGTGGGGAAATGATCTGTTCAGGCACATTCTGGGGAAACCAGAGACTTATATTACATCTTGTGAAAAGGGGCATAATAGGTCCCCTTTAAATATTTTTAAAACCTAATTAATATTCATGAGCCAAGCCATTTTATCTCACATGTCCCCAGAATTTTTAAAACAAAGTGACTTTCATGGATTGATTGGTTTGGTTGTGCTTGTAGGAGGAGGAGGCGACTCCACTGGGACTGTCCACGGCTCAGGCTCTGTGCACCCTACGGGACCAGCTGTCCAATTTACTGGGGCAACACCAGAAATTCAGCCGGCGAAGATACACGATACAGGTCTGTTCTGGATTATTCTCTTATCATCACAGTTAAATTAGTTTTGTCAGGGAAATCCTGATTTTGGTTTTACTTTTCGTTTTGCAGGAGCTGTGGGCTAAGAGCTTCCTTCACCATGACGACCGGCATTCGTGCTTCCATTGGCCAGGAGCTGTTCTCACTCTGGTTGTGGTGGTTGGGCTGTTGTGTTGTCATGGCAGCCAGCCGGAGGGCAGGTGGGCAGGGATGGTGCAAAAAACTTTTGAATGGATGTTAACAAATAGTTGGGATTAGCACTTTGTTATTTTGTTTTATGTAAGCTGCTTACCTTTTTATCTCAGTCAAGGCATAGAGCTGGTGAACGCAGGTGCACTCTTCCTCCTGCTGCTGCTGAACCTCTTCCTCATCAGACGGCAGCAGAGGTTACGGACCAGCGAGATGGTGCGGAGGCTCAAGTCCATCATCTCACAGCTGAACGGTGAGCGGAGCAGCGAGTATATAAACATCTAAAGGAATCAGTCCTGCTTCAGGAAGTAATGATGGTTATGCTAGGCTTCATCCATTAATTTACATTACATTTCAACGCAATGCTAAATATGCTTTTATTTAACTGGAATTATAGTATGGTTCTTCATTCTGTCATTATTTATTCACTCTGATGTTGTTCCTTTTCTCTAGACTTGTCGTTCCAAGTTTTAATAAGTTAATGTTTCACTTTTTCCTCATGGGTTCCCAGATTATTTGGAGAGAAGTGCAGGACATCCAATTAGATGGGCCCCCTCTTTGTACCCTGACCTCTACACTCCCACCTCCACTTCCTGGTCACTGCATTGGACGTTCAGAGATGAGCAACTGGTCAATCTACCTATCAGTCTACTGGTGGAAGGTGATGTCATCGCTCTTAGACCAGGCCAGGAAGCCTTTGCATCTCTCAGAGGCATCAAGGTAATGTCAGATCTGAATTACATGATTTTTTGTTTGTGTATTGTGTAGATTTATGGATGACTATATGCATAACAATTTTAGATTTCATTTATATACATAATTACCATGGTAAAGGTGTTATTGTAGTATTATTTATATACTATTACAGCCTTTTGTAATATTTTGAATCAGATTTTATTTTTTATATTTTCATTTTAATTGATTTATGTGCTTTTGTCATTTTCATAATCTTTTAATATTAGCTTATTAACAATAACAGGACTGCATGGTAACCATAGTTATTACAGAGATTGTTACTGTGACACAATCACAGCCAACCAGGAAGTATTTGATATTTAATGTTTAACTTTATTTGTGGAGTGGGATGCTGGACCAATTTCAGTAGGTTGACTTATGACTTGTAATGCAGCCTGAATCATAATCATACACTGTTTGTTCGTTCGCCAGAGGAGAACTGGCCCCCCGACTGAGCCTGGTTTCTCCCAAGGTTTTTTTTTTTTCTCCATTTATGTCACCTGATGGAGTTTGGGTTCCTTGCCACTGTCGCCTCTGGCTTGCTAAGTTGGGGACACTTAGTATTCAGCAATATTGCTGATTTGACAGCACTGACACTATTACATGAGAACTGAATGATGGCATCACTGTTTTCTCCAGAGCTGCTTTATAGCTGAATTGAACTCATTCCATAATTGATGGACTTTACACAGTTATTGAATCAACACTGAACTGATTTCAGCTAAATAACGACTGCTTACTAATGTCTTTTTAGAGCTGCTTTACAGCAGAATTGAATTCAGTTTGCATCATTGAATTGTTATTTTCCTGTTTATCACTATAAATCTGCTTTGAAACGAACTGTATTGTTTAAAACGCTATATAAATAAAGGTGACTCGACTAGGCAGGGCTACATAGCGTGATGCCCTTGAAATAGAAACAAAGCATTGCAACAAAATGTTCTCTCGCTTATCGTGGCTGGTTAGGAAATAGTGTTGCACTATTTCAAGGAGATCCAGTATTAAGCTATTATGATTTAACTGAAGTAGCAATAACAGTATGAACTATATACTGGTATTTTGTACTGGAATCTGAAACGGTACAAAAGAAAACCTTGGAGAATAAGAGTGTTTCTCTCGGGTTCTCTGGCTCTTTAACTCTGTTCTTCTGAATCACTGAATCTTATGTTACTAGGACGACGAACACATCGTGCTGGAGCCTGGAGACCTTTTTCCGCCGTTCTCCCCTCCTCCCTCCCCACGCGTGAATGAGCGGAGGGGCCCCCACAGTCCTCAGCAGTACCGCCTCTTCAGGGTGGTGCGCACACCTATACTCGACAGTGTCAGGTTAATACCTCAGTGGAGTCAAACAAGTAGACTTTTTGTTTTTCATGCCGCCTTTTTCTTTTGTGATATGTGAACAATTTTATTTTCTCACACTAGTAACTAATCACCTTTTTCTGGCCAATAGGAACAGTCTTGACCTGGCTCTCTCCCGTCCAATCACAGCCCTCGATAACGAACGGTTCACTGTGCAGTCCAGTATTGCCAAATTCGCCTGTCCTGCTGTATTGGTATGATAAAACTGAAGTTTTCAAAATGTGTCACAAAGTTTCACATGTTGTATCTGCAGCCTGTCTACATCCATTTTGACACCCATATGAACAGATTTCTGTATTCACAAGTAGTATGTATGAGTTAAACTGTTGAGCCTGCTGAATTCTTCATCCTAAACCTATTTATCAACCAATCTTTTGCATATTATCTTGTATGAAGGAACGTACAATCATCTGTTAGTGCAAAAGCTTTTGCAGCACTCACATGCTCCAGATGCAAGAAGTGTAAAGTGGGACTAATGTTTATAACATTTACAAATTGTCTGTTTGCTGATGATGATCTTTGGTCAACTTTTTCATTTATAGGTGGCCTTTTTCTCTATTAACACGATCCGGTACTTCTGTGACACTCCTGGTCTCACCCCTGGACCCTTCAACTTCCTTCAGTTGCAGGTTGATAATAGTAAATCACAATGCATTTGTTTGATTTTTAAAAAATTCAGAACTGCTTTCCCACTCTGAAAATAGTAAATGTTAGGATAAGGTTATCACTCTTCTTCATTTAATATATACATTTTTATAATATATATATATATATATAATACTAGGCCATAATAGAGATTGGGTAAATTACATTTTTGCACCCTTGAAGGGCATTGTGGGAAAGGGACAATACTCGTATGATCGTTCCAAACAAAATCAAGCAACAAAAATGCTTTCCACGAGGCTGTTTGTGAAATCTAAATACAATGGTCAATTTAGGAAAGCAGTTTTGTTGTTATGGCAGTGAGATCCTGGTAGCACATCCTTGTGATATGTTATGAAACCTGAGGTATTTTATTTATGATTGTTTTTTTTAAAAACATCGTTCAAACACTGGTTATCAACCACAGGGCCGGGGCCTCATCAAATTTCCAAGAGCCTCAAGATCAAAACAAGCTATTTTTTATGCTAATTCATCCCTTTTTTTAATGAAGAATCAGGGTTCCCACTGTCTTCACTTCTCCAATATGAGGTAGCCTTATTTTAAAAGGTGTGATTTCTAGACCTGGAAAAGTAATGTTATATTCGTTATAAAAATACCCATGGATTTATAAGATTTTATTAATTTACATTTTATGCCAAGCTCTAAAAAGTTGTATCAGGTAGAATTTGTGAGTAAAAACTGGTGTTAAAGGTTTAGTTCACCCAAAAACAAAAATCTTTTTAATGAAATCTGAGAGTTTTTAGTCTCTCAATTGACAGCCTACGCAACTACCTCTTTTAAGCCCCAGAAAGACATCATAAAAGTAATCCATATGACTCCGGTGGTTTAACCTCAATTTTATGAAGTGACTCGAGTGCTTTGTTTGCACACAAAAAAACAACATAATTTCACGTTGCTTCATAAAATTGAGGTTAAACCACTGGAGTCACATGGATTACTTTTATGATGCCTTAACTAGCTTTCTGGGGCTTGAAAGTGGTAGTTGCGCTAGGGGTAGTTCAACTCTCAGATTTCATTAAAAATCATTTGTGTTCCAAAGATGAAGGAATGTCTTACGGGTTTGGAACGACATGAGGGTGAGTAAATGATGACAGAATTTTCATTTTTGGGTGAACTAACCCTTTAAAAATCCTTATTCTTAATCCTTATCCAGTGCCATGAGGCCCTGGAATAATTTTGTGCCCAGTGGGGGGCCTTGGAGTCAAAAAGGTTGAGAATCGCTGTTCTAATGTATCTAAGGACTATTATTGGTAAATATTCCGAATCCGTACATATTTCAATATTTTGCATGTTTTTTTTTTTTTCAAAGACTGCACAGAGAGACATAATAACTAGAAGTTAAGACACGACATTTGATGCAAAACTTTTATTTGGCACAACAATGTTGGTATTAATAGTGAATTTCGATCTTTCTTTCTCTGTCTCTCTTGCTCTCTCTGATGAATAGATGATGGGTGTGTTGCCTATTTTACCTCTTCTGTTTCCTGTCATGTGGGTTCTGGTCAATGCGTATGGAGAGGCCCGTGTGTTAGCCGAGTCCAGCCGTAACTCTCCCACTGGCCTGGTAAGACAGACAGACAGAACACCACATATTCATTCCACTCACTTTTTGCTGTTCATTAACAGTTCTCTCTCTCACACACATATACACACACACACACACACACACAAGCAGACACAAAACATACACAACTCTCATAACTCCCTAATCCCACACCTACGTATATTGCTGCTAAATTATAACTCGCTCTATCTATGATTACTGTGTGTATTAACTTTGATTTGCAGCCATAACACTGCATGAGGAAGTAAAGCTCATTGGCCAAGCTCACACTAGTATTAGGGAGGATTAGGGAGGGATTGCAGAGCCGAGGTGAAGCGATCTGGCCAGAGTTGAAACGGAGAGCTGATCATCTGCTCAGGTGTTTAATCAGACTTTTTTCTTGTCCCAGCTTGCTAAGTTCTCTGAGGACACTCTAAGCAGCTACACGGAAGTGGTGTCCTCCCAGGTATATCCTCTGTATTCCTCCTCTCCCACCTGTTCACCACACGCTTCTTGTGATCCTTCTCCCTTGCTCTGGACCCTCCCACAACCGTCATCCTTTTCTTCACCTTTTTGTTTTCTTATTTTTACTCATGTCAACTATATCAAAGGATCACTATAAAAAGAGCCTGTTATTTTATTTATTTATTTGCCTCACCACCATTTCTTTGTTTGTTCTCATTTTTTTTCTTTTAAAAGACTCGGCCACTTCATCTCACTTTGTTCGATCAAGTTTGCAAAATCAGCCAATACTCCCGCAATCTTTATTATTTATTTGCATATTTTTTGCTTCTTGCGCTGCCGATTAGTTTGGCTCCCCCACACTGACCTGTGACCCCTTGGCCTTTGCCTGCCCACCTTCTGCCTGCCTGAGGTTTGCATGATAGAGTATATGCTCTCTCTATAGTGGTGGTGCTTGTCTGGACTACATTTTTCAATGAATGTACATTTGGAGAACTTCTGCATGAACAAGACTCTTTTTTTCCCTTTCAAATTTCCAAAGTATGGTAAGTATTTGTCTGCATGGACAGATCAGACATATGAACAGGCTGAAAGTATTTCTGCTGTGTGTTTTTTGGTTTAATTTCTTATTTCAAAAACTTTGTAATACAAACAGGAAGGTTTTAAGAAGTTTGGTCTTTATAAAATTCTAATTGGTTTATCGAACACCTGTGTGTGTGTGTGTGTGTGTGTATGTTTTGTGTGTGTGAGAGATTTTGTGGCTTTTTGTGAAGATGTCGGTTTAGTCATCTGTATACTACTATACTCCATAGAGTTGACATACGTAGTTAACTTTTTAGCCGAAATATTTAGATATATTTTTATAAATGCACTAATGTTCAAAAGTTTGGGGTCGATGAGGTGTCCTTGATCATAAGTCTCTTATGATCACCACCAAGCCTGCATTTATTTGATAAAAAAAATACAGTAAAAACAGTAATATTGTGAAATACTATTACAGTTTAAAAGAACTGTTTTATATTTTGACATATTTTATTGTGTAATTTATTCTTGTGATGGCAAAGCTGAATTTTCAGCATCATTACGTCAGTCTTCAGTGTCACAAGACCCAGTTCAGAAATCATTCTAATATGCTGATTTGCTGCTAAAGAAACATTTCAGGATTGTTTGATGTATAGAAAGTTCAAAGGAAAAACATTTATTTAAAATATACATTTTTTAATGTCCAATAGAAGGCTCTCCATTTTTACAAATTGTCTGAATGGAGCCATATGTGTGAGTTTGCCTAATTACCTAAATAGCTCTTTGGTTGTAAGTTGACATTATCTAATAGCTCACACGGCCTAAGAGATGTCATTGGAAAAGAAAAGTTGTTCCATGGGCGGACTAACACCTTGTCTACACCAGACGCGAGTGGGGTGCCACGACAAAAGTAAAGCGAACCCATTATATAGACACATTGTGAGTCATTACGTTTTGATGAAGGACAACTGTTTTTTCTTTAGAATTATGTGCACTGATGACACATTCACAATGAGACCAGAAACATGCATTAGGAAACTAATTGGTGTCAGTTTTGATTTCATGTTGACTTTAAAGGTGGATTCATGGACATCTGATGTGCGTCAGATATATTCACCTGCAACTAACTGTGTTCAGTTCATGCTTCACAGTGCTGCTCTCCTGTAGCTGCTGCCTCAAGCTTTCATTTGTTTGCTTCAGTTTCAAATCTTCTGTGATTCAGTCAGTTCAATTTCTCTCTCCCTTTTGCTGCTGCAAGGTGTATTTATCTTTATGAAACACTTCTAAATATCTGAATGCACCAGAACAAACCCAAGACTGGACATGCTACTGCTGCTTTTTCCCCCCTGCCTAATTCTTCAAGGCCTTGTCTTATAGATCTTCTGTTTGTGTGTGTGTGTGTGTGTGTGTGTGTGTGTGTGTGTGTGTGTGTGTGTGTGTGCGTGCGTGCGTGCGTGCGTGCGTGCGTGCGTGCGTGCGTGCGTGTCTCTTGTTTGTTAGTTTGTTTGTTTGTTGTGTTTTGTCAGTGGATAACATCTAGGTTTCATAAATTCTGACTCTTTTGCAGAGCCGTTCGAAACCCAGAGGTGCTGATGCATGTATTTGAGTTTCTGTCAGGGTAGATGATGCGACTCACACCGTGTGTGTGTGTGTGTGTGTGTGCAATTCTGTGCAGGAGATGCTACGCTGTGTGTGGAGACACCTGGTCAGTGTGCTGAAAGGAGAGTCCCAGACCCTCTGTTATACCTCCAGTCTGCTGCACTCGTTGGGTTCCGTCACTGTGAGTTGGGTTCTCCCCCTGTGTCACATAAACATATTACACTTTCTACTTGCAATTTGATGAAAATAAAAAGATCAATATTCACTTTAAAAATAAATTCTAATTAAAAGACCAGTCTGTGCTATTTTCAATCTAATTATCAAATTATAGCATTACCGTAACTGCTGTAGACACTGAGGAGGGCCGTTTTCCTCCTCCAATATTTAAAATAGTGGTCAATCAAAATGTCTTTTTTAATAGCAGGAACATTCTATGAATTTGGTCCCATTCCGATTATTTAACATTTCTTTACATCCTTGAGATACTCCATCTGTATTACTTACCCCAAACAATAATTACGACACATCCCTCAGTATGTATAAACAAATATCAAGAGGTATTTACAGTAAATAAATATGCTTATATTGCAAGAGGGCATGCATGCAAAACCGCAAAAAGTCTAAATGTTCGAAAATATGAACATATGTGAAAAATGTATTTAAAATAAAACATGCTACATACACTCTTCAGCCACTTTATTAGGTACACCTTTGGTTCTTATTGACATGACAGCATCACGCAGTTGCTGCAGACGTGTCGGCTGCACACCCATGATGCGAATCTCCCATTCCAACACATCACAAAGTTGCTCTACTGGACTGAGATCTGGTGACTGTGGAGGCTATTTGAGTATAGTGAACTTATTGTCATGGTCAAGAAACCAGTTTGAGATGATTTGAGCTTTGTGACATGGAGCATTATCCTGCTTGAAGTAGCCATCAGAAGATGGGTACACTGTGGTCATAAAGAGATGGACATGGACAGCAACAATACTCAGATAGACTGTGGTGTTTAAATGATGCTCAATTGGTACTAAAGGGTCCAAAGTGTGCCAAGAAAATATCCCTCACACCATTACACCACCACCACCAGCCTGAACTGTTGTTACAAAGCAGGATGGACAAGGCAACATATTTCCAAACTTCTATTGTCCAATTTTGGTGAGCCTGTGCAAATTGTAGCCTCAGTTTCCTGTTCTTAGCTGACACCCAGTGTTGTCTTCTGCTGCTGTAGCCCATCTGCTTTAAGGTTCGACGTTGTTTGCGTTCAGAGATGTTCTTCTGCATACCTCGGTTGTGACGAGTGCTTATTTGAGTTACTGTTGCCTTTCTATCAGTTCAAACCAGTCTGGCCATTCTCTGACCTGACATCAACAAGGCATTTTCAGCCACAGAACTGCCATTTTCTGTAAACACTAGAGATGGTTGTGTGTGAAATTCCTAGTAGATCAGCAGTTTCTGAAAAACTCAGATCAGCCTGTCTGGCACCAACAACCATGCCACGCTCAAAGTCACTTAAATCACCTTTCTTCCCCATTCTGATGCTCATTTAGATCTTCAGCAGATCGGCTTGACCATGTCTACATGCCTAAATGCATTGAGTTGCTACCATTTATAAATACCATATATTTGAGTTAACGAGCAGTTGAATAGGTGTACCTAATAAAATGGAGTGCATTTAAAATCAGTTTGAAATGCATTTACAAATCATTTTAAAAGAATGCCATATAAACATAGCATATGTTGTATTGCGTGACATAACTAGCGAAGGACATTCATTAGTTATTAAAATATACTTAAAACGTTTTACCATTCTCATGCTTGATAGGAAATGTATGTAGTTTAGAATTTATTCCCCTAATATTAATTTAAATTCAAAGAATCATATGCTTTATTAACTGATAATGAAGTATCTTGTTTTATCATATGTCCTGACCCACTCATAGGTGCTATGCTGTGTGGATAAGCAGGGTATTCTGTCCTGGCCCAACCCCAGTCCTGAGACTGTGCTGTTCTTCAGCGGACGAGTAGAGCCTCCTCATGACAGCCAGGATGACCTCAGAGACGACCTGTCAGTCAACTCCCTCTGCAGGACAGAGGGCGAGGAGGAACGAGATGAGGTACTACTGATAGCTAGACTGAAGCATCATAATTACAGTTTCTTTTAATTATGATCATTTGAATCAAGTTAGTTCAGAAGTTTTGAAAATATATAATTAATACTGCATAGGGATGGACTTGAATAAGTTGTTATTTTAGCGTCTGTGTTTTGTCTCCCTTCAGTCTGTGTGTGTGTGGTTTTTTTTTCTTCCTGTTTAGCCTCAGGAAGGTGAAGCACTGCTGTGTTTACCAGCATTTGAACCCTCCCTTCACATGGCCGAGCAGGAACCCAGTGAGACGTCACATGACACCGCCCGTTCCTCGGACACTCAACGCCAGCGACGAGGACCCCAAACCACCCGTTCCAAACACCCATCGGGCTCCAACGTCAGTTTCAGAGATGACACTGAGGGTGGAGACGACATTCCTCAGGTAGGACTACTCCTGCAGAGCTAGTTTAGCTCATGACTATGCACTTGTGTTCATGTGTTTTGTGTATGTCTCTATTTCCAGCCATGCGGTGTGGGTGATGATCTGTGTGAAGCAGAAGATTTTGTGTGTGACTATCATCTGGAGATGCTGAGCCTGTCCCAGGATCAGCAGAATCCCGTCAGCATCCTCTTTGATGACTCCGGTTGGCACAATCACCTGCCCTCTTTGAAGCCCCTTGGCCTGAACATCCTGTTAAACCTGTGTAATGTCACCGTCACCCAGCAGCTCTGCCGATTCTCAGATCACCTGTCCAACCTGGCGCTGCAGGAATGCCATGGGGCGGTTCTCCCCGTTCACGTTCCCTGGGGCCTCTGCGAACTATCTCGCCTTATAGGTAAGTGTGAGAGGCATGTTAATAAACATACATGGTCATGATTATTATTTTTTGCAGATTTATTGGTACAATTTATTGTTTTTGTAACTATTGGTTATTGGCAAATAGCATTTCTTTTACTAGTTATTATATTGTTGTGATTTTTGGTTGCTCAATAATCTGCACTTGGGTCTTTATTCATTCTGTACTCTTGTAGTTTCTATGGGCTCCCCGTCCCAAGATTCCAAGAATATAACAACATAAACAACATTTTTAATTTCAAACAATATAGAGATTTAAAATCAATTGGCAAAATCCGTACCTAATTATTGGTCAGCATCTAGTCTGGCAGTGCTTCTAGTCAATTGTAATGTTAGATTAATTGTTGTATCTTCACATACTTTAGTTAGACCCTTCTTAAAATTACTGAATTGTTGTTTCCTGTTCTGTTGTATGTCAGGTTTTACTCCGGGAGCGAGAGAACTGTTTAAGCATGAGAATCATCTGGCTCTGTACCAGCTCCCTTCAGGAGAGAAGGCCAAAGAATCTGCCCCTCGACGCCTCCATAACTTCACTAAACGCCAGCCCCCCATCAGTCACCTCATCAGTCTGTTTGTTAGGGAGAGCACTACCAGTACGGCCCTTTTTTTCTGTCCCACTTCCTGTTTATCCGTGGCGGTTTGTTTAGTCACTGACCTTTGTCTTTTGAACTCTCTTCAGATAATGTGCAGATGCTCTCCCACGGCTCGGCCGACCTCATCCTGGAAGCCTGCACGGATTTCTGGGACGGCGCAGACATCTATCCGCTGTCTGGCACTGATAGGTCAGAGACACTAATTAAAAGACTGACACTAGTTATTCAGTTTTCTTAAAATGCAGAGTGAAGAATTTTGTTTCCGTACTGAAGTACTGTTCTTATGCCCCATAGGAAAAAGGTTCTAGATTTCTACCAACGTGCCTGTCTGTCAGGATATTGTTCTGCATTTGCCTATAAGCCTATGCAGGTGGCATTGTCTGAGCAGCTCAATGGAAAGTGTGTGGAGCTGGCTCCAGGCCCTACACTCTTTTCTGGGGTGGAGCTTCCCAGTACCACCCCCATCAAACACGGCAGCCGCAGGAACAGCTGGAGCTCTGATGGTGAGAGACATGGTCTGTTCAGCTCATGATCTGGACAGTAAAGTGAAAATATATATATCTTGATACGATATGATTGTTTGTTGATGGTAGGTAGATAGATTGATAGATATGAAAGATGGATGGATGGATGTATGGATAGATACGTAGATAGATATGAAAGATGGATGGATGGATAGAAAAATTCATAGATAGATACGTAGATAGTTGGATGTGTAGATAGAAAAATAGATACATAGGCAGATGTAGATGTGATCTAGATATGTAGATGGATGGACTGACGTATAGATATGTTGATATGTAGTTAGATGCATAGATAGTTATATGGATAGATAGATAGATAGATAGATAGATAGATAGATAGATAGATAGATAGATAGATAGATAGATAGATAGATAGATAGATAGATAGATAGATAGATAGATAGATAGATACATAGATAGATACATATATCAAGCTTACCAACTCTAACATACATATGTACTGTATGTGTTTCAGAGGGTATTGGAGAAAGTTTGGAGAAGGAGGACTGTGTTCAAGCTCTGAGCGGCCAAATCTTCATGGGAATGGTGTCATCCCAGTTCCAGGCCCGTCTGGACACTGTACGGCTAATTGAGAACCTGGTGGGAGCCTGTATCCGCTTTGTGTACTTCTCCATGGAGGATGAGCTACGTAGCAAAGTATGACAACGATGGGAAAACCAACTCGGTGAAAACTTGATGTATTTGGGATTTACATGTTATAACCTCTTAATGTTGTCTGCCTGTAGGTGTTCGCTGAGAAGATGGGATTGGAGACGGGCTGGAACTGTCACATCTCTCTGACTCCAAATGGAGATGGTCACTGCGATGGTGCTCCGTCCAGTCCTAGCCAAGCAGGATCCTTACATGACGACCTTCTGCAGGGTAATTGTGCCTTCCTGCCTGCCTGCACACAAAGTTTACATAAACTGCATTTTCACCCAATGTGAAATTTATTAAAATGAATCATCATCTCTCTGTTCTTAGATTCTCGTGATGATGCAGAGGGCCCACTACTGCCTGAGGATCAATCAGATCTTGCCAGCTTCCAGCCTACTGACAGTGATGTGCCCAGTTTCTTAGAAGACTGCAACAGAGTAAGCAGTCTACTCCAATAGCATGTTGTCACATCAGACTTAGTCTCAGCCTCAGACGTCACGCCCACGGAACGTTGGCTAAACGTCTGATGCATATGGTACACTTAACTGGAAACACTTCAGGAATGTCGAAGTCGTCATCTGATTGGTTGAATTTTATCGGATTTCGGGGGGGCGCGAGTGTCAAGTTTATTTTCGGTCCGCCGGGAAACAAAGCTCAGACGTGTGATTGCGGAAGAAAAACTGTTGTTTTTACATTAGTGACAATGAGCATTTATCAAGATCAGCTAAACGTAGGATTCTCAAAAGTATGCGAGGTTCAAGGCATAGACTCTTGAAGTTTTCTTCTCCTTCTTTGATTTTCTATGCTGACTGACTTGTTGCACGCCGGTCTGTTGTTGTGGGGAGATTTCCACGCCCTGAAACGTGACGCTGAACGAAAACAAACTGTAATTGGTTGTTTGACATGTCGGTCAAACGGCCTTATGGGCGGGCCTTGGCCAAAGAATGCTGCTATGAATTCCAGACCTTCAGCCGTCAGTCTGAAGGTCTGGCTACGCGAGACTACATCAGACTCTACTGCCAAATTTACAGTGCAACGGTGGCACAGAAGCGCTTCTGAAGTGGCATTTTGGTGTCTTTACACAGACTGTTTAATGTTGCCCAGAGGTGGCATAAATGCATTTTTACTTCAATTACAACTGTATACTTTGATGCTTGATTTAGTCTGGATTTTTATGTGGCATTGTATCTTTACTCTAAATTTTGAACAGGCACAGAGCAGCCTTGCAGTTGCGAAAAGAATAATTGGTCCTTTTTCCTTTCTGTTGTTCTGTAGGCCAAACTGCCTCGTGGCATCCATCAGGTTCGTCCTCATTTGAAGAACATAGACAATGTGCCTCTACTGGTGCCCCTGTTCACAGACTGCACCCCTGAAAGTGAGTCAGCCTCAAGACCAGCTTTAAAGTCGACATGAAACAGAAGTTGCGATCATTTTTTTCCCCTCATTGTGACATACTGCATATTCGAGTTAAAACAGCTTCTCGAACGAGAAAAAATGTAGGACAGGAGTTGATTTTGTCCATGGGGAATCGATTGGATCATTGTCGTTTGTTAATTACTGTGATCTCATGTGAGTGACAGGTTGCTGGAGGGGAGGGATTATTGCCCCGTCAGAGAAGAGATGTTGTTGCGAGGGGGTGGGGACATTATTTTGATTAAAGATTAGGCACATGAATTTAAGAAAAATAATCATTTATAATAAACACTGGTATATTCCATAACATTTTTTATTTCATGGTGACTTTAAAGACACCTTGAAAATTAAAGTTTTGTGGTTTTTAGTCCATGCGTGTTATATCCTAGTGTGCTTGCGTTGAGCCCTCAAATGTTTGTCTCACAGCAATGTGTGAAATGATGAAGATCATGCAGGAGAACAGAGAGGTGACGTGCTGTTTGGGGAGCTCCGCAAACTTCCGTAACAGCTGCCTTTTCCTGCAGAGCGACATCAGGTGGGTAGCACACACATCACTGTAAACCACAATTAAATATGACCTATAATGTTATGCAAAGCTACAGTCTAAATAATGGCAATTTTCAAGAAGCTTAAAGATAGCTTTGAGTTTTTTGTCTGCATAATTCCCATTATTTCATACTTTTGATTACTGTAAAAAATTATGTTTTTTATAAATCCTCACTCTGTGTGTTATAGTATCTCCCTGGATCCCCTGTACCCGTCCCGGTGCTCGTGGGAGACGTTTGGATATGCTGCAGGCTGCGGGCTGAATAAAGACTGTGATGAGCTGTCTCCACTGGGGCTCAGTGCTCAACTCAACAGCCTTGCCTGCTCTGTCTCCTTCCATCAGGGCGAGAGTGTCAGCATGGTCAAACTTATAGAGCAGGTTTGGGGAGCTCTCACATTAACACTCTTTCTGGAATGCTGTTGATCACATGGGAGCAAGAAGATACAAGCTCATTCAGTGCATTTATCTATACCAGGGGAGCCTAATCCTTTTCCTAGAGATCTACCTTCCTGCAATGTTCAGCTCCAACCCTTCAGGAGCACTGGATAAATACAGACAGGTCTGTTGGATCTGAACTCTCCAGGAATAGGATATGGCACCCCTGGTCTATACTACTGTTTACAGGTTTGGGGTCAGAATGTTTTTGTTTTTTTTATGTAAAAAAAAAAAAAAAAACTCTTAGTCTCACAACAAAACTGCATTTATTTGATCTATATACAGTAAAAATAGTAATATTATGAAATATTATTACAATTTAAAATAGCTTAAATGTAATTTATTCCTGTGATGGCAAAGTTGAATTTTTAGCAGCCATTACTCCAGTCTTCAGTATCGCATGATCCTTCAGAAATCATTCTAATGCTGATTTGGTGCTCAAGAAACATTTCTTATTATTTTCAATGTTGAAAACAGCTGTGCTGCTTAATATTTTTGTGAAAAACATTTTTTTGGTTAGGATTCTTTGACTAGAATGTTCAAAAGAACAGCTTTTAATGGAAGTCTTTTATAACATTATAAATGTCTTTTACTGTCACTCTTAAACAATTTAATTCATCCTTTCTGAATAAAAGTTTTACTTTCCTTTAAAAAAAAAAACTTTCTGACCCCAAACTTAAGAACAGTATGTGTTATTACAATAAAAAAGAAAATAATATTTTTAGGGATTTTGTTTCTTTATTAGACCGATGTAAAAAAATTTTTTATTTATTTGGAGAAGGAGAGTGGTTGCACGCCAGACTCAAACCTGCATCTTCCACATAATAACCACTGCATCACAGCTCAAGCAGAAAAAATGTCAATGTACTGAAAAAGAATATGATTAGGACTATTCCCAGTCCCATTTCCCCATCATAATTAGACTATGCCTTAGTTTTGATTAGAAAATGATTGAATGTGAGTGCTGTTTCTGATGCATCTTCAGGCGAGACACACTACCTACGGCATTCGCAAGTGCTTCCTCTTCCTACTGCAGTGTCAACTAACACTGGTCATCATTCAGGTGAGAAAAGACACACTGTGTCCAAAACAGACCTGCGTGTTTCGTACATTCTTTATTCATATGTGTACCCTTGATGTTTTGGTTTTGTAGTTCCTGGCCTGCCTTATTCAGCTGCCTCCTCCCATGAACATCACAGACATACTGTGGCTTTCCTGCTTCTGTTACCCTCTGCTAAGGTAATAGAGAAGAAGTGACAAAAAAGATGCCTGCATGTTGCATTGTAAAACTTGTACACTGTGTCATATCTGTGACCTATATCAAAAAAATAAATGTTGGCCATTCACAGCGTGTCATTCCTGGGAAAACCTCCTGACAGTTCGGTGATGACAGTCGCTACTGGAAAGAATCTGGACTCCATACCACGCAAGGTCAGTCATGAGACCACAAAGTGCACCCGATTTAAACTGCAAACTATTTAAACAATTTTGACACACATGTGCATTCATGTTATGTTTGACTCTCTCCCACAGACCCAGCACTACTTCCTGGGCTGGTTCCTGTTGAAGTTTGGTCTGACGATGTTGGCCTACTTAGTCGGCTTCGGGTTTTCTCTACAGGAAGTGTGTTCTAGAGCTGCTAACCTCACAAAAACTGATAACAGCACCATAACATGCTCCCACATTCTGACATCCAGGTACATGCACACACTAAAATGTAATTTTCTCTGTGTTTAGATTATATGAATTAGTTATGAGTTCTAACCAATGATTAATATATACAGCTCCAAGGATGCCCCGCAGTGGTTTGGTGAATTGTCCAATGGGCTGCTTCTGATCCAGAAGATCATGGCAGGGTTTCTAGCTTTGCACACAGGTCACTTTAATAATATACACTACCTCATTTGAATCGTTACTAGATGGCTTATTTAGATGGATTTGGATTTTTTAATTTTTTTACATGATCTATTTATAGTCATGTTATTTATTATTTCTCTCGCTCTCTTGCAGTGGTCATCTCTCTGAGTTATGTGCACCGTTCACAACCCCTCTGGAGGATGAACCCATTCAGTAACACATGGTGGTGTCTCACAGTGCCTGTGGTGTGAGTGTTTCATGTAGAGAATGTTGTTTTCATTAGCAGAGTCACATGTTAACACATACTCATTCTGGATTTTCTTCTCTTCCCCTCGCAGGTTGTTGGGACAGGTGGTGCAGGCTGTGATAGACTATCAATTGTGGCAGGACAGGAGTACAGAAGTGGTCTTCACTCTACATCACATTCCCCTGTTGGTCTGGCTGTTAGTCTCTCTGTCCATCGTACTTGTGGTGCTAATCAATGAAGCAGTAAAACTGCATGAAATCAGGTAAGAGGATAAATGTAGAGGGTACCAATGATAATTCAGTCTTCATTTACTCACCTTTGTCGTTCCAAACCTGTGTGACTGTCGAAAGTGACCGTAAATGCATTTATAATGTTATCAAATAATTATATTTCTGATAAATGCTTATGAACTTTTTCTATTCATCAAAGAATCCTGGAAAAAAATGTATCATGGTTTCCACAAATATATTTAAGCACCACAACTGTTTTCAACACTGATGTAAGAACAACACACTAGAATGATGTCTGAAGGATCATGTGACTCTGAAAGTGTTATTCTCCTTTACCGTAGCTCTGAAATCTCATTTTGTTCATATTCAAACTTGCCGGGTTATGTTCAGTTCACAAGTTGCAAATTTAATTTGTCAAAAATCAGCATATATGGCAAATACAATACGTGAATAAAGTATCGTTTCCCATCCCATGAAAATCAAATCGGCACTTCCATTGAAATTAGCACAAAATAGAAATGGAAATGAACGTTGTAACCACTGAGGAAGCCACTGTAGCTCTTTTATTAAACGTAATAATTTGCTAAACTTAATGTTTTCTGACAGTCGCTGACTTATAGCGTATGACTGGAGTCACATGACTTGAAAAAGTCTTCATTCACTATTTATTCAATAAATATGATTTCATATTAAATTTATAAACTTGTTTTTGTCGATGACAGAAATGTCTATTTCATTTAAACTTTAAATATGCCTAAATTTAGCCTACATAAACCATTAATCATTTAACCCAGAGCTAGATTTTGATAACCAGTCAAATATGGCTCTGATTTCAGGGTACGAGTGCGTTACCAGAAGAGACAGAAGCTTCAGTTTGAGACTAAGCTGGGAATGAACTCTCCCTTCTGACCTAAGATATGTACAGGACGGCATGGTCGTATTTGTGGTGGAGAAGATCATGGTTCCTTTGGATTCCCTTCAGCAGAGCTCTTCCTGCGACACCTCCAATGGGCGGAACGTTATTTCTGCCATGAACGCCACTGAGGGCTGCGTTTTTATCTGTGAGATCCTGGACTATCTAATCTTTATTTTGAGTACAGCCTACATCAATGTTGTTTGAGGGATGTTCACCTGCATGCTGCTTTGGTTTGGACAGGGTCATTTATTAGAGGGATTATTTTTCAATGAGGCCATTCCTTTATCCCCCTCGAAACCTCAAACTAATGCATGATATAGCAAATGAATACCAAAATGTACAATGGAGGGCTAAATTAGCATGATTTTTTTTTCCTCTCTATTTTATTAGAGAGCATTTTTATTAGCTGTGAAATGGGGATTTTATTGATTTCTGTTTCAAACACGAGACAATTGACCGCTCATGCGATGAGCTTTAGCTGTAGGTTCTCTGTGTTCGTATTTTAGCCGTCACTTGTGCAGTTCATTTACTATGTCATAAGAGCTTGTTAAAGTCTGTTTTAACAGGTTATAATGTGAATGTCATCGCCTCAAGTTACCTCATATTCAGAGGGGAAATATTTCATTCTTTGTGGTCATGATACACAAGTGAGTTTATTTACATGAATATATCTGCCAGAGCAATTTAGCTGAGAAGCTTTGCTTCCAAAATCAAATGCAGCCAGTCAATGTGAGACTGTGTGCAAACTATTTTTCTTGCTTACCTAAAATCAGTCAGGCTTGAATTTTGTTTTGTTTTTACAAATCAAAATCAGATGAAATGCTTTTTTTAGTCTTCTATTAAACTATTTTTACTTTAAGTTCATAAGTTCAATCAAAACACAAAGGCTTTTAATCAGGCAAAGCAAAAGCTTTCCAGCTGAAGGAAGAATGTTCCAACTCGAATTGTTCTCATCCTGTCTACAGAGACATTTTAAATGTTTTTACATATGTGATTGTAAGCCAGAATGCACTGAATATTTTGGGATACATTTGCATGCCAGATGACAAAATCTCTTTTTCAAGATAATTATTTCTGATGTTCTGTAAAGAATATATCTAACTCTGGATGGGGTCAGGCTCATTTTAATTTAAACATTTAAATTTTTTGTTATTATTTTGTCCAGAGAATTCTGTGTTTACTGGTAAAGAGGGATATTCAATTTTTATTGTGTTCTACCTCTATCTGATTGCCTCACTATAAATAATTCTAGGCAACTTCATGAAGTTTTATTATTCTAATTGATCCAGTTGGGCTGCAGCTATGGAGTATAAGGGGCTCACTTACAGTGTCATCACCAGATGTACATATTTAAACGATACATGCAAGTGTATTTTCTGACAGTGACCAGCTAATCTCCAAATTACCAGCATTCATTTTTTTTCCAATACTAGTGCAATTCTCCAGCATATAACCTGAAACCTCTGACTTACCGTAGACTCATCAAATGGAGAATTTAAATGGGTAGTTCACCCAAAATGAAAACACTCATCATTTATGCACCTTCATGTCATGTCATGTCAACTTGTTTGACTTTAATTATTCTCCGTAATGTAAAATGTTTTGTAGAATGTCAACCCTTTTTATCCATACATTGAAGGTCAGTGGTATTCAAAACTGCTTTTAAATACCATTGACTTTTGTTGTAAGGATGGAAAAAAATTCAGAGACATTTTTAATATACTATATCACCTTTTATGTTCCACGGAAGAAAGAAAATCATTCATGTTTGAATTGACATGATGGTGAATAATCGATTTTCATTTATTTTTTAATTGACCTGAATTTGAATTGTTAGGTGAACTGTCCCTTTAAGTTGCTGCTAATCCTGTGTAAGTGGCATATTTAAAATGACTGATGTGTACAGGTATCATTATGGGACGTTTAGAACCTAAAGTCAAAACTCAGTATTTTCTGTAGAAGCTGCCTTTCCTGTGAGCCACAGTCTATCCCCTTTTCTACGTAATGAACCGAAAGATGTCTTAACTTAATATCCTTTTTGTTCCTGTGTTGCTGTTAAATCACAGATACATACTGTAACCTCTAATCTAATGTTGTATTTATTTTAAAATTATTACATATGTCTGTACATCTTAACAGCAAATGATTGCAACCTAACCGCCTTTTCCATAACACATCTAGAGATTGTCATAGACACTGAATATTCATAAGAGTACGTAGTGCATTTTTGCAATGCTTGTTACATGCTTTCTTGCTCATTCACCAGGTCTTATGATGTGTTTAGAGGTTACATAATTCTTGCTGTGGTTTGATGTTTACGCCACAAGGCTGCTCAGCACCACGACTGTGTAACTTAGAAACTTAAATAAAAAAGAAGTCCAGAGGCTCTGAATTGGTGCTGATTTAGTGGTATAACAATATGAACAATTAAGAATTTTTAAAAACATATCACCATAGAGAGAAATTAGTTTCAGGAAGCACTGATCTGTTATGTACAAACTGTTGTGGTAACAGGAAAAAAAGTTTTGGGATATGAGTTTGTGAGCAGCGTTTTTGTACAGTTAGCTTTTTTGTAATTGTTTTTGAAATGTTCTCTTTTCACTTATTTCCTGATGTATGCATGATAAATACCATTAGAATGCAAGGGTTTCTTGATTTCTCTACTCATCTGCTGAATATTGAATATGTTGACTCAGTCATGCATGTATTAAAATGTTGCTGATGCTTTTCCATCAGTCAGAAAGGCTGTAATCTTTAAGCCAGGAGTGTGAATCAGAACCTCTCTTCAAAATACATGTCTGGGCTACAAACTACATTGATTGACTCAACATACAGATATATTTGCTATTTATGAATGTTCATAAGATTTATAAATGTTGTACAGTTTGTATTTTTTTAAGATGTCTTTAACATTGATTTCTCCCCTTCCCTGCAGATTATTTGTGAACCAATGTTATGTTAATAAAGTATGTTCTTTTTAAAACAAATGTGTGCTGTTTAATTTTTGATTCAATATTTTTGCCGTTTAATAAAACATGTCACTTGTGAAATTGTAATATTTGACTGTCCCGATTATCCACTGCCCACTTCTGCCAACATCTCTGTTTTTACATAATGCAAAATGTGAAGAGATGGTGGTTAAATGAATGCGCTTAATTACATTTCAGAATGTCTCCTATAAACTGAAGAGTACCATAGCAGCTATGTTTATGCTTAGCTCTGAATTATTTTAGCAAGACATTACTCTTTGTGAGAGCAGAGTTTTATTCTTTTTTATAGTCCTTATTCTGTTACTAGAACAACTGGGAAAGTAGTTTGCAATGAAATATTGACTGAAAAGGTTGGACATTAATTGAATATTGGTCTATAAACCGTGCAAAAACACTTTCAGTATTCAGAATTTTACCATTCAATTTTGATTTTGATTTATTATTCCATTTAATAAACAAGAAAAATTTACATTAATTAACTGGACTGAATAAACTACGCCTTTCAACCGTCAAGTTTGTAGGCAAAGTATTGCGCCCACTGTGTGTGTTACTATAATCGTCCAGTAGAGGGCGTTTCCCACACTAAATAGGTGCCGCAACATCATAGGTGGTGATTGGATGAAGTGGTTGACAGGCGGGATGGTGGCCAATCATTGCTGAAAGGTTAACTGTGCGTTCTGCGTACTACAGAATGAAGCACGGCAGCGCCGGTGGATCAGCAGCACGCTGACGGGTGTCATAAGATCATTTGAAGGACTCGCTACGAGGATTTCCTCACAGTTTATACCGTTTTTAGAGGTAAATATGTCGGAATGTATGTTTTAGTGCTTTTTCTGGTTCTGGTGTTTAATGCATTAGCCTTCTTGTGAAGATGTCCTGTTGAAAATCCACACGACCTGTTATATGTTGCAAAGGCATGATCCAGCCAAACAAACCTTTGTCAGACATATACATTTTTTTTAATACCTGTACGGCTATACAACGAACGGATATATTGTTGTAAGAGGCGAGAAATACACCGCACCCGTGTGACATGACATCCATCACATGCTAACACGCGCTGCATTAACAATTCCACACGCATATTCACGTGCATGATGCTCAACAGGTGCTGTTTTTATATGCAAATATTTGATAACAATGCAGTGATACAAATTACAGCTCCACTGGGCAAAAGAAAACGGCAAAGGCCGATGTAACTGATGCACGAGAATGGCTTGTTTGTTTTTGCACATGCTAAACCCCTAGTGAGGTGAATCAGACCTACATGCAAATAAAGTCTAGTTTGACCTCCATCTACACCCTGACCCCCACCCAAATCTGAGTTTTACATATATTTGCTTATAGATAATCTGATTAATATATAATTTATACAATATTACAGATATTAAATTGGTTTAAAATTGTTCATTTTGGGGCCACTTGACAAAAAGTTATATTTATGGATTATAATTAGTCTAAAAATGTATTTCTTTAATATGGCTGTCTATACTTTTTATTAATTTGGTTTGTTCTACCACATCTATCTTTGTGATAATCATTCAGATGTGATTCTTTTCAAATGCATGTTGCTTTTAAATAGTAAGAAAATGTATCACATTAGATTGCATACAGTGTTACATTTGTATTATTTATATACTAATATAGTATTAATATTTTAAATAATACAAATTCTTTGATATTTTCATTTTAGTTTAAGTTGTAGAAATTCTGAGTATTTGCCATTTTTAAATTTATAGCTATATATAGGCCTAAGAGCTTTACTTTTTTCTTTAGTTTTCGTTTGCCGTTTTAAAGTTAGTTGCCAATGCTAAGGTAACATTTCTAAATGAACAGTTTAAGTTTTAGTTAACGACAACCACACTGGATGCATATAATTATTTAATCTTTTAATTGTAAAAATCACATTAATAACTAGATTCTGGAATAATGCTTATTTTGAGGGCTTCTCAAACAGCAAGATTGGAACTGAATATCATTTCATTAGAACAAACATTCACTAAACATTCAATAAATTGTAAATGAATGATTAGCAATGTGCATTTGCTCTCATTCTGAACAAGTATAAAATAAAAACGTGGTCTTCTAGGTCCGTGTGCTAATGGACCCTTTTCACATTTCCCAGGTTCTCAGTGTTTCTATGACTTTCCAAAAGAGGGGAAAAAATATAGAGCGATTTATTACGTTGGTCAGAAGAGAGAATAACGTCAAATTTACAGTCACTCCCTCAGCAGTTTAGTTTTATTAGAAA